TAAAGGCATAATGGGAGGGCGATGCATGTAAATTAACATCCCTGAAAGGAAGGAGTGGAGGCGCCATAGCGAGCAGCCCCCTCGGAATTGATTTGAAGTAGTGTTGGTGGGGGAAATCAATACAAAAGGGGAGAAAAGGAAGGTGTATGTTATCGCAATTCAGGAACACATGATCGACCGCGGCGCAGTCAATACACGGCAGGCGCGGGCCTGATGGGCAGTAACGACTTCATAGTGAAAATGAACCAGTCATGGTTACAGTACCCGCCACACCGCCCCGCTACTCATTGTGGCTGGACTAACTTCCGTCATCCATTTCAGTCTGCCTTAACTTCTGATCTTCCTTTCGATAGTGGAAGACCTTAACTCGCCGTTGGTGACGACTAAGCTTTTTGTTTGCCTTGATCGATTATACTTCCAACTTCATCCGATCATCCCGACTTCCTCCCCTGAACAGTGATCATGGCCTCCCGACCTCAAGCAGGCGCCCGCCCCGGGGCCAAGTTCGCACAGTTCAAGCTCGTCTTACTCGGTATGCTACTCGATGATCTTCTTTCTTAGTTTTGATGAGATTCTTGACTGACCAAGTTTTTGGATTCGTTTAGGAGAGTCCGCTGTGGGAAAGGTTCGACTTCCGCATCGCGATATTCAGTATCAGGCGCTAACATGGTCTTCATCCTCCAGAGTTCGCTAGTCTTGAGATTTGTGAAAGTGAGTGGGCCAATAATTATCATCCTGGGCTTCTGGGTACCTAGCTGGTCCTTTCAAAGAATGAAGTTGCTGACGGGGCTGCCTAGGATCAATTCGATGATTACCGGGAGTCGACAATCGGTGCTGCCTTCCTGACCCAAACGATCTCCCTCGATGAGAGTACCACAGTCAAGTTCGAAATTTGGGATACTGCTGGCCAGGAGAGATACAAGTCCTTGGCTCCCATGTACTATCGGAATGCCAACTGTGCTGTCGTGGTTTATGACATCACCCAAGCGGTATGGACGACTCCTCTGCGCTCCTATTTCCTTTTTTTTTTTTTTTTTTTGCCTTGACTAATAATTTTGACTTTTACGACAATAGGCTTCTCTTGACAAGGCCAAGTCCTGGGTGAAAGAACTACAACGCCAGGCGAATGAGAATATTGTGATTGCTTTGGCAGGCAACAAGCTTGATCTGGTTACCGAGAGCCCCGATAAGCGGGCTATTCCCACCGCCGATGCCGAAGCTTATGCTCGCGAGGCAGGCCTTCTTTTCTTCGAAACCTCTGCCAAATCCTCGACAAATGTGAAGGAACTATTCACAGCCATTGCGAAGAAGCTCCCTCTCGATCAAGCCGGCCCTCGGAATTTGCGGGCCGCCCCACGACCTGGCGTTGACCTTCGACCCGAAGCTCCTGGTACTCAGGGCGCAGGTGCATGCAACTGCTAAATTCACGATGCATCCTCTAATCCTTTACAATAACTGCGCTCTCGAAACCCCTTCCGACCTTGCGGTGCCAGAAGGAGATACCTTTCCGACGGTCGACTTCCGTAAACTGTGCTGACCTCGGAGGCACTCGGTCGTAATGTGGCCTGCTCCCCCACCTTGTCTTCGCTTGAGAGGGTAACGCTCGGTTTACTGTTTATCTAGTCGTCTCGTCTCTTCATGATTCCTCGATATTTCGCTCTCCTTTTTCTCCTTCCCTGTTCCCTGATAGTTCTCCCAAGTCTTCCGACCAGAGGATTATAACCTTCTTCACAGACGCATCTGGAATTTGGCTTAGACATGCTGTGGCAGGACCCGCCTGCTTTTTTCTCGTGTACTTCTTGTCCCTTTTTAACCCGGCGTCTGCATCTGCTCTTTCACCTACGTTCTTGTTCGTCTCTTTACCGGAGCTTCTTCTCTAGTATGCCATGCCCAGATAATATATTTCTTTTACATTGTACCTAGCTTTCCAGCTGGATCTTCTTGCTGTATTGTTCACATCTATAATTTTTCGGCTTCTTCAATACTGGACTTTCCAAGGTTAGGAGTGTTAATATCCATGGATGGACATACTGGCTTGCTGGTGAAATGCTGTATGTATATATCGGTCTTTCGGAGCATTGGGAGACAGGCATGCGACCACTTTCAAGGTTTCCAAAGTTTACTGGAGAGCTACTGGAAATAATTACACCCATGGATTGGTTTTCGAATTGGAATCTTGGGTTAATCTACTGTCGGTCTTTTCCTCAAATTCTAGCATTGCATAGGTATATACGAGTACATAGAAGCTCCAAAATGCGGGCGATGGATGAGGAAACCAGTCTGACCGCCTGCAGGATCATCGGGGCGGATCGCGAGCGAACATCGACTTCCCGTTTTCCTATCCATCTACCTTTTCTCCAATTCTTCCCCGCTATTCGGCGATTGTGCGGCTAGTCATGCTGCGCTCTTCATTTGCACCGAGTCGGCAGCTGCTGTCGTCCCCTGTTCGCCAACGGATCCCGTCGCAATGGCTGTCTAAAGCTGGTGCGAGCAGCCAACTTTCGGGTCAGGTACGGCAACACCACCCTACATGTTCCAGTACTACCTTGCTAATAATTGATTTTTCGACAGCGCTTCTTTGCTGACTCCAAGGCTCCTACTGCCCCGACACCCGTTACACCTTCCACTGAGTCGACTATTCCTCACGGGAGCATCCCGAAGCCCACGGAACAAGGTACCGCCAGCCTCTCTACTTAGTCCGCCTTCTACATCACGTATACTAATCTGTGATCTTTGCAGAATCCAAGGCTCCCAAGTCACCAGCGCCCGTCCGCAAGACCGGCCGCTTCCGTCGATTCTTGTTATACCTGATCCTGACCTCCGGTCTCACCTATGGCGGCGGCATCTTCCTCGCTCTGAAGTCCGACAACTTCCACGACTTCTTCACCGAGTATGTCCCATACGGCGAGGAATGCGTTCTCTACTTCGAGGAGCGTGACTTCTACCGCCGCTTCCCCAATGCCTCCAGACACTCCAACCGCATCGTTGCTGCTCCCCGGGAGGAGGGCAAGCCCGTCACAATCCCCAGCAACAGCGGTCTATCCTGGAAGGTCGCTAGCGAGGAGTCAGGAAGTGATGTCTCCAAGAGTGGCCCTCACATGAGCTCCAAGGCCAAGGAAAGCGCCACGGTCATCAAGGCGAAGGACGAAAAAGCCTCGAAGACAGAGACCAAGGCTGAGCCTAAGGAAGAAAAGAAGAAGGAGGAGGAGAAGAAGAAGTCAGTTTCTCTTGATGAGCCCAGACAACCCGCAGTTGCTACTGTCAACACTATTGAGCTCCTGAAGACCCAAGACGGTGATGAGACCGTGGTTCAGGAGCTGGTCAAGACCTTCAACGACATTGTCACCGTAATCAGCGCCGACGAGAATGCTGGCAAGTACTCCGCACCGGTTGCCAAGGCCAAGGAGGAGTTGCAAAAGATTGGTGAGAAGATCTCCGCGATCCGCACCGAGGCTCGCAGCGCCGCCCAGGAGGAGCTCAACAAGGCTCATTCCACCTTTGATGAGTCCGCTAAGGAGCTTATCCGTCAGTTCGAGGAGATGCGTGCTACTGATATTGCCCAGTTCCGTGAGGAGTTTGAGGCTGAGCGCGAAAAGCTCGCCATGGCATACCAGGATAAGATCAACGTTGAACTCCAGCGCGCCCAGGAGCTTGCTGAGCAGCGCCTGCAGAACGAACTTGTGGAGCAGGCCATTGAGCTGAACCGAAAATACGTCCACGATGTCAAGGACCTGGTTGAGCGTGAGCGCGAGGGTCGTCTGAGCAAGCTGAACGAGCTTTCTGCTAACATTAGTGAGCTCGAGAAGCTGACCACCGGCTGGAGCAATGTCATTGATACCAACCTGAAGACTCAGCAACTTCAAGTTGCCGTGGATGCTGTTCGCTCCGTTGTTGAGCGCACCGAAACTCCCCGTCCCTTCGTCCGTGAACTAGTTGCTGTCAAGGAGCTGGCTGCTGACGACCCAGTTGTCGATGCCGCCATTGCCTCCATCAACCCCACTGCCTACCAGCGCGGTATTCCCTCGACCGCTATGATCGTTGAGCGCTTCCGCCGAGTTGCCAGCGAGGTTCGCAAGGCCAGCTTGTTGCCCGAGGACGCTGGTATTGCAAGCCACGCCGCTAGCATGGTGTTGAGCAAAGTCATGTTCAAGAAGGATGCTCTTGCTGACGGTGATGACGTGGAGAGCATTCTGGTGCGCACTGAGAGTCTGTTGGAAGAGGGACAGGTCGACGCAGCTGCCCGTGAGATGAACGCCCTTCAAGGCTGGGCCAAGATCCTGAGCAAGGACTGGTTGGCTGATGTTCGCCGGGTGCTTGAGGTCAAGCAGGCTCTCGAGGTGATCGAGACTGAGGCCCGTCTCCAGTGCTTGCGGGTGGAGTAAGCGCATTTCTGAGCGATGCTGATTTCAATTTATCCTGTACATCTTCGTCTTGTCCACAGGAACTGTACGTCTAGTTGTACTTTTGCGTTAGACCCAAATGCTAGAGGTTTTTCTATGTCCCAGCTATTATCATGATTACTGTAAAGATCTTGACTCCTTATATGAGGAAGAGTGAATAATTAGAAAAAATTGCTATCTTTCCAATAAATCAACCTGTACTGTACCACCAAGTTGATATCATTTGTTGTTACAAGACCAGGGGTCTGCTGACTGTTGATATCTTTGCTAGCTGTTGGCCAATCTAATCTTCCTAGCAGACGTTAGTAGCTTTGATAAAAATCAATAGCCATTTCACCACCTTTCTTTGAATAACTTGTTGTGGTGGGAGAGGGAACTAGTTGACTTTATAGAATGCTTAGATAAGCTCGACGCGCAACAATGTAGATCATTACGTCCTGCAGACCCTCGCATTAGGTCCCGCCAGTGTCACAATTCTTGGCCTTGGATTTGAGCTACTCTTCTTTCTCGCATCCATGCTCTCTTGTTGCTGACAAGCCATGCCTGTTGCACCCCTGAAGGGCGTGGCAATCTACATCTTTCGCCCTCCCCTTGGCTTTGATGTCGTCACGAGCGGACCACCCTCCCGGGCGGGATTCAGGGTCTCCGGCGGGTGAACATCATAGCACATCCAAAGACAGACGACCACAGTATCAAGGATCCAATGGTGACTCGCTTGGGCGACGGTCTATCCCACCGAGCGACGGCCGAGCGAGTGGTGAGCTAGAGGGAAGTACACTAGGCAGTAGCTCTCGTGATGGGGATCGAAGAGCCGCAAACCAACGCAGATCGCAGAGCTCGGGTGGCTTCTTGCTGGATTCCTTGCCTCGATCTAACAGCGTCAGGATTAGTTCACACCGTTCGCGCCCATCGGATGTTCCCATGGAGAGACGAAATACTCCCGATCCTGGTATCGTGGTACCTAAAAAGCGATCGCGATTTCCGTGGAATCGCCATAAGAACTCAGCCTCCGAGTCAGCTGCCGCTGCTACAACAACGACGCCAGCAGCCATCCAACAGACTTCGACGCCGCCCCCAGATGACCAGCGATCTCAAATATCTTCAACGGCCGAGCCATCAGCGCAGGATGTGCAGCAGACTACATCTGGGCTGGATAGAGACTCCTTGCAGATTGTGAACTTGGCGTTGAACCTGAATGAGTCTCGAAGAAGAAACGCTTCTGGTTTACCCTTGGGCTCTAATGGACGCAGACCGTTGTCTGTCTCTCAGCCCATCGCACCGCCTGTGGACTCACGTGGTCCATCATCAAGGGTAAACCGTATTTCGTACGACTACTCACATCGCAATTATACTCAGTTTCCAGAGGAAGTGCCTCGGGCGGTACAGCAAACTGGTCAGTCCCCAGTGGTGGAGTTTCTACCGGCTGCTGTGGTGAATGACAACCGGGCCTATGAATTCTCCGATAGCACTCTTGCTCGCGCGGAAAGAGCTCGTCGCCATTTCGATCTTTTTCACGAATATTTACGACTGCTGCCTTTGCTACCTCCCCTTCGGAATGGCCCGACTGTGGGTGATGCCGATTCGACATCCTTCACGGGCCATAGCTCGGCAGCCAACCGCGGCTATAATCCCTTACAAATGATTCGAAACAGAAGAATCAGATATCGAGAAAAATGTCCAATTCATGCAGAGGCAGAAGGTTGGCTTGACACCGGGAAAGTGCATGATTGGATCAGCACGATCGAGGAACAATACACTTGTCAGAACTACGATGAAACCCAATCTGTTAAGCTTCCTTCTTTCAAGCAAGGCCAAGGGCATATGTCTCAAGGGGACCCAGAAGACCTGGAGTTGCTGGCTGGCTCACCCCCATCAAGCTTGAGGCGGGTTAGTCGTACAAACAGTGTGAAGGCACCTCGATTACGCCTTGACTGGAAGATTTCACCTGCCGAACTTATAGCAGATGTTGCTTGGCTTGAGGATTTATCTAATAAAGCCAAAATTGTCGACAAGGATGGTAACAAGATCTATCCAGATCCCGGGGAGCTCTCTTTGATTGACCCCGAGGCTGAAAATGCCTCCGCACAGAAAGAACACATGTCGGTCGATATGGATAATTCTGCAGACGGCGGACCCTCTTCTCGGCATACATCCATGTCAAGTTCCCACCCTGCCCGTGCCCCCGAATTCAAGAGTCTGAGTCGGGGTCGCCATAGACACAGATTTCAAAGCCACACCCAAGGCTTGCGAAGCCGTAGTGCTTCTAGCTCGCGGAAGCGCTCGCGCTGGGACAAGATGAAGATGCGTTCAGGAAGCATTTCCAGTGAGTCCAGTGCAGACGGCCGCCAGTCAGTGGATCAAAAACGTCCGACTTTGGAGCATTCGCGCAAGGATTTGGAAAAACTGCCGAATAGGAATTTAGCAGAGTCATCCGAATCTCGGATATCGCGCAAAAAGTCCTCAGCAGCCGGGGTGGTGCACACAGACCGCAATCCGGCTCAGGCCCCATCGAGTAATACAAAATCGAAGTATGCGGCAAGAAAGGCATCATTTTCATCGGCTGGGAGCATAGAAGATCGGTTGAACAGAAGAATGTCTTTAGAGGGAATAGACAGCTCAGTCCCCAATTCTCCTGCCCAGCTTAGCTACTTTCCCAGCATCGCTGTGAATTTGTCTCCGCCTTCAAGTCGGTCTCCCTCGCCTGCTAAGAAAGGTCTGCGACACAAGATCGTGTCGCGCCATGAAAGAAGCAAGAGCAAACAAGGAGATCGAGAGCTTCGAGGACACGATGATGAGGACTCTCGTGTAAATTCTAATTCCCTGCCACCTCCACCTGAGCAAGCCGAAGGTGCCTCAAAGCTTGAGCCAAGCCCTATTCCAGACGTTGTGTCTTCCTCTTATACCGACGACGGTATGACTGAGAGCCAGAGGGTCGACACTTTCAGAGGACGAAAGGGACAATATCCTGAGTCAAAGCTGCGTGGAATTCTTAAGGGTCCTGGTCGGATCGCAGAGAGAGTTGGAAATGAAGTTTCCAAGGTCGGTGATCTTATTTTAAAGAAAGATTTGCCTCCTGATTCCCGGAAATCCTCGTCTGCAACAACACTTGCGTCGGACTCTAGCGACTCAGAAGAGGAGGAAAAAAGATCGGATAAGCGCAAAGGCCTTCTACGGCGGATTCCAACTCTCGCGGACGAGCCTGGGCGCCTTACTCGTCGGGATTCAGATAAGGGAACTCCTTCAAGGAGCTTCATGCCAACATTACCCAGTTTTACATCTCCGTTACGACAAGATGAAAGAAGCGCATCGCATGAGGCAGTGGACTTTGGTAGTCCGCGTGAACGTGGGCCTGCATCACGGGATGGCTCTAAAAGAATGCATTTATCCCGAAGCAAAACGCTTGACTTCGGCCCTGCCTTGAGCGCAAACCGTGGTCACAGAAAGCCACACGAAATCAAGGATCCATCAGTTCCCTTTAGTCTTACTCGTCCCCCTGTCACTGGCCTTGCCCAAGCTTCTCCTGGATCTCCGACAAAGAGCAGGCAGCCTCTTTCGGGCTCCACCCGCGCCTGGAGTATTTCGGGCCGTAGTCTCCAAACCTTGAACGATTCCGGTATTCCCGGCAAGACGGAAGTTGAACGAACTCGAACGCTTCTCCTATCTTCCGGTATCAAAGCCCGGGAGATCGTACGGCGAGCACATACTGTTCGCGACCCACCTCCTCACTGGCTTCAAAGCTCAATGGGCTCCACTGCATCCATTCCGCGAGTAACCAGGATTGGTGAATTTGACCTTGCTGCCCAGAATTTCCTGCGTCGGTTTGAGATGACTCAATACTCATTCCAACAATCAATGCATCACTTCACCACCACTACCTCCTCCCCTCTGCATTCACAGTTGAAGGACCTGGAAACCCTTATCAATCAATCCCTCACGCCTCGTGTGCGAGCCACAGCTGATGATGCCGAGAGCCTGTGTGTTCAACTAAACACGACCAGCACGCTGGCAGTGAAATCACTCAGCGACGCTCTCGATAGAGGTGTTAGAAAACGTCGCCGCCGACTGCGCTGGGTGCGACGTGCTGGTTTCGTTGTCCTAGAATGGGCTCTCGTCGGTATGCTGTGGTGGGTCTGGCTCATCGTAATGGGCTTTAAGCTCGTGCGCGGCGTCTTTCGAGGAGCCATTTCTGGTGCACGATGGGTCCTTTGGCTCTGATTGATTACTTCGAGTCATGAGGCTCATCTACGACACTCATACTCACACCTAATTTTCATGATTTCATGCTCTGCATTGGTGCTTCCAATTCGGGTCTCCTGCTTAGCGTGCCCATTATACCCCTCGGCTTTATGTTGGTTGCCTTTACCTCACTTTTCGTGGACAATATTTTGTTTTAATGAAGCTTTTGACGAACTCGTCATCTGTACATAATATCTATCTATATTTTCTTGTCGATGTCTAATTAGAGATTCAACATACAGTGTCCTTTTCTTCATTGGTCTACCTTTCACGCCATAAACACTGATTGCTATGTAGCTCCTTGGAAGGCTGCTTGTGCAAGATGGCAGATAGTAGATGGCAACCGTTACTGGGCCTATGAAGATCGTATCGTTCCAGACCTTCCAAGGTATGATTTTAATTGAAGTTTTCTTTTTTTTTTTTTTGTTGAGATTCCGATACCAGGTGTTGGATATATCTAGTCAACTGCGAAGGGTTGAAGGATTCACGTGCTCGCCTGGAGTAGTCAAAAGAGGGTACGTGAAGGATAAATATATGTACCCGCAACACCTTTGAACGAACCTTCTTGTGACTAGACAGTCTATCCTATGTTTGAATCAAGCCATATCGAATGACGTGTAGGTGCCTGATATATCTAGTCCTGGAGATAGTAACACTTGGTATGTAAGGCACTCCTTGATTGTGGTCTATTATCCTAAATAGTCTCCTAAACCTCAGATAAGTGACGACCCACAATACAAAGCCACAAGCTGAATACTCCAACCTCGGTCTACATAAACTGGGTTTGACAAAGTACCTCGTCAAGGTATGTATTACTTGAATTTCAAAGATGTTTCAACGCAATTAACAATGATATTACGGGTATGGATGCTCATTGATACGCGAGCCATCCTTTGTCCTATTCCTGGGTCTTCCATTCATCGCAACAATTGAAGTTACCTTACTGGCGGAAGAAGCGAACTTCACTTCACCCCTGTTGCTCTAGAGCTGTCTTTGTCTTTTCCATTCATCTGCAGCTCAGAATAGAAATATTCACCGATGGGAAATTTCAACATATATAGTCCTTGGTCTCCCCAGGAAAGAAAGTAGTCCATTTGGTCACAGCCCATCTATTTCTCACTAGATCTTGACTACCTAGGTCAACAGTGAATAAATTTGAGTTTCACTTAACTCACCTCTGCCTGGCCCTGGATGTACTGGGTACGTCTTCCTGATGAGCAAATCTCAACTCACCACCCACCCGAGCCAAACCCGCTCGAACTTCCCAGCAAGAGCCGGTGCAATTCGCAGGTCAACTAATCCTCGTACTGAGTCTGCAGCATTTGAATCAGTCACTCGAGCTCCAGAAGCCGATCAAGAGCACGCCATGGGGAAACAGAAATCCCCAAGCAGTAATTGTACACCCAGCCCAGGCAAAGGGAAACACAAACCCCCGGATATCATCACCTCACCTGTCTCCCTTCAAGATCAAGACTTGTTCGTTGGGTCTCCTGTACATGTAAGTACTCCTACTTCCAATTTTCTTTCATACGGTGAAATTTCACTAATGCATGCTTTGAAAACGTACAGACGCCGAAGCGTTGCTGGAAAGATGAACTGATCTGGGACCTCGACGGCGTCCGCAATCTCCGAGACCTACTCATACTATGGATTGATTCCGGCGTCACAGCAAGCAACATCGGATGCTTCCTCGAAAACGTACTCTACGACCGAGACGAGCACCTCGACGGCCGCCTAACCCGGATGGTGAACAATCACGAAACCCATACCCAGATCGCGCTGGATCTCCTGAAGCACTACCAAGCCCGTGACGAGGCCGGTAAGCCTCTATGGGAGCTGAAAGCCTCCCAGCTTGGCAACGAGTATTCTCGCTCTGGACAACCAAGCGCATCCAGCACTCCGAGCACACCAAGTGAACCCAACGAACCGAGCAGTAAAGCCGGAACCAAACGCCTCAAAATTACAGTGCCTCTTTTCTTTCGAATGCTCTCTAAGTCTCCTTTAGAGCCCGAGCCGACTCAGACGTCGAAGCGCAATTCCTGTTATCAAGTCCCCGCCCCCAAGTCCCTCCGCACGTTCAAAAAGCCCTACTTCATGAACAATGTCGAGCCGATACGAGAGATAGAGGAAGTGAGCGATGGATTTAGCGGGAAGGCTTGCTGGTCTTTTAATATTAGCGACGACCTTACAATGCTTACTATCGCGGAGAGGAGAGCGTTGATGGCTAACACGGGGGCTTTACCTCCGTCGTTTGCAGCGGAGATTCACGATTCTACTCCGGTCGTGGATATTTCTTCTTTGTATACGGCTAATCATTTGCAGATACAGGGGCTAGAAAAGGAACATGAGAGGACACTGAGTGGTGGTAGTAGGCAATCTTTTTCCTCTTCTGATTATGGGGGTATGTCTTCGTTCATCCAATAGGTGGTTCCACAGAGTTTGACTAACAGATCTTAGACTAAGAGGCAAGGCTGTGAGATACTGGGTACATAGTTTCATCTTTGTAGCCAGGCGTTTCATTGAAAGGGGAAATAGCCTAGCTAACAAGCATTTTTGTTTTTTTGATGCCTCATACCCACCTGCCTACATGGCTAAAATCCAAAATGAGAGGAAACATTATCCCCAATCATTGAGATTCATTTCATAAGATATTATGTACATAGTTCTCATATGTGAAGTTCATTTTGACCAAATATGGTACTTGGATTTCAAGTTTCAGTCAGATTGCAAGCGGCGAATGAACTGTGTCACTTGTTGCGCCAACTAGCCCAATATGCCTGCAGTCTCTGGATTGTGTAATCAGTAGCCCACCCCAGATCCATTTCCACAGAACTAAGAAGGTAGGTTACGAGTGCATGTTCACCTGGGTTCTCCAGACATTGCCCAACAGCAAATAATGTTGGAATCATGAATATCCGCACAGCATCCGGTGGCCGGCCCAGCGCGATACCGCAAATCTCGCGGATGTGAAACTCGACTTCTCTAGAAACTTCCCAGTACCCACGTAGTCGATCGAAAGATGTACTCAAGCTATTGATGGGATCTGTGGGCTGATTCAGCAGAAGTGCAATCCGCCCAAAGTGGTAGTGCTGTATCGCTGCAGCACCGCCTGGACGCCCATAGAATATTTGATCTATAGGCTTTCCTTCAATTGTGAATGGTTCTTCGGCCTCCTCTGCACGGAGAAAAGGACGGAATGTTTCTGGGAGCGATTCAACCCAGGCCTGGAGCTCAAAGCACAGACGAAGCCATACTGCTGGATCGGGAAATGGGTTCTGGCTGGGAGATGGTATACCTCGACCATCCAGACTCAATGGCGGCCCAGTCCATCGAGCCAATTGTGCTTGTTTTTGCTTTGCGAGGAAATTCACTATTTTGAAAACCAACAATAACCCGCCATTGGCAGCCTGGTACTCTCTGACCAGTGCTTCCTCCCGTAGTGGGAGTTGAAATCGGCCTTCGTTGTCAATGTTTATGCCCGCACATCGCCAAAGCGTAAGGCGTTCCGAATCAATATTTGAAGCAACACGATTAAAATAGGAACTGAAGAGATCTAGCCGAACAAAGTTCCAGAAAGCTGCTCTGATTCCAGAAGAGAACTCCGGGCTTGAGTCAATATGCAGTTTTTGAATGGTTTCGAACAGGGAACCAAAATCCCAGACAACTGCCTGCGTGGAAAATGGGAAAGATGAAAGCTAAGAAGGAGAATGAAAGACTCACTGCGACCATTCCTCCGGATTCCTATCTATAAATTCGAATAATGTTAGAATCACAAGTGCTGCAAGTAGCTCCTCTGTTTTCCGTAATATCGAGATGCCCCTCGGGGTTTCATCACGTGCATCAAAGCTATAGTGACCAAGATAAGATCTCATCCACTGATCAACAAGTCTAATTGGAGACATTGCCATATTGGAGCTGGGAATGAAGGTACCTAGTGAAGTACTATGGTGCAGCCCAGCAGTCGCCAGTTGGTAGTACTTTGCTGCCCGGGGAGACCAATCCACTCGTGCATGGGTTGCATGAAGGCTTGCCGAGGCATTGTGCCCTGCAGAATATCTTCTATTTTTAACTCGGCCCAAATGTTTTGCGGCAATACTGGCCATTGCATATCTTAGGGTTGAGCTGTCATTAGCTCGGATCGGCACATGGACTGAGAAAAAGTCATCAGAGCTCGACAAATCCAACCTATTCCAGTCAACGGCGTGTATGGATTTAAGTTGTTCATATCCTTACCAAGGACCAAATCACGTCAGAATAATCCTGAAAAAGAACTTGAAACTCATACAAATTCCCGGTGAGTTCCGAGCAAATATGGTCGGAACCACTCTGCTCACCATGTCGGGGCGAAACTCCCGGGGGCGGTAAATAATACTCTCCAGGCTCTCTCTGACCAACATCTCTGGGGGCTTCCAGCATCAAAGGGGTTCCAGTAGAACCATTGGAGAGGATTGAGCTATCTGGGTGGTTCGGTCTCGTCCCACTTCTTCCTTCATCGATGTTGGTCGCCGACCATGAGACCCGCTGAGAATCCCTCTGCGGAACACATGACTGGTCGTTCTCCAATGCCGTCTCATTGGGATCGGAAAAATCTTTAGCTTCTTCTCTGGCACGCGCAAGTGTCTGTGACTCAAAAGCCTCGGGTTGCATAAATGAATCATCGCTTGCTTGTGCAACATCTTGGTTGGAGTTCATGGATCTTGTGGTTCTTCTATCTCCCATCTCAACTCGCCATGATACAAGTCCATTTTTTTGATAGGATGGGGTTTTCCTCTCATTGCGACTTCTAAGTGTCTTGCCATGACGTCTTAGCTTTGCACTTTCATCAACAAATTTGTGTCGGATATAGCCAGGACACTCAATGCCGCCGCTAGTGCATCGGCCACATCTTGGGCGAGTTTCGTCACACTAATGGCTTACCAAGAGACGTTCCATTTCTCAAATTTCAGCCCAGTCCAGTCACACCTTTAGTTGCTTCTCTTTGCATCGCTTGCACTTCCTTATTGGAGGCACACAGGGCATTGTGGTCCGTCCGGCGGAGCGAGCAGGTGGAAGGATTGGTGTAGGCGCGTGTGGCGTGGCTAGCTAATCGAGAGTACCAGAGTACTAGAGATTTGTGGAAACATCACGTTGAATTACTGAAAGTCCCTAACGGCCATTTGAGGTTGTGATGGGATACGTGCGGGGGGCAAGGGCCCACATCAGATATGCAGGAAAGCGGGTCTCACGATGACCAATCAATGGTGAGTTCATTCACTGTTTTTGGTAATTGCTACGAAAGGAAATTTCCTATTAAGGGCATTCTGCTTCAACCTTTAGGGCTATGTACAGGACAGCTCATCCTACTCATGGGTCCTCGAGCTATAATGCGGGCAGCTGTGGGAAGGTTGACAAGAGTTTCATGTTCTCTTTGTTCGGCATTGTACCTTAATTGCGCCCTTTGACGAGAGCCCTGCCCCGGTGGCATCATATCCGCTTTGTGTGTCGCCACGACAGTTCTGAGAATTGAGATTTGTGATGATCTTAAAGGGAAGATTGAAGTACACTTTGGCTGCTATCATATGCTATAAAGAACTAGAGCCCGCGCGCGTCGACTATGCCCTGGGGTCTTCGCTTCCAGATACAGCGCTTCTAGCGTATTCAATAGTGCATGCAAATAGCGGGGAAGCTCGTAGGTATAAATACGTTACGAAAGTGACTAAAGGAGACTCTAACGATCAATACACAATTTTGTAGAGCCAAAGCACAGTGGGTCTGCCTTTGCAGATCTGTAGGTAAGCCGATTAAAAGACTGAAACATTTTTCATAGCCAATGAGAATGCCCGGCAATAGTAGAGAATAGCCATAAAGGGGATATCACTGTAAATGGTAAAACCTCCATAGAGAAACTAGATCTACATGATACTGCTGCGACACAATGTCCATGGATACCGTCTTGATTACCCCGCAACTTGGATGGTCTGCTCGGGTAGACAACGAGGAGTAGCTTGAGAAAAATGCCTATTCGATCGGGTCAGTTGCGTTATAAATACCCCCCTAGCCTCGCCTCATGAGAAAGATAGACTAAATCTTTTCTCTCTGGATTTCTCACTCATAAACACTTCATCATGGCCAATATCATTCCAAGCCCTGAAGTATATGGTGCCGGGTCCTTCATCGACAAGGATCCCCTTCCAATCCCCGAGGATGCCCGCCGCATCTTCAAGCTGTTGGCCCAGGCTACTCCAGGGTTCACCAAGGATCCTAAACAGTGGGAAACCGTGCAGTTTGAAGGTAGTCCGGAACCAATCGTCCCTGGTATCAAGCTCCCACAGTTGCAGCCGCACTGCATGCAATGTGTGGCGTTGTTGGAAATGAGATTATAAATGATCGGGACGGTGAGAATACTAGCCAGCGCGTGACCATCAACACAGACCATGCCGCACTCTGGCTTGGAACAGTTGGTTTCGTCAAATTGAACGGAATGGATCTACCAGAGATGGCGAGAACCGGGAAACTCAGCTCGGTATACAAAACAGACTTTGAAAAAGGAGCCTTTTCCGCTCCTCTTCGAGTCCGGACTACCGCAAACTATCCCACCAAGACACCTGGTGTCTGGTATCAGCTTCATGGATCTCTGAATGCGGTTCCGGTTCTCAAGGCAATCGGATTGGATCCTGAAATGCCCTGCAACACACCAAGAGGCCTACGATATCATCAGCAAGCGAGTCCAGCAATTTGGCGCCGATGAGCTGGAAATGAAGATGGTAAAGCTGGGTCTCTGTGGAAATATTGTCTATACGCCACAGGGATGGCGGGAGACTGAGATGAGCAAACAGTTATCTCGGCATCCTTTAGTCAACTATAAACCCCAGTCACACGCTATACCAACCCTTCCAGCTCCCATCCCGCGTCTTCCTGCTGACAGGCGTCCGTTGGCGGGCATCAAAATGGTCGAACTGGTGCGGATCATTGCTGGACCAGTCATCGGAACTACCCTCGCAGCACTTGGAGCGGATGTCATTCGTGTGAACTGCAGCCGGCTCCCTGATATCAATGTAGGTGTACCCTCTACTCCAATGGTTTGATTATGGACTGGCTAACCATACCCCTAATCCAGTCGCTCCAACTTACCCTCAATGCGGGCGTTCGAGCAATCGACATTGATCTGACCAAAGACGAAGATCTGCAAAGATTGATGAAACTCGTCCAGGACGCTGATATCTTTGTCCAAGGCTACCGTCCCGGTGTCATCGCCAAAAGGGGCCTTAGTCTCCCCGACCTTCTAGAAATGGCAGGAAAAAGAGGAAAGGGTATCGTCTATGTCGAGGAGAACTGCTACGGACCGGACGGTTCCTTCAGCGCTCGGCCCGGGTGGCAGCAGGTGGGAGATGCTGCATCGGGTACGTCATTTGTGACGGCCCGAGCGATGGGCCACATGGATGGTAGAGGAATCCTTCCTGCAATGCCGATCCCTGATATGATGACCGGGTTGATCGGCGCATTGGGGGCGTTGATGTCTATTCGAGACCGTGCGCGTACTGGGGGCTCATATCATGTTTTTGCATCTCTTGTTGCAGCAGCGGCATATCCATTGGATCCCGAGGTCGGCTTGTATTCTCCGGATTTAGTGACGAAGGTTGACGAAAGGTTCAAATGGGAATCGATGGATCCATCCCTTTTTGTTTTTGAACTTTTGGATGTGGTCATTAGGGGTTGGAAGAGGGAGTTTTCGGATATCTATGCTCCTGATTCACCCTTTACCACCACGCTCGAGGGGGAGTGGGGTACTTTTGATTTGCTCAAGCCTGTAGTTAATTTGGTGGATGAGGGGGTGACGCCACGGTGGCTTACAGCTCCGGTACCGCACTGTTGGCATGATGCTGGTCGCATTTCGTGGCTCTCCTAATCACCTCTTGCTGCATGCGGGTGAGGTGGAAGTGTACTGCAGTGTTGTTGGCTTTGTGTTCCCTCGAGAACTTGATTTAAAGAAACCACGTGTGCCTATGGAACCGGAATGGCGCGTCCACGTTGGACGATCCTGTAAGGAGGCATGGATATTCTGAGTCTGGATCATCGGTTCCACTCTTTCCATTAAACATCCAATAGTGTGAAATATGGTGTGCAAAGTGGGTTTTTTAAGCGGGAGTCGGCATCAGCCGGATCGCAGACCAGCACGTCCAGAACAAAGTCTCACCACGGTTGGCACCATTAACTCCGATCTGAGTCAGTAACTATCTCCGTTTTCCCTGAGACCCTTTTCCTCGAGAGCCCATGTATGCATAAGAGTCCCGGGCGCGGGACTCCGAGAGGCCGCGTTGGCGAATATCCGCGCCATCCCGGCACTAGAAGAAACAGGGAATTTTCCTCCGCTCCCCTTTCGCCTTTTTTTGCTTTGCTTTGCCGCCTAGTTTTACGCGAAAAACGGATTATCGCTTAGTTTAACCGTTGCTTATGCCTAAATATAGTGCTGTCGTTACATGATTACATTACAACAGGGTCCACGGTTGAATGATCTTTTGATTACCTGTGACACCTTTTCTCCTTTCTCATAACCCCAACCTCAACCTGTCGCTCGTTTTTCATGGCTGGGTGTTCCGGTAGAATTGGAAATGCGTCTACCCCTGAGAGTTTCATCTCTCTGGGTTTTGTTTCTCGCTGAACTGGTCTCTGCTACGGAATACATCACCACCGCGGCGCTGCAAGAATGTCAAGCCAACTCTGCCATCAGCGTCAGCTACTTTGCCGCCCAACTAGACCGAACTGGCGAGCTTAATCTCGCTTTTGTTGGAGATGTGTCGATCTCCGGCAAGATCACAGCCGACATCCAGCTGTTGGTGTATGGCTACATGGCCGTCAATGAGACCATCAATCTTTGTTCTCTAGGCGTGGACAGTCTGTGTCCGGTCTCATCCGGCTCGCTTGATATCCCCCAGGCTTCCGTGAACATCTCGTCAATCCTTAACGATGTCCCTGGTTTGTTGCGCTGCCTTAGATCTCACTAATCTGCCAGGCTAATCGGTTCTGCAGGAATTGGATACACGGTGCCCGACCTAGATGCTACAATCAAGATCTATGTAAAGAATCAAACAACGGGCGGCAATATCGCATGTCTGTCTGCCGATCTTTCTAACGGTCATACTGTTGATCAACCCGCAGTCTCATGGGTTCTTGCAGTGATCGCCGGCCTAGGCCTCTGTGGGTCCGCGCTCTCCTTCATCAGAGGTCACCTCAATACCGCCACACACTTGTCTTTCTACGCGCTCGCTCTTCTAGACCTGATGCAGTCTCAGGCCATGATCGGCCTCAGCTCCGTCAAACTTCCGCCCATAGCACAGTCATGGACACAGATGTTCCAATGGAGTATCGGAATCTTACATATTGGCTTCCTACAGACCCTCTGCACCTGGTACTTGCGTGCAACCGGAGGTACACCGTCCGACATAATGACAGAATCAAAAAGTGTCTCCGTGGTTACGCAAAAACGCAGTCTTATCGATGAAACCACCCATATCTCAACAAATCTTCTCAAAAGAGCGACGACATCCATTTCAAGCACTTCAACCACCTCAACCGGATCAGAAATCTACCTGAAGGGTATCCGCCGCATGGCCTATCGAGCCAGAATCGAACCCACCAACATATTCATGACCAGCTATTCCATGTTCATTTTCTTCGGATGCCTAACGGTATTGGTGGTACTGGCTTTCAAATTTATATGCCAAGCCCTCAGTAAATCAAACAAGCTCCCTGACCGACTTCGATTCGCCGCAACTGGTCTACCAACCACCAGCCGAGGAATTCTACTCCGTTTCATCACGCTCGTCACACCGTCAGCAGCAGTGTTTTGCTTTTGGGAGTTCACTCGACTCGATTCGGCCGGCGAGCTTGTCCTGGCTATTACATGGTGGGCTGGAATCACAATCTGTCTAGGATGGACGGCAGCCACAGCCATGTTCCACGTTCACAAATGCCGAAAATCAGGCATGGATGCCACCTACGTTCTTTACTCAGGTCGGGATAAACTAAGCCGGAAGCTGAGTTTCCTTCACGTTCACTACACCGCAAACACCTTTTACTTTTTCGCCATTGCGCACCTCTACACCCAAGTCAAAGGCATCGTCACCGCCGTCACCCAATCCGTCCCAAAAACGCAGGCCGTCATTCTCTTGGTTATCGATTTCATCATGGTGGCACTTGTCATCTGGCTCCGCCCTTACATGGATAAAAGCATGAACCGATTCGGAATCGCAACAGCCATCTTTGGCTTCCTGAACTCAATCTGTCTTCTCTTTTTCTCGGAAATCTTTACCGGACCCGCAATGATGAACAGTGTTATCGGAGTCTTGTTCTGCATCTATAATGCGGTCTATATGCTTGTTCTGGTCATTTTCCTTATCATGTCTTTCGTCTACGCCTTGGTCCTAAAGGACCCTGAACGTCGATTCCAACGCATCAGGGACAACCGCGACTCGTTTATCGATTTGCATACCGCGGTTCCTGACGAGCTGGAGGATTTGAGTGCCACTGCTCGTTCAGGTGAAGAGCCCAAACTCCCTCCGCAGTCATCTTCGAGCCTCTTGCTCAATTCTCACAACGAAGAGCACCCGAGGTCCCGTGATACATAATCTCTTTCTTTGCATATATTAGAAAAATTTATACATAATTTGTCATCTCAATTTGAGAAAGATTCAAACATCAGCCATCCATGTGTAGATTTATAGATGAAGACCAATTACATTGCGAGTGCTACCCGAAATGGAATAAGTCAACGTAGAAGATCTTGTATTGTTCAGACAGGAGAGTAGAAAGTAATATCTAGAAGTTTAAAGTACATATCCCAAAAAGCCGCGCGAGATGATATAGTGCCATGACGCAGAAAGTACATGAGAGATTTTGAATCCACGGCAATACCGCGAACAATGAACAAAAGCCTAATCTTCTATAGAGAGACGACAGTCTATGCTGTACCTGATCTCCATTATGGAATAGGTTTGTGGCCCCGCCGGGCCAGATGAGAGTATTGGGGGAGAATAAATGTTACATATGTCGGAGGGAAGGCGGGTGGAGATCAGACCAAACGGTGATGAGTCTGGTGATGGGCTTATTTCTTGTTTCGGTCGGCCTGAGCCTTGACGTACTTGGCAATGAGCTCCTTCCTGTACAGCGATAATTGATTAGTATGAGATTATAAAGTAAAGGGAGAGGTTAAACGTACTGGACCTGCGGAGGAGCCTTCTCGTAGTGGCTGAACTCCATTTGGTATTCACCCTTACCCTGGGTGGCGGCGCGGAGGTTGGAGCTGAAGCCGAACATGCCGTTCAGACTGCAGTCAGCGTAGATGGTGAACTCGTCAACACCGGTCTCGGTGTCGTTAATGGTGGCACCACGCTTGTTCAGCAGGGCGATAACATCACCCTGGAACTCGGACGGGGCAGTTACCACGGTCTTCATCAAAGGCTCTAGAATAGCGGGCTGACTGTCCATGAAAGCCTTGCGGAAGGCCTGTTGAGTGGCGTTCTTGAAGGCCATTTCGGATGAATCAGTCATGTGAGTAGCACCGTCGTTGATGACCATGCGGGTACCAAGAACCTTGTGGCCAACGAGAGGACCCTTCTCAGCAGAGAGGTTGAAACCCTTCTCACAAGCGTACAGGAACTTCTCAGAAATGCTACCACCGACGATCTGCTGCTCAAACTTGTTTTCCTCGAGAGCACCAGTGGGCTCCATCCATCCCATAACACGGGCGTAGTCACCAGCACCACCGGTCTGCTTCTTGAGCAGGTGGTCGAACTCAACACGGTGACCAATGGTCTCACGGTAGGCGACCTGGGGCTGACCGGTCTCGCAGTCAACGCGGTACTCGCGACGCATACGCTCAACGTAGATGTCCAAGTGAAGCTCACCCATTCCGGAGATAATGGTCTGTTCGCTCTCGTTGTCGTAGGTCACACGGAATGTAGGATCCTCTCTCTGGAAACGGGCCATGGCCTTGGAGAAGTTGGCAGCATCCTTGCTCTGCTTGGGCTTAATGGAAAGAGAAATAACGGGCTCAGGAACGAACATGGAAGACATGCTGTAGCCGAGCTGCCCATCAGTGAAGGTATCACCGGAGGCACAGTCAACACCGAACACAGCACAGATCTCACCAGCACCGATCTCGTTGACTTCCTCCATCTCGTTGGAGTGCATACGCACAATACGGGGAATCTTGACCTTCTTGTTGTTGCGGGCGTTGAACACGTTGGCACTCTTGCGGAGAGTACCCTGGTACACACGAATGTAGGTCAACTGACCGAAGTTGCTCTCTTCCAGCTTGAAGGCCAGACCGACAAACGGAAGAGAATTGTACGGGACAAGCTTGACCGAAGCCTCATTGCGCTTCTGGTCAAGCGCAAGGTTCTCCACCTCAGCGGGGTTGGGAAGGAAGTCAATAACACCATCAAGCATGGGCTGGACGGACTTGTTGGCCAGGGCAGAACCCATGAAGACAGGAGTGAACTTAAGACCAATAGTGGCGCGACGGATAGCACTGCGGATCTGGTCCTCGTTGGGCTCAATCTCGTCGAGGAAGAGCTCGGCCATCTCGTCATCGACATCAGCAAGGGTCTCAATGAGCATGGCTCTGCGCTCAGCAGCGATGTCCTTGACCTTGTCGGGAATTTCATCGGTCTCTTTGAGGTTCTCACCACTCTCACCAACGTTGTAGATGGCCTTCATGCGGATCAGATCCACAACACCCTCAAATTCATCCTCCGCGCCAATGGGAACCTGGACGGCAGCGGCGGGAATCTTGAGCTTAGAATTGATCTGGTCAACCGCCTTGAAGGGGTTGGCACCCATACGATCCATCTTGTTAACGAAGGAAATACGAGGGACGTTGTAACGACGCATCTGACGGTCAACGGTGATGGTCTGAGACTGAACACCAGAAACGGCACACAGAATCATGACGGCTCCATCCAGAACGCGCAGCGCTCTCTCAACCTCGATGGTGAAATCAATGTGACCGGGGGTATCAATCAAGTTAATGTGGTACTTCTGATCCTGTCCCTCCTTGTCCTTCTTGACCCAGTCACAGAAGGTGGCAGCAGACTGGATAGTAATACCCTTCTCACGCTCCAGATCCATGGAGTCCATCTTGGCACCGACGCTGTCACGTCCACGGACCTCGTGAATAGCCTTGATACGGCCGGTGTAGAAAAGGACACGCTCGGTACAAGTGGTCTTGCCACTGTCAATATGGGCCTATCGTAGAAAAGATCAATTAGAAACTGCCACGAAAATCGAAGTAGTTGAGATAATATATACCGCAATACCAATGTTGCGAACTTTATCCAAACGGGCAGCCTCCACGGGGTCGAGGTTGTCGATGATGGCGGCTTGCGACAGGGTGTCCGGGCTGGCAGCAGCGGCCTCAAGACTATGAAAAAAACATTAGGAAATAGTCGGGATAGAGTGTTATTGGAGACTTACACCGCAGAAGCAGTAGCGGAGGCATTGCGTCGTTGCTCCCATGTCTTCAAAACCGACTGATAAGCCGGCGCGACACCGGAAGACCGCAAAGCGGCCGTGGAAGCGCATCGCGACTGCAGAAGGCCCTGAGACTGGAATCGAGAGGATCTGGCCAGGCCAGATACTGCACGGTACTGCAACCGTGCAAGGGAAGGAGACCTCATGGCGATAATCAATTCAGAATAGAATTGATCGAATCAAGACAGATTGATCAGCGCTTGTTTTTTCGAGGAAAAAAAGTTCGGGGAAGCCAGGAACGCAACACGTGACCGTTGGCCTGTCAGGAACCGCGCATTACATGTCCTATTATTTTCATCATGAGGCATGTAGAAGAGATTATTTGTGTAAATTGGCATGCTTGGGATGCTATTACAGGTATACAAAACCGGCATGTGTGTCTTCCAAATCCATGAACCATGTGGAGATCAATAGAGGTGAATTGATTCAGTGTAAAGACCGCATTTCTGGTCCCGAGACTATTGTACAAGAAAAGACCCAAGCGCCGCAATAATGTCCCAAAATACATCTGGACTAACACATATGCAAAGTTATAGGCAGAGGCGGAAATTGAAGGTATCAAAGTCGTGCGTGCCGAAGAAAGAACGAGGGGAAAGGCTTCCATCCACTCTATTTGCCCTGTCGCTGCTTGTGCTTGGCATTTTTCGAGCTGAAGTTAATGTGTCAGTGGGAGAAACAATTAAGCAATCTCAATTGAGAATGTATAGGTCTTACCAGATGATGAAGACGCGGTTCTTCCGGCGCACGGGCTAGAAATTCAGGTCAGTGACTAGACATATATTTCTGCAGGAATCCTCTCGATCATCCAGCAAGACTCAATGTGTAATTCATTCATACCTTGCAGCCATCACACAGGCGCTTCACCGAAGAGCGAGTCTTCATTCCCCGAATCTGAAGTTGCCGGGAGGTGCCAACGGCAGCAGTGACAGCATTGCTAGTCTGTGATTGGGCGCGCAGCCTCATAAGACCATTCTGGACCATGTGCGAAAGAGGACGGACAGATGCAACTCCGGAGAATGATCGACGGGAGACGGAGGGAAGGAGTTGGCGGAGAGCACCGGGGGCGCGGAGAACGGTTCGGAGGGAGAACATGGTGATGATTTGATCTTCCCTCGGGACTTGGAAGATTTATCAAAGACTCGGGGCCTCTTTCGTCGTTCTGAGCAATGGACAGCCAAATGTAAGTGGGTGTCGTTGGCTTTGCTCCCGGGGTTCTCGCTCTTGATAGTGCTTGGAAGATTGTTGCCGGAGGTTGTGTTTTGCCGGGCCGATCCCGCTCCGATGTTGATTGGTGGGTTTGCAACAATACTTATCGACAATGCTAATTTACAACATCTGGGTCAACTTTGGAATACATCAAGTATTAAAAGATAATTGTGAATTGATACCGAAAAAAGCTATCATACAATCCAAGTCAATTCTCCATAGTCTATATGCTCGAAACCCAACGCCAAATGAAGTACTGAGAAGGGTTGCACTTTTAAGCCGCTGAAAAAAGAAAGAAAACACTGTTCATCATATCCCGGTATGTCTCCATCCCATATATACCAAAAGCATCATAGCGTCATGTGAGTCCATTAAGAGCGAAGGAAAGTCTTATAGGTAGGGGAATCGGTGTGCTCGCTGAAGGGGTAGCCCAGGTCGCGAAGGAACGACTCGAGCTCATCCTTCTCTGTAGGAGGGCACTGGATACCGCACAGAACCTTGCCAACGTCACCGCCGTAGTTACGGTAATGGAAGAGGGAGATGTTTTGGTTGGGACGAAGAGTGGTCAAGAACTTGGCCAGAGCACCTGGTCGCTCAGGGAACTCGAACATGAAGAGACGCTCATCCGCCACGTTGGAGCGACCTCCGACAAGGAAGCGAACATGGCGCTTCACAAGCTCGTCATCGCTCAGGTCCTGAACAGACATTCCTGAATTCTCCAGTTCCTCCATAATCTTCGCCAAGTCTTCCCGGCCAGTCACGGCAGATAGTTGGATGCCCATAAGGACATCAGCGACGTGCTCCTGCGCAAATCGGTAACTGAAGGCGGTGACAGCGTGAGGCAAGATCACCTCGATGAGCTTAGCAAAGGCACCGGGTGTCTCGGGAATCTTGACACTAAGCAGAGCCTCCTTCTTCTCACCGAGAGCAGCCCGCTCGGCCACAAAGCGGAGACGATCAAAATCCATGTTGGCGCCGGAGGTGATAGCAATCAGCTCACGGTTGGTGTCGGGGCTAGGGTTGTTGGAGACATATTTTTTGAGACCGGCGAGGGAAAGAGCACCGGCGGGTTCGACAACGGTTCGGGTGTCCTCGAACGCATCTTTAATGGCAGCACAGATCTCATCGGTGGAGACCTGAACAATCTCATCGATCACATCGCGGCTAACACGGTAGGTTTCCTCACCAACGGATTTCACCGCGGCACCGTCGGCGAAGAGGCCGACCTCCTTCAGGAAAACCCGCATGCCCTCATCCAGCGACTGAGCCATGGCGTTGGCATCATAGGCCTCCACACCAATAACCTTGACGTGAGGCGCAATGCGCTTCAAGTAAACGCCAATGCCAGCAATCAGACCACCACCACCAACACCACAGAAGACTGCCTCCAGCTTATCCAAGTTTGCCTGGCGCAGCAGCTCCATTCCAATGGTACCCTGACCAGCAATTACGTACGGGTCATCGAATGGCGGGATATTGGTCAAGCCGTGCTGCTTCTCCAATCGGTGGGCCTCGTCCTTGGCCGCATCGAAATCATTTCCGTGAAGAACCACGCTTCCACCAAGACGAGCAACATTGCGATGCTTGATAGCCGGAGTCCCTGAGGGCATGACGATAGTCGCGGGAATCTTGAGCTTGCGGGCAGAGTAAGCCACACCCTGCGCGTGGTTTCCAGCCGAGCAAGCAATCACACCCTTCCACCGCTGCTCGGCGTTAAGGTGAGCCATTTTGTTGTAAGCACCACGAAGCTTGAAGCTGAATACTGGTAGCAAATCCTCACGCTTGAGGAGAACTCGGCTCTCAAGTCGGTTACTCAAATTGACGGCATGGTGGAGGGGGGTTTCATCGATGACATCGTAAACGCGGGATGTTAAGATCAGGCGCAGATACTATATACCATATGTCAGAAATGAGGGGAAACAGCAGGTAATTGTGGTATTTCTCACATCAGGGTAGCCATTGGGAAGTAGGCAAGACTCGGGAATTCCCCAGTCTGGGGGCACTCCAGGGAATCGAGGGTTGCGCTCTGAGGGAGGCGTGGGAGCGGCGGTGTACTCAGTCAAAGCGAAACCATTCATTTTGGGAGGGGTGACTGGTGTCTTAACGCCATTGGCGACAGGTTGGTCAGACATGATGATCCTGAGAGAGATTGACCAATCTGAGACTACTCGACAGGAAAATTCAATGACTCAGAGGAAAGAGATAGTAGTTCAGGGAAATTCTTTGACCTCTGACTCTTTTTTCCCGCGGGGGAGCGGGATCGGACCTTATGTCATCAACGTCGGTCCACAGCACTTATCGTGTTATGACCTTAAAATCAATAATGAAACTAGGTATATGTGTAAATATATAGGTATGAATACCTGAATGGCTTCTCAATAAATTGGTTTTATTTGTAATTTCGCCGGTTGGGTTTAGAGATTGTGGTGAGGAATGTACATTTTCAATATGTTCAAAGGTGGCGGTCTGCGGAGATACGATGGCGACATCTGTATTGATTTTATTATCGATAGATCATTTTCTGATTATATTTTCCAGACTTCCCGAATTAACTCAATCCTAATGCTAATTAGTTATAGGATCCCAAAATTGATCTTCAAACATCGTACCAGTTGTCAGATAGTCGTTTGGAGTCCGGTATACAAATTGCCTGATAGGCTCATACAACGCGGCGGAAGAAAAAACTGCTTGGCAAAAACCTCGCGACGTCATGTTGCACTGAACACCTCTCGCGTGCCCCAGATAACCACGATCACCTAGCTTCAATCGAGTCCAAAACTAAGTTTGAAGTTAGCCGGCTACTCGACCACTATTTGCAGCACTCAAACTCCCTACATTCCGCCCGATCCAAGCTCCCGCGATCCCAACCGCAGAGCATCCAGCTCTACTTGACTTGTACAATAATCCGCCATAATGAGTCGTGAACCCCTTCCGTCCTCGATGGATACTGCGGAGAGCAGTCTGTACGTGACAATTCCATTTTAAACCAAGCTCAGCGACAAAGCGGGAGTTGCTATTTTGGAAGAACATATGGGGGCGGGGAGAACGGTCGACTAACATCCATATCCTTCCTAGCCAATTCCGCGAGGAAAGTGGCATGCAGAAATTTACCAGACGTCTTAAGGAAGAACCTTTGATTCCACTAGGTATGTCTACAAATACTGCCACCCTACCTTCAAGACCTTCGACCACTCCAGGCACAAAGTACTAAACGATCCCTCCATTGCCACAGGATGCGCTGCCACATGTTACGCCCTCTACCGCGCCTACCGATCCATGAAAGCCGGTGATTCCGCCGAGATGAATCGCATGTTCCGCGCCCGTATCTTCGCTCAGGCATTCACACTAGTCTCCCTAGTGGCAGGCGGTATGTACTTCAAGACCGAGCGCCAGCAGCGCCGCGAATTTGAGAAGGCTGTGGAGGAACGTAAATCACAAGAGAAGCGCGATGCTTGGTTGCGGGAGTTGGAGATCCGTGACAAAGAGGACCGCGAGTGGCGTGAGCGTCATGCTGCTATCGAGGCTGCGGCGAAGGAGGCTGGACAGAAGCCGCAGCAGCCCGATGCCGCTCGCGCGTCGATCGAGCCGGCAGATGAGAAGAAGGTTGGTGTCTTGGATGCTGTGAGGGTTCTGCTGGCACAGCGGAACTAGAATGATCCTTGCACGTGTAAAATACTATGACAAGTTGTAGTGATCGATTTGTATTATTTGTGTATATAGCTGCTCCAATCTCCAAGCATTTGATGTTTCTAAGTTTACACGAAAGTCACATTGCATCAGAAGAGTGACTTATTGAAATCATGTTTACTTCGTTTTTGATGTTTTCAGGCTGTTTGTCATGGTCAATCTCTGCGGGACGATGCCTGGCGCGGGCGTGGACGGGATATTGTCCTCCACTGTAGCTTCTCGTCCCTCTGATACGCGGACTGATCTACCGTGCTACAATATCACGGGCTGACACCAGTTGAGATGCACTAGCGTCTCTCCCAGGTCGGCCAAACTGAAGTGTGATCGACCCGATTGCAGTAATTTCGTGGTCGATTCTACCTCGGACTCATGTGCGCATGTGAGATCGACACTTTAGCGTCATAGACTCACCCCAACATACTTTAGCAGTTCTTGTTTACCATGAAAACTTAGCCCTAAAATTGAGTTTTTAAACTAGCGCGGAGGGGGAGATATTTCGATTTCCCCAGGCGACTGGAAGCTTCATGAACAGGACGCTTAGGGACAATATAGAAATAGTGTATACTGCGTTCTTGATGGATCCCCGGAAAGCACCCGTGGCGGCGCTAAAACTTTGATAGTCCGGGCCACAAAGCCCTGGAGAGAACCCCTGGCGGGATTCCGTGCTCCACTATTTTCGGGTTCGTTCCTTTGTCGAGAACATGCAGGGTCTCTCGGGCTGGTACCTTGCCTAGGCATTGATATCACATTATGACGTCTGGCCACGCTAGTAAACGGCCTCGGTTTGTTGAATTTTGTGTTAGCGCAAAAGTAAATTCACCAAAATACTATTACCTATATAAGCTTTGGATCTCCCCGCTGGGCCTGAAGTGGATCTTGCTCTTTCCCCCTTCACATGAATAATTTTACTGCAACGCGTGAGATAAATTCGACTCTATTCAACTGTACAATCCATCAACGCGAATCAACACCGGGAAATTAAACAGATTCCCCTATATACCAGCAACAAAGTACACATATATCCATTCAAAATGTTGTCCTGGGTATACCCTATCCGGATCATCCAGGCTATCTTTGCCTTGGCGACCATCGGTCTGACTGCATATGGTACGTCGCGCATTTAACACAGTATATGCTTATGAAATTAACTAACGACCTCCAGTTATCGGATCCCTATATTCCGAGTGGTCCTTCTCCAATGTGATTTACTACATGCTCTTCAATGGCTGCTGGACAGCCGTCGTCGCCGTCCCCTACCTAGGCCTCGCTCCACTCTGGCTCCCACGTATCTCACATGAATTTGTAATCCCCGCCGTCGAGCTGATTACCATGGGACTCTGGCTCAGTGGGTGGATTGCCATGGCTGCGATGATCCCCCACCCGAGCGAGTGCACCTACTCCAGCTGCCATGCTCTTGAGGCACAGATTGTTGTTGCCGCAGTTGAATGGTAAGTAAATCAGTGAGAAAGAATCTTTGAAGACGGCATCTCTGACTTTAATGATAGGGCTCTTTTCTTGTTTACCAATGTCTATGCTATTATGGATGTCAAGAACTCGCGGAGCAACCACCGGGCTCGCGAGCAGCAGGAGCAGCAGCCCGAGACCTCCCAGGTGGATGCTGCTGAGAGTGCTTAAAGTATATGATTATCATCATTCAACTTTGACTCTCCTGCTCTAAATGCTTGAATGCCCTATGAAAAAGCGGCATTGGATGAACATGACTAAACGAAATGACGGGTTTTTAATGGATCATGTAGGGAACTGATATGCTGTTCCTGCGAGACTTCACTTGTTATTATCATACCATGTAATGTTTACTATAATTTAATCTATATATCGAGGCAAGATTCCCATTGTATACTTGACGGATCTTCCACAGACTGCATTGTGAGGCTTATGAGCTAAGCCCATGCTTCCATGTTGAAAGAGATTGTAAAAACTATTGAACAACAACATTCCTTGTAAATGCCAAAGGCCATATTCAAATGCACTTGGGTAGGTGTGTGATATCTAAATCAATTCCGGGATTTCCCATAGCTTCAGGGTCGTTTGGGTCCGATCTTTGTTGTGGGCATCACATTGAGACTCTGTTTACTGTACAAAACAGCTGGTGCGCGGATGTCTACTGGGCTGCGTGACTCTTTAGTGATAAACAACCAGATTTGAGTCTGACACTAATGGCTAATTGGAAATACAAAAGTTCTCAACCTGATACGCGGGGCAGGGACTGTAGCGGCTTGGCATGAGTTGACTAGTTAGAGATAGTTATAAGGTAATCAGCGTGCTGCATATGGTAAAATCCTTTTGCCTCCCTCTCGAAATTACCCACCTAGCAGGGAAGTCTCTGGCTGATTGACTGATCATGGAACCTCCTTTAGTAGCCATAGTTACTGGTGCCGTAAGTCTCCTACTCTTGTCGCTTGTCGGTGTCCTCATTTTGACCTTAGAACCGAGGCATCGGGCGTGCCATTTGTGCTGCGCTAGCTCAGCAACTCTCTGGCCCCTTAGTTCTGTATACAGCCTCTCGCTCCGGGGGCCCTGTCGATTTGACTGGCCTATCTATTCCTCCAACTGTACAAATCCGCCCTGCTCAGTTGTCCCTCACCGACAAGGCCAGCATGACCGCCCTTAGCAAGATTGTCAGCAAGGAGAACAAGAGTTGCGACATTCTTATCAACAATGCTGGGCTCTACTATTTCCAGGAGAATATCACCTCCGCACAGCGCCAGGAAACCCTTGACGTGAATTATCATGGTACCCTTGATGTACTTTACCAGCTATCGTCTCCTCCTTGTCATCACCCACTAACTGATTTTAGGTCTGCAAAGCTTTCTTACCAATCATGCGTAAGGGCGGTCGCATAGTTAACGTTTCCTCCCAATCCGGCCAGCTCAAATACTTCCATCCCAGTTTACGGGAGCAATTCTTGAGACCCGATCTCACTCTCGCTGAGCTAGATGCCCTGGTAAACGAGTATACCGTACGTGGCTTTTACTCTTTACTCTCTTTGATCTACCACTAACAGCCCAGCTCTAGCGTTTAGCAGACCAGCACACCGAGACCGCGGCGGGCTGGCCCCCCTTAGCTTACTTCACAAGCAAAGCCGCTCTGAACACTGCAACGCGCATTCTGGCCCGCGAAAATCCCGACCTGCTGATCAATTGCTGCTGCCCTGGGTGGGTGGGCACTCCGCTGGGTGCACAGGCTGGTCAGCCGCCCAAATCTGTTGGTAAGTGCGGGGCTTTCTGTCCTACGGCAATATCACTCACTGTTGTAATAGAGGAAGGGGCGAGGATCCCGCTGCGACTGGCGATTGGTGATATCGGACAGGTAAGTGGCCGGTACTGGGCGAACGATTCAGTGGCAAGTATAGGAGATGGAGAAGTTCGGGATTGGTAGCAGTCTAGCTTTCCAAGAAAAAGACGAAGCTATGTGTAGGCAATTTAAGTCTCGAAAGAGTCAAATGCCAATCATCATTTGGGCTTTAGATAAGAGGGAATTATGGACCAAATGACCACTTTCCCGAAAGATTTCTAATCTACCCAAAACCAGCATGATGCGGCATGGATAAGTAGAACACAATGTAACCTATAAACACCGCATAGCCCCGTACTTAGTTCAGATCCAATTAGTCAACTCGGACCAACTTCTTGCCGCCACAATGACAAAATGGTCTGCCCTGGCGGATATCTTTCGGAATTTAGTCAGAATTCCATCTGTAAAGCCGCCGACTGTACACCGCTCCACTTCATGATCGGTCAATGGCCGCCCTGTGGTAGATCTTCGGCAGATCTACTGGCCGGGATTGGGAGGTCTCCGCCTTTACAAATAGAGCGGAGTCTTAGCACACTACATATAGCACAGGATTCGAATCATTCTCATCTCTTTGGCTCATAATTATTGTCCAGACCCACCTAGATGTACATCAATCCCAGCTTTGCCACGACAGTTACGGATAGGGCTGAATATCTTCAACGGCGCTGACATGCTTATCTTCGAGCTTGTAGTGTCCGAAATCATTTTCCGAAATTTAACGTGAAATCTCATTCGATAAGCAATGATTAACTCTAGCAACTTTTTCCTGGTATCACTGCTCTAACAATCTAAGTGGACAAAAAAATTATGTAACTTCATAAGATAGGAAAGCTCAATTGACTGAACTCATAAAATATTGCACTTCATGTCATGTCCATTGCTTCAGATTCTTGTGCAGATGGAGGCGTGGTGCCGTCCTGATGATATCCTAAGACCTCAGCATACCTATTCCCCAAGTCAGCTCTGTTCCTATTGAATAACACTCGTGACACTTACATGATAGTCTTCCAAACATCAGCTGGTAGGTTTGCATCAAGGAAAGACCAGTCAATAACCTCGTCCGCTAACGGTTCATCATCGGGATCATGGTATGGAGCAAGGTACGGTGAAGCGAGAGCATCAGTAGCAGATATTCTCTCATCAGGATCATATTGGAGCATCTTATCCAAAAGCATCGTGGCTGGTAATGTGTCAATTTCATCGACTATAGAGATCAGAATTAACTGGTATACATACCTTTACTGTTTGCTCCTGGGATGAGGGTTGTCCAGGGTTTGCGAGAGTGCTCAGGTAAAGAGCGGACGAAACTCATAGTCTGTAAGACATATTAGTATCGTCGATATGTTACGGAGTCTTCCACGGAATGAACTCACATTCGGACTAGTAACATTGGAAATAACGTGATCGGGGGGAGACCCAAGAAGCCTGGTAATTACACAAAACTGGTCGATATGGTTCTTGCCTAGGAACAAAGGCTCTCCAAGTAGCATTTCGGCAAAGATACAAGCCGCGCTCCAAATGTCGACTTTCTCGTTATATCGCTTCCAGGTGAGCATTATCTCTGGAGCACGGTAGTATCTAGTTGATACGTAGCCTGTCATTGATGCCTCTTGGACACGAGCTAGACCGAAATCGCATATTTTGAGGTCACAATTTTCGTTGACCAGAATGTTGCTTGGTTTCAGATCACGATGAATGACCCCAGCTGAATGAACGTATTTGAGACCGCGCTGTGATATGTTAGTAGTAGTTCGATGGATAGTTGGGGAAGATATCAATCACCATTATTTGATACATGAAGTATTGTGTGAACTGATTATCGACCTTCTTGGATCTCAAAAGAGTGTGTAAGTCTGTTGACATAAGGTCTGTCACCAGGTAGCTAAATTTAAAAGTTGTTGGATTAGTTTTGCGCGACATACGTCATGATGGGGGAATTGCATACATATCTTCTGAAGGTGAAATGAAAATGTCACTCAAGTGGATGATCTGTTGAAACGAATGTTTAGCTTGAGCTTGTGAAGAAAACTAGTTCGGGGACCAACGTTTTCATGTTTAAGTGTTTTTAACAACCTGACCTCTCGGTACATGTGCTTCGCAATATTTTCGGATTTGAACGGCTGGGCAAGCTTCTTGACAGCAATTGTACGCTTTGTAATCTGATCTTTGGCGGAGCTAAAGTGAACCACAGTAAGTTGCAAGACCCTATTAGAAGTCTGACTTTATTTATTGGGTGACATACCAAACAAGTCCCGAGACACCAATTCCAATAGGCTCTAGATGACTATATCTATATGCAATATAATGTAAATATACTATACACTCATATGCAATTTATGGGAAATGATAGGTGCTCACAAACCTTTCGGTTGTCTCAAAAGAGGAGCCTAAAACTGTCTTTGTGGTGAACCGAGCCATATCTCTGCCGGCAGCGGGCTCTTGAGTCACAGACGGCGACATTATAGTGTTGATGTCTTACTGAGGCACAATCATATAAAGGAAAAACGGGGAGTGTCTGAGATGAAAGATTGATTGTAGTTAATATTGAAAGATGTGCACAGAGTTTTACAGGAAAAATGATCCGGTGCGGAAAAGACAAGCTGTTTTATGATTAGATCTCATGATCCACAAGCTACATCGGGAATAAGGTGGCGAGTGGCATGCTTTGACATAAGTGGCTTAAGGAAAGTACTGTGGCACCGCAAAGTCTCCAACAACCAACAGACCGCCCTCGACACACGTGTGTACCGCCTTCAAGGTCCAGAAAAAGGATGGAGAGAACTCGTCATGATTGGTGCATTTCTCGTACCATTTGGAATACAGATCGTAGACCACATATTGGACCTTGGCACGCATCGTACTTCATCACAAGATTTGGGCAGAAAAGTAGCAGAACATTACCTAATCAAGAGCTTGTCGCAAACTGACAGTGGCACTGCTAATTCCTGAGGTGTTCGTAATGCCTAAGCCACAAGTAAGGTTGGTACGGCATCCATTTTGGGAGCTCCACATAGCCCACACCGAAATGTAATGCAATTGGTCGGGCCTTTTGCCCGCTAATGAAGGTGGGCCTATACTACATTCTCTCCACATGTAGCCCAAAGTGGATATTGTATAGCTCCGCCATCCCACACGGACAGGTTCGAGAACCCGTTGGAAAATGCAGCAGTGGCGACTTTTACGCATTCGCTGTACACTCACGCCGATCATCAGGGCCCTGGTCTCCGGCATAGCCTGATTTGATCACACATGCTCACAGAAGTCCTGAATGATCAGGATCACCCTGCAGCCTTATGTATCACGTTGCGATCTGTGAGATCGTCTAAACGAGCCAAAGAAATACGTAGGATAAAGTAGTACATATATTGGATGTGCTTATGTACCTGTGGACAGGAGCGTAAAGTACATACACTTAATTTTATTAATCTGTCGATGACGTCACGACAGTAGCTAGAAGCTCGAAGATCTCAAGCCACATTATTAATTCCAAACACAAAAATTGACAGGCCCAATAGCTAGTCGGCTTCAATGAATGTCTCAAAAATCGTATCGGGGTATTCGTCGTAACTCATTTTCGGGGCCGTCATCGTCGCCGGAATAGCTTCAGGAGGGATAGAGTCCGCGCTGGCCTCTCCGCTCGAATTGTCCGAGTATGTGCTAGCTGAGAATGTGGGTGATGGGCATTGGAAGGGAGCGGCATTATTTTGCGTAGCTTTTTCGCTAATTATGGCAAGCTGGAGGTTGATTTGCGGGTCGTCGCATCGCGCGTGATCGAAAATTGTATTTTTCAGGTGCCAGACCTCTTCTTTGAGGCTGGTCACTACGGACAGCAGGTGTTCGTGCTTCGCAGTCTCGTTGCTTAAGACTTTCTCAATTTCTTGGTGCTGTTGCTTTTTCTTCATGCGACATTTATTTGCGGCGATTCGATTGCGCTCAAGATGCTTGGCGCGCTGAGGACTTAAATTGGCATATTGCGAAGATCGCCGTCTGGACGGAGGGGATTGGGGTGTTTCAATTCGGGGTGCGAATTGATTAGTCTCATTTAATGGTAATTGCGGTTTTGGCACGGATTGCGCCATTGGAAATAGGTCGGGTTGTAGAATGGGGTCGATGTAAGGAAGTTGGGTCAGGTCTGCCAGTGATGAAGACATCACGAATTAGAGCTTGAAGAGCTTCGGGGCTCTGAGACTGTAGTACTATTCACGAGATATTGGTATTCGGAGGTGAGAAGGGAGGGTGCGGAGAAGGGTTGCGACTGGGAGCATATTTGATTTTTAAATGCAAGGACACGACAGATTTCAAGAATTATCCTCGTCATCAACGCGCCAAGTTTCATTCGAGCTGTTATAAACATTTTGGAATCAAGATTCTATGATGTAAAACAAAAGCTTACAAAGATTAAGGTCTCGCCACATTGGTTCTAGCTCGGATATATCTACCACTAGTAAGTTCGCCATGGTAACACTCGCCCACAACCTGGTTAATTCTTGTTTCACTTGCAAATCATATGACAGGCGGCATCTTGGGCCGACCCTTCCTTGCGTAAGCGATGCCAATGATTGATTGGACAGATATGCACGTAGTGATAGGGATTATCAAAAGCACATGGTCTATGATGCAATTCGTTCACGAATTGGTCAATCTCCACTTGGAAGTAGCTGGGTTGCTAACTGGAAGGAATATTGGTCAATTATTCATTGAGTACGAAATGACTTCTAAAGTAGTGGATACTAATACACATGTGCAACGAGCGTCAACCAGCGACTTGCTCGTCAATATACCGCCTCATAGTATCAAACTCCGCTTTCCCTGTCTTCATAAGAAGTTAGTCAAGCCTCACTCAAATGTCGAAAACCATTGAGGATACACGAAGAGCCATACCGAAAGTAGATATCTGATATGTGGCTGTACATGTCAATCAGTAATGACTCAACGGATTACAATACGAGCAGGGAGAGAATCAACCTACCACATCCTTCACATCACGATGTCGCTCGAATTCCTGCCGAGCATAAGAATGCAGCTCACTTCGTGTCGCCGAAGGAGGAATTTCTATATACTCGTGTAAGCTGGTGCCATGGGTGAGTGTTAAGGAGCTCGAGGGCTAGAAGCATACTATTCAAAGCTCGGACAATTTCGCGCCACAATGCCAGAACACGCTGTCTTTGGATGAACTGTGGATCTCATTAGTAGACTCTCGGGGTTTTCACGCAGGGATGCATCTGAGGCCATTTACTTACATGGTCTAGACTGATTGATGGCTTTTTCAGCCTCGAGGGCTGGCTGCGGGCCACGGCAGCTAATGAGATTAGAGAGGACCGCATAGATGCTGGCTCATATCATAGCTGACGATAAGCTTGCTCGATTTGATAGGAGGATTGTTTCAGCCTGAGCTTTGATGTTACGCTGTACGCTTGGTTTGGTTATCGAATGTGGATTAAGGCGGTCGGCCGAAATTTCGTGTATTTAAGTTTCAATATTTTACAGGTCATGTGATCCGTTGTATATTGAACAACGCCCTAATCGATACAATTGTCATGTCATATAAATACGCAGTTTTGACCCATCGTGATCGTCGCATGGACGAATAATTGGTAGGTGGATTACGAAAGTAGTCATGAGAAATCCCTTTGAAGAGAGTCTTCAGGAAATTAAAAGTGAATTTACACATATATCTATCGGTAGCTAGTTGGATATCATAAACACGAATGCACTGCACGCCGCACGCCTAGACAATTTCAATCACCTCGCTCGAGGGTCGACTCTCTAATGGCGAAACTCGGAAACTTCTCAACCTTCAGCATGAGGATGTCGATTTTTCATGTGTTGATTGTAATTCCACGTCCTTGAGAAGCCTTTCTGGCTGCGGCTGCAGGAAGAGAACGGACAGAAAAGGACCCCCTGTCGACGAGAACTATTTTCAAAACCGGGCTGTCTGGCTGGAGTGGGTTTCTGTGCCGTCTTTTGATTTGAAGAACCAGGAAGAGAGACCGATACTGGCGGGGGTGCTGGAATGACAGCTGGAACCACAGCTGAAGCAGCATGGGGTTGTCGTGATGGCGATCGCGTAGCGCCCCTGGAACTATTCCTACTTTGAGTCCTGCGCTTGTGAGGTCGGCCTGATTCAATGTCGTTCTCATCATCGGTTTCGCTTTCAACATAGTCATAATCCCACGTTTGATTGGGCAAGCGCCCCACTTTCTCTATACGGCCTTCGTGGAATGTTCGGAATGCCATGTCTTGTTCAAGTAGATCTGCGCATCGCTTTGCGGCTCGTTTGACTGCCTTTGGTGGCAGGCCCACCATTGAAGCGACGCCCATGACTTCGCTCCAGTCGCGCAGCGGAAATCTCTGCAACATTTTGACCATCAATGCGCTTGAACGATCCATTGACTCTGAGTTTTCATTGGGGTCGTGACTTTTACTCTCGGTACGTGGAGATGATCGTAAGCCCGATACTTCACGTGAAGCTTTTCCGGAGCGTCGATCCTCACGACCTAGCTTCCGACCACGCGAGTGGCTTCGTTTCCGACCTTTGTGTCGGGATCGTGATCGTGATCGTGATCCATCATCATCAGTATCAGTGGCGGAGTCATCGCTATCATAAACATCTCTGCCTCGATTCTTTAGTGAATGGTGCAGCCCCATTAACAGCTGATCTAAGTGCGAAATAGCGGTGCGAGAAAGAGGCCGTAATTTAAGGCCAGAGGCGGCGTCGTCTACCGAAATTATTGGCATGCGCCTCTTTCTCTTACCGGAATCACTTTGATGACCTTCGTTCTCATTTTGGTCGTTTGTTTCATCGTTATCAACCTCCATCATGTCTGGATCCGGGGTATTTTCCTCTGCGGGAACTTTCGCGTTTTCATCGTCGCTCAACTCGTCCCATTCGCGAGCCTCGAACCTTTCCCTGGCGGTCTTCATCATGGTTGCAATGACACACTCTTCCAATTCTGCACTGGGGCGAGTATCAGATGGCATCTGGAACTCGAAAGAGCCATCCAGCTCGCAGGGAGGAGCTTCGCTTGCACGAGGAACCCAAGGGGCAGGCATAGGCCACGCTACCCATCTTTTGCGGAAGGACTTCTCTTCCTCCTCTGAGCGCTGAGGATCGCCGGAGTTGTCCTGTTGTTTGGGTTGTCGGTAAGCGACATAAGTATTGTAAAGGTGGGCAGCAAGGTCTTGCGCACGAGAATCCATTAAAGCATCGTAAACACCTTGTTCCCCTTCAATGGCTCTTCTGTAGCGAGATGGGGACTCTGTCCACCGATTTGGACGCTCTTGTCCCGGTGGCAGATCAATTCCACGATGGAGGACATAGGTTATCTTCTGCGCTCCTTCTTTAGGTGGCTGCGATTGGCTGGCCAAGGGTGAGGAAGACTTTGCAGAGGTGGCTCTTTTTTTAGGCTTTTTAGCTTCCTCGTCACTGCTTTCTTGATAGGAGCTGTCCCCGGAAGAGTCATGATAGGCATTTAAGGGTTCTTCTCCAAGAGTCAAGTCCAAGTCGTCATCTTCTTCATCAGCAACAATCTCGCTCATGGGCTCAGACTGAAGTTCTGACTCCGGTACAACATTTTGGGAGCTTGGGCCACCGAAGATGGATCTTCTAGGCCGGAGCGACCTCGAAGACGGGGGATCGACAGCATTGCTGGGTCCGCCAAATATAGATCCACGTACTTGAGCTGATTGCGGGGGAAGTAACTGTGATGATGGCGGTTGGTCTTCTGGATATGAGGACATCCCTCAGCCCTGTAGTCGAATTATGGGCAAGTTAATGAGGCTGATACTGGGCTCATGTCATATGCGGGTTTTGGGATTGAATGACGCAGTTTGTACCGCGATGGGAATCAAGCATCACGAAAACTCTCGAACTATAGCTAATTCAAAAGATCTGAACATTTGGTATTGATGTTTGTAGATTGGTTGAAGATGGAGATCTCAAAAATTCTCAAGTGGGACTATGTCACGTGACGTGAACTATGCATCATAAATCCAGGTCAGCACGACCAAATTTAATCACGCATGGCGCTTTTGCATCTTATTTACAAAGAACATTAAGATATAAAATACGTTCCCGAATGGGTAATCATTTGAGTGCAACAAAAGATGAAATTCGATGGACATAAAATTTTTTAGGACATGCATATACAGGGGACTTTCCCAGCCGCAAACGCCAACAAATAGTTAAGTACTCTTGGTAGTGTGACAAATCGCTCGACTCTATTTCTCGCCCTTCTCAAGCTTGCGCCGCTTCGAGCGGAGCTTAGCAGCCTCTTCGGATGTCTTCTTGTTAGAGTGCATCATCTTCTCCAAAAGCTTGCGCTTCTTCCGGCTCATCATCATCTTCTGTCTCTCGAGTTCCTCTTCCTCCTTGCGCTTCTTGGCAGCCAGCTTCTTGTTCTGAGAGTTCTTCTTCTTGGATGCCTCATCGGTGGCACCGTTGGAGGAGAAGGGCAGGCCAGCGGCTTCGGCCTCGAGCTCACGCTGGTGCTGGTTGCGAGCGGCCTCATCATCGTCGTCCTCTGACTCGGATGCGGCTTCGTTATCCTCGAGTCCTTCAAAGTCCTCGACTTCGTCAGACTCCTCGTCGCTGCCGCTCTCGTCATCGTCGGTGCCAGCAACGTCCATACCACCATCGACAGACTCATCCTCAGACTCCTCGGCAGTGGGAGCAACCTTCTCATCTGCGGGGGCTTCATCCTCCATCTCCTCGTCACTGTCCTCGGCCATCTCAGCCTCACCTTCCTCTTCCTGAGAAGCTAGGGTAGCCTTGGGATCGTAGGCACCACGGTTGGGCTTGACCCATGGGCTCAAGTGAGGGGGCAGGGTAGCACCGGGTCCATACAGATCAGGGCGGCAGAGCTTGCCCTCGTTGATACAGTCCCAAACCCACTGAGGCTGGACGTAAGTACGGCCAGGAATGCGAGTACCGGGCTTGACCTTCTGGCTTGTGCTCTCGCCAGTAGGAATGGCGGGGAGAGAAGACTCTGGGAGTGGGGGACGATCGACAATCTGGTGAGTGATACGGGGATCGGTCTCATCGTGGGTGAAAGCACCATCGCCCAACACCGCATCCCAACCAATACGCTTGCAGCCGAAAGCGCGCAGGATGAACTCGATGGGGGCCTTGGGGGCCTCACGCGAAATGTAGAACACGAATGGAGCAAAAAGAGCACCAGCCTCATTGCCGCTCATGTCGGGCTGGGGGAGAGTGTCGGCTTCGGGAGCAGCGGTCTCGAATCGGTCGATCGCATCAGTGTTCTCCTCAGTTGTGTCGACAGACTCCTCATCCTTAGTTTGATCCAAACCAGCGGACTTGAGGACCTTGTCTACCTTGGCCTGAACAGCCTTGGAAACCTCCTTGTTGGAGTTACCGTTGGTCTGGGGCTTGCTAGCCTCCAGGGCCTTGGGAACTTCACCCACATTGCGGCCCTCCAGAGTGAAAGCAGCCAGCTCAGCACCATTCTCGTCGCTTCGGGTGTCGAACTTGGGAGGGTATCTCAAGCCAATAGAGGAGTAAAGGCGGAAGTTGACGAAACCAAGCAAGGTGGTGTAGAAGTCGACAAATGTAGCCATGATACGGTAGTCGACATCGCCATTAACACGCTGCACGAATCGGTAGGGCACCAACCACATGATATCCTGGCCCTGAATAGTGGCCTGGTAGTAGATACCCTTGATTGACAGGAAAGATTTACGCAACGAGTTGGTGGTAATCAGGTAGTGCTGGAACTCGTGACAGACGCGTTGGCACAGGGCAATGGTCTTGTGGGGAACATGGGTGGTAGACGGAAGTGTGGCGAACAGGAAGAGCAGAGACAGAGCATCGTCAAGGTCGCGGAGGGCGTCAATGAAGGTCGGGTAACGCTCCTTGATGACATGGTCGAGAGTGAGCTTGGGGGCATGGTTCTTCTCCAAGCGTGCAGCGTCGCTGACTTCACCACGGCCCAGGGAACGAGCGATCTTCTTAGCAAGAGACTTCTGATCACGGAACTTGTTCAGCAGTGGCTCGTGAAGAAGGTACTGGATATCCTTGGTGTAGTAGAAAGTAGTGTTGGGAGTCGAGGTCTTGGAGGCCTTCTTCTTGCTGCGAGGCTCACGGGGGTAAATTCCTTAAATTGAAGTATCAATCAGCATCGCATCGTATGTAGCTATTCTGAAAGAGCCGTCTTACCCTTGAAGATGCAAAGTCGACGGAAATCAGGCAAAGAAATCTGAAGTTTGCGCACGGCCTGGGTACGGGTGATATAGTTTTTGGCCGCGCCAGAGGTACCTGAGAAAAAAACTGTTAGCCGTGGTATTTAAGAAATCTTAGATATTCAGCATACCCTTCTTCTTAATCTTCGCCATGGTGAATTCTGTTGGAGCTCTGAAGTTGAAGAATCCAAACAGTTTCTGCTGATAAGAAGAGGAAAAATTTCCAGATAACTTTTTTTTTCTGTCGGAGGCGGTCAGTTGGCCCGTGCGGGTGCGGGCGTCCGTGGTTCCAAGGCAACGGGAGTAAAGGGACAGATCAGTTGAGTTGATCCCGCCAATTCCACAACTCTCAACTCGCTGTCATGGCGGTAGACAGACGCAAGGTTGCTGTATTTGGTGCAGCCTTTGTGCTGCGGCTACTTCTTGTCTGTCTTTTCCCTTCGTTGCCCGACTTGCTCACAGGCCGAGTAGAAGTCTCGACTCCGGTCAATAGCTTCAAGCGGCGTACGTTATTTACCCCCAATATCCTCATCGACAACCCCCAAAAATGGCACTAATTCGGAACAATAGTTCAAGAAGGGCTCTTTCTCTACATTCGAAATGTGTCACCCTACGATGGAGGCGTTTTCCACCAGGTGAGCAGATCGCAAGTGCTTCGTTGCGACTCCAATTAACACCAATTGTACTCTAGGCGCCGCTCCTCCTCCCCTTATTCGCGTTGCTGCCAGATGTTAAGACCAACCCATTCCCTACCGCCATATTCTATTTTCTGGTCGATCTGGTAAATGCGCATGCCTTGATCACCATCTCGGAATCGGGCCAATCGGTGCAGACCCGACTACATTCTGCTATGCGGAAGCATATTCGGTGGGACGGAGTGTCCATTGCAGCTTGGTAAGTGCTATTGCATAGTAGCATGGGAAAATACGGGCTTCTAATTTAGCCACAGGTTTTTGTTCAACCCCTTTACTATCGCGACCTGCTTGGCACGATCAACGAGCGTCTTCACCACGACCGGAATCCTTTACGCTGTTTCAAATGCTGTCGATGGAAATAGCATCAACGCAGTGCTGGCATTAGGATTTGCATCATACCTTTCTCTTTACCCAGCATTGTTGTTTGTTCCACTGGTGCTGCTCTGCTATGACCAACAAACACAAACATCCAAGACCCCCAACATTGTGGTCTTCTTTGTACGACATGGAGCGATACTACTGGCTAGCATCGCTGGTCTACTAGCGTTGTCATACCTTGTCACTGGGAACTTCTGGGAATTCATGTCCGCCACTTATGGCTTCCATTTGCTGGTCCCCGATTTGACTCCTAATGTGGGTCTGTGGTGGTATTTCTTCATCGAGATGTTCGACTCCTTCCGGGAGTTCTTCTTGGGCGTGTTCTGGCTTCACCTGGCCAGCTACGTGGGAGGCTTCACTGCCCGTTTGCGACGACAGCCCTTGTTTATTATCACTTCTCTCTTGGGTGTCTTTGCAATCTTCAAGCCATACCCTAGCATCTCCGATGCATCCCTCTACTTAGCGCTGCTACCATTGTACCGGCATCTCTTCCCTTGTGAGTATCATATTGACGTTGCAAATCACATTTTGTCACACATCAGGCTAATCATGAACAGTGATGCGATACACATTTTTCGCAGTCTCCGCACTGCTCTACTCCAGTCTTCTTGGCCCCGCATTCTACCACCTGTGGATCTACGCTGGATCTGGTAACGCCAACTTCTTCTATGCTATTACTCTCGTCTGGAGTCTAGGCCTTTCTATCCTGTTGGCTGACAGCATCTTTGCGGCTCTCAGAGACGAATGGGAGCAAGCCAATCCGGAGTCCCAAGGACAGGAGGTGAAACAAATATAATATAATGAAATGCCTGCATTTCCATCGCATCATGATTTCATTCATGCTCAAAAACTCATAGCCAAAAAAGCATTATATAAATCCAACTCCAAACGTTAATATTCACTCCAAGCGCTTTGACAAAATCGCATAATCAAACTCCTTGATCGTCCCATTCCGCAATCTCCTCGGCTGAGGCGAATACTCATCAATGACATACCCACCCTTCTCATAGAACCTGCACGCATTCACATTAGATTTGAAAACCGTCAGCATAGCCTTCTTCACCCCGACCGACCGACCGATCTCCTCCATCCGACTCATCAGCAAAGCCCCAAGCCCTCGCCCCCGAGCCGCTGCCGCCAAATGAATTTCGTAGCAGTAAACAACCTCTTTTCCATCTTCATAGGTAATCATGAAAGACAAGAAGCCAAGAACACCACTTTTATCATTGGCATGCTCATTCGCACTTCCGTTCAGACTGCCATTCACATTCTCTGAGCTTCTTGCCGCAATCTTCGGCTCGTCGGCTTTATCGGTACCGGCACCGACACCGGCTTCCCGCCGTATATCAGCCGAGGACGCGGCGCAGTCGCGTACAATAAGGTACTTCATATCCGGCAGCTTCATCTCCTTTCGCTTCTTAGGCCGAGACCAGCCCGCGCCGGAGGCCGCATAGGCTTCGCTGGACGTGAGTTCGACGAGATCTAGACATGCGTCTAGGTCTGCCGTAGAGATGGTTGCGGCGGAGTATATTTCCAGCGACGTGTCGCGTGCCGCATTGCTTTGCAGCGGTCGTTTTGGCTGGACTGACTCTGTCTCATTGGCTCGTGGGGTTTTGGTTGATTGGTTAGATGATGCATCTTGATGTGGAGACACGTAGAATGAGATGAAGTCTTCGATGCTTAGCGCGTTCGTGCGCTCGACTAATGGAACTTGACCTGGAGGGTTGCGATTAGCTTGTCTGACTTTAACGTTGGGCCTTTCACTATATAGAATGCCGAATAAGAATGTTTGAAGGTTGTTGATCACATTGAGTGCTGCTGGTAGTTGTCTTACTTTTTTGGCTGGGGACGCGTTGTGCGGACGTTTGAGATCGCCGGGCTTTGAGCTTCGTGATTCGGCCTTCTTGCGTTGGCATTGTGGGTTGCTTTCTTATTATACCGGGTGATTTTTCCAATGTACTGCCCACCAGCAGAGTGTGTTGACTGCGTTGCGCATCAATGGTAAAGTAGAAGTTTGAGTGGGTCCGACAACAGAACGTGTCTCGAGATTGCATTTCTGGATACGAGCGCTTAGTGTTCCAATATTAGCCACTCTTCCGTGTCTATTCCTGTATTATATGGATCCAAAAATATCAAGACATGTGAGTAGGGAATTAAGAGATATTCTATACTGATCTCCCCAGCCGGTTTGGTGAGTCCTTTGGCGTTGAAATATAATCGTATGTACTTCAGAATGGTAGAATATATTTTCACTCTCGCATATCTCATATACATCTCCTATTATTTTTCACACCGCCTGAATAGATTCAAGTTCTCAAATTTTCAAGCCAATCAACTTAAAGAGTCTAGTCAAACATTTATCGCTGGCTAGCAGCATGCTCCTCAGCTCGGCGCTCAGCCTCCTCAGCTCCCAGCTCCCCAAAGACGTCCACTCCCCAACGGAAGGGATAGTTGTATCGCGCGTTGCGGTCCAACTTGTTAAGAGCCTCAAACTCTGCGTCGGGAATAATGAAGTCTACAAAAAGTTTAGTCTCATGCCAAACCGTTCATCCGTGGTTATCCTACCTTCGAAGTTGCTCTCAATGCGCGAGGGCGTAACGCTCTTGGGCAGCACGGCAGAGCCCCGCTGGATAGCCCACGAGATCAGCAACTGAGCGGGGTCCCTGTTAAGTTTCTTGGCAATCTCCGCCACAGTCGGGTCGTCGATAACACTGGGGTCTAACGTTAGTATGATTAAATCAAGCGATATAACAGGTTGACAGTCTTACCGCGGAATACCGAAAGTGTTATTTCCAAGAGGACTGTACGCTGTAATGAGAATGTTCTGTGTTGATTGCTTCAGTTATGTTGTCTTATGAGAAGGAGGAAAGAGGAGGTATCTCACCTTGTCCTTCAAGAACTTTGTCAATTCTGGCTGCTGGAGGAAGGGATGCGCCTCAATCTGATTTGTAGCAGGAACAATCTTCGCAGTTTCGAGCAGTTTCTTGGTAGCATCGATAGTAAAGTTGCTAATGCCAATACTGCGGATCTTGCCTGAAGCAACAAGTTTCTCCAAAGCGGCCCAAGTGTCGGCTACCGGAACATCGGCTATGCGGAATCGCTTCGTGACCGGATCGGTCGGTGTGAGAGTTTCGTTGGTGTGCTCGAAAGCGACGGGCCAATGGATCTGCACAAGTAATGTGAGTGGGAGCTCTTCCATTGGTTGGTCTTCCATTGTAGATAGCATACCAGGTATAGGTCCACGTAGTCGGTTTGGAGATCCTTCAGGGTCTGGTTGAGACCCTCCTCGACATGATCGGGGTGGTGGTGAGTATTCCACAGCTTGCTAGTGATCTAGACATTGAAAGAGTAAGTATTGGATACCATAGGAAGCCTGACATATACTCGCAGAAGTTGATCAACTTACAAAGATCTCCTCGCGCGGCACGCCCGACTTCTTCCAGCCATTTCCGACTTCATTCTCATTTTGGTAGCATGCTGCAGCATCAATGTGACGGTATCCGCTGCGCAAGGCGTGTTCAACTGCCTTCTCCACTTCGTGGGGCTTGGAAAGCTGTTACGCATGAGTAAGTGAGTTTCGAACTTGCTGGATAGCTGGGAGCAACGTACCCAAGTACCGAGACCGACAGCGGGGATCTCGTAGCCTGAGTTAAGCTTGTAGGTACGTCCGAGAGACATTGCGATCAATGATATGAAGATAAAGTGTGTAGAAGTTTCTCTTAATGGCAAGAATAATATGAACTCATGAGCAGAGGGAAAGCCGAAGAAATGGCGATCTATTTATTTTCCACTCCTGCCCCTCCCAATTTTACCCCTCCCCCTCCACGCCAATAGAAAGTCGTAATTGAGAGGCTTTGACACGCGGTCTGTTGATCTCGTGCTTTCGAAATTCCGGTACTTGTATACCATAGATTAAGTGGATGCCAGGATGTATTGAGTGATCTTAGCTTCGGATTGCACAATTGCTGGGCCCCTCAGTGGATCCCGAGCTACATAAGCGCCGGCATTTAGGTGATCCATGGTTGGCCGCCTCTTATTTACTTTCCCTCGTGGAACTTGCAAGGTGAAATCTCTTTCAGATAGACGCATAGACTTTGAGAGTCTTTGACCGTTCACACCTGCTACAGGACTTTCCAGACTGCGTAGCCTGTAAGGATTGGGTTCGAGACATGGAAAATGGTACCTGACGCACCAGTTGACGAGCCCGCTTTGGCAGTTAGACCACACATCTTGAAATTCAGATAGGGCAACGGCTGTGACCTTTATGGCTGCACCCCTACTCGGAGTTTATGCCATTCCTCCAGAAAGAAAAAAGATGCGAAAAGAAGGGAAAAAAGGAAGCGGACTGATTAGCGAGTAAGGACTTATACTTATTATATCCTTAGTCAATTTCATCAACTTTTACCTATCAATGACACAACACCTTGCTTTCACGCCGCCATGACTCGTTTTCAGACCTTGAGATGCTCACGTGGGGGTTCAAAAAGAATTTGCTTAACTCTCACCGAATTCCAATTGCTGAAATCAAGTGGTCATCTTTCTGGATCTGAGCGTGGTGGAGCAAATGAGGTGATCAATATTCCCCGGATTGGCAGAGGGCTGTAGCTCGTCGGCTCCGAGAGCTTTACCCGGGTCTTCGTTGCTCATAATCCCCATTGTCCTATTGCAGTAGCTTTGCCCGGTCACTTGCCTTGGAATTTCAGTGTAACTGAGAGGCTATTTAGCATCGCAACATGGTATCGGACCTATATGTCTCGGAAGTGTCGTAACAGGTAGATAGGTATTTGGAGCATGCTAGAAAGCTATTCTCGAGTGTATTCATACATGCTTGGAAGTCACGAGCCAAGTACTGCACGGCAGATGGAAAAAGCTGATGTCAAGTGGCAGAAACGCAGATATTTGTGTATCGGACTCGTGTACAATGTATATTACTTGGAAGTCGGCTCCTAACTCTCCGTTTATTCCGGTATAGGGGGAGATGATCGAGAAAAGAGGCTCATCTCAAATAAGCTTCGTAAATCCCTTGGCACATATCATACAAGTCTTTGATAATAGGGCAAAGACTTCAATTGGTGATGCCATTTTGACGGGGACACTAGCTAAGGTGAGGTTTAATACTAGCCCTGCGATATAATATCCCAGGGCCCAAAAAATGAGAAAGGGGTCACTTGAAGTTTCCCATGTATATCCGGGACAAGCGTCTAGAGCAGAATCGAGTCCAGAAAAGTGGGGTGTGGAATAAGCGATGTGACCTTTCGGTAGCCAGTTATTTCATGAGCAGAGCCACCAAATTCGGGGTTGCGACCCTTTTCTGGGATAGTGCCTCGGGATAAGCCGTAAGTCATCGCACCCATCAGTTGGGTAGACAAGAGGAGTGTCCATAGTTGATCAAAGCCCCGGCAAAATTCTTGTTTCTCGGAGATATTCAATTCTATTGAGAATATCTATAGCTTAGACGTTTACTGATAAATAATTCCGGAAAATTCTGGGCGAGGAGTCGGTTGTTTAGGCGAGCCGCCAGGGCCTATTCTCCGCCCATTCTCTTTAAGGCACTAGGGTCTTGTTGCTTTGTCCCGCTAATCTGTTAGCGCATGGATGAACCATTGCCATAGGTCAAGGACGGATAAGTCCGAAAGGCACCAGACTTATTTCGAATAAAAAGTCAGGCATTCTATGCCCCTGAAAGTTATTAAAGCAAAATACAGCCGCATCGAAGGATGGACCAGACTATTTCAGGTTTGACCTACTTCTCGTGCTCTTCAAATATAAACGGTCTCTTGACCAGTCTCTTGGTCCTGCTCTGCCTACCAAGCTTGCTGGCTGTGGCTCTTGCTGCAGATGATCCAGATTACATTGCCTCTCAAAGCTATCGTCCGAAAAATGTCACAGGGTTAACCTGGATGTATCCATGGGTGGGATCGTCAGTAGTTCTCCCGGAAACTATGACGAATTTCCTTCGAAATGACCCCTAACAATATATGCAGATACTATAACGCAACGGCTGAGATCACAGTTATTCCTCGGGCAGGCGAGAGCGGTTCAACAAACAATTACGATAGCAAAGATCTCTGCTCGCCTTTGCAGAACTACACCATGACGCAGAAATGGAAGGCCATTCTGACAATTGCAGAGCGTGGGACATATAATTCCGGCTCAAACGCAGTCAATCTTTTTCTCAATCTGATTCCACTGGAAAATAGTTGGGCCACGACTATAGACGACCGTATCCCTGGATATCCTTTGTGGTGGATGGTTATGTCTTCTTCGTGAGTAATGACGATGATTAAATCTATTCTAATGAACACCGATGCTTAACTTTGTAGATCTGAGATTGTCGATAGCGATTTACTCGTGTCTATTCAGGCTTCCGATCTTCTGAACATGACAACCACCAAATCAAATGATGCATTCAGATTAACTACCGAAAGCTTTGGCGATGAAGGAAGTTTGGGCCTTGGTAGCTTCCACATGCCCGCATGCAACACGAGTGTCGAATATGGAAATTGGAGTTTAGGGGTCGCGCCATTCTCGAAAGAGAGTGAGAGCAAGTATTGGAATTGGACAGACTACGCTGCTCCCTCGATGAGTGTCTCCTTCGACGACCAAACCGCCAACTTGACTTTAGCTGGGACATTTGAGGCATCCGCGTATGGTATTGGATCTTCCGAAAGTGACGCTGCAACTTGGGGGTCAAATACTATGGGTGACATTCGTGTGGTTTTCCAGGGAGTTCTGGATGGGTACCATTCTGATGTTCTTGACATGAACGGAACAACCCCGACGTGGCTACGGACAGTTGGATTCGGGAACAATTCTCTGAACATTGACAATGATGCTGTTTCTGCAGGGTACCGGTGGGGCCGTGCGTTAGATGTTTGGGGAATAGCAGTGATTTTCGCTACTATGACGATCATGGTCTCAGACTCCATGTATCATTTAGGGATTTGAGTAGACTTCTTGTAAAAATCAATTGTATCTTGATGTATCAATGCACATAAGAAGCCGCCAAGGGCAGCCAACGAGCTGAACGATTGGAATGGATGTATAGTACCAACTTGGATGTATAAGAAGGAAAGCATTTTCATCTCAGAGCAGGAAACTTCCCACATGATCATGCACATTTAAGAGAACACACGTGCAACCAGCAATTTTCGTATCGGTAAACCACTGACAAATCTCATATTAACGTACCGACACGTCGTGTAGCAAGAGTGGGAACCCCCAAATTATAGTTCGAAAGTTAGCAAACATAGTCAATTCATTTGATCCTTGACCATTCCGTCTCAATATCCCAGTATAGACACATCAACACTCAGAAAGGTTTTTTTTTTCTTTCTTATTTTGTGAATGAAACTTTTTTCATTGCTTAACTTTATTGAAGAAAATTACTGTGGATATCCCATGCCTCCGTGTCCACCCAAGCGCTTCGCTGGACAGAGCTAGGAAACGGGTCCGTGAGACTGGAGATATCTAACCGGGAAAAAAGTCACCGACCGGCCAATGGATGATTGAGTTTGTCCGACTAAGTAGTACGGAGACTTTTTTGGTTTCTTATTAATTCACCAAGTGGGCCGTCGCGAAGTGGATCCGGCCGCACATAACATCGTGACGTCAAACATTTTGTACAGATTATAAAAGAAACCACCATCCCTGTGATTTTTGTGAGATACAATCCATCAGATCTTGCTAAGCTTACTATCAATTCTGAAAATGGCTGCGACAAGCAAACAATGGGTGGTTGAGAACATGGACAATGGCTTCGATGGACTGGTCTATAAGGAAGCCTCGATCCCACAAATAGGAGAGAGTGAGGTGTTGGTGAAGCTTCAGGCAGCTTCGCTGAACTATCGTGATTTGATTATTCCCAAGGTAAGATCCTTGGGACCAACAACTGAGCATAGACCAGCGAAATAACTTCATTTCCGGCAGGGCATGTACCCATTCCCGACCAAGCTTCCCGTTGTCCCCGCATCGGACGGCGCGGGCGAGGTCGTTGGGGTCGGATCCAAGGTGACCGAGTTCAAGAAGGGCGATAAAGTAGCGACGCTCTTCAACCAAGGTCATCAGTATGGTCCAATCGACATTCCTGCCACACAAACCGGTCTGGGTGGTGTGATCGACGGCACGCTTCGCGAATATGGTATTTTCGCCGAGAAAGGTCTTGTCAAGGCCGCGAAGAACCTCTCCGCGATTGAAAACAGTACTCTTACGTGTGCTGCATTGACTAGCTGGAATGCCCTGTATGGCTTGAAGCCTCTGAAGCCGGGTCAATATGTCCTGGTGCAAGGCACAGGTGGTGTCAGCATGTTCGGCTTGCAGGTAAGTGCAAGAAAAATAGCAGCCATTTGCGATTATCATGCCTAATGAGTGATGTTTTGTGGATATAGTTCGCTAAGGCCGCCGGTGCGACCGTGATCGCGACCACATCCTCTGCATCAAAGGCTGAGAAGTTGAAGCAGCTGGGTGCGGACCACATCATCAACTACAAGGAGGATGAGAATTGGGGTGAGACTGCTAAGAAGTTGACCGCCGACGGTGCTGGTGTGGATCATATCATCGAGGTTGGTGGTTCGGGAACGCTCAAGCAGAGCTTCAAAGCCATCAAATATGAGGGAGTGATCAGTGTGATTGGATTCCTCGGTGGTGTCGACCCGAAGACCCAGCCTAGTGTTGTAGACACCTTGGGCCACATTTGCACCGTTCGTGGTGTGTACGTTGGTAGCAAGGAATTGATGAGAGACATGATTCGTGCCATTGAGGCCAACGACATCCATCCCGTTGTGGATGAGAAGGTGTTTGGTCTTGACGAGGCTCGGGAGGCGTACGACTACATGGTAAGCAATAGATCTCTGGTTCGGATCCATCCAATGAGTAGGCACTAACAAGATGCACAGTGGGCCCAGAAGCACTTCGGAAAGCTAGCTATTAAGATCAACTAAAGAGTGATCAATCACCTGCAGTAGTGAAACTTCCGCTTTGGACACGGAGACAAGCCGGGGCAAGAACCGTTTTGTCTTTAAAAGTCATTAATGTATTTCAGACTGAACGAAATGGACAAAAATGTACTCCGAGTATTCAAAATTTGAGGTGAATAAGTAGGTTGGCGGGATACGTAGACATGTACCTAGTAAGGTAGACAACAACCTTGAAAGTTGAGGTGGAAATACAGTTTGGGGGAGCTTCCCCGCCTTCTTTATCGTGGCTCACGAGTACTCTACAAACACCTCTCCCAAGAACAGTATTCCGAATCCGACCATTTGGATCCGAAACCAAGCTGCATAGTAATTCCCCAATATCCTTCTTAGCGCTGAAGCTACACTTCCCTTATCGAATTCCGGTTGGTTAGTTCTATACGCCTCTGATTACCCCTCCCAACCACCAATGCAGGTCAACACTAGAAATAAGACCTCCACCTTTCCCATTGTTGGACCTGCCGATCGCCTAAAACCATCTCAAACGACTTTTATTCGGCCAGCTCAAATGAGTCTCTTCGCTCGAGTAACATCTTACCCGCCCCTGGGGCAAGTGACCTGTCTGCAGCGAACGCCGAAGACATTGCGGCCTGAAAAAGTCGATGCGGTGAGTAAAGAAACGGATGCAACATCTCAAAAACCCCAACCAACTATATACTGTCCTGTGTAACATGCTGACTTTTGTGCCAGGTACGCTTTACTGTCGTCATTGAGTCCAGCACGTCACTCCCGCAACAATCGTGGGAAGCACAGATTTGGCATAACATCACCAGCTCCGAATGGAAAGACCTTCCATTACGCAAAGTTGGCTCCTCGCATGCACCACTACTGACAGGTAATGAAGCCGACTATAACTTCTATCGCTATGTGTTCTCAGGGGAGATTCCACTCCCAGCAGCTGGTGGTCATGCCAAATTCACAGTACGCTTCCGGACCAACCCTGACACCGAGTGGCAATGGGCAAGCCAACAGCATCCAGTCAATGATGGCGAGTTGGTATTCGCTCCCCAGTACTCGGAGCTTGAAAGAATATCATCATCTGATATCTCTTCTCTGAATGCGAAGGAAGAGATTGCGAAATATATCGATGGCCTCTCGTCTAAGGTGCAAGTTGAATCCCGTCGCAGTGACTGTCCGGGGTCTCTACTCTGGGCAGTATCTGGAGAGGCAAACGCGGCTCAAAATGGCGTTTCTGGTTTAACACAACTCGCACTCGGAACACCTTCATCTATGCTGAATTACTTTTCACTGGTGCGCATATGGAGCCCGTGGCTGGGTCCTCGGCATGGGAAGCACAAGTTTCATTTAACAGAGGATGCGATTCTGTGTTCTTTCTTGCGGAACGATGGAACAAATCTCCTTCTACTGGCCGTCTCAGGAATCAACGATGTCCTGACTACATTCAAGTCCGGCGAGAATGGTGAAGTACTGATCAATGTCAAGAATGATAATGAAGAGCTATCTCAATTTAATGTTCTTGCCGCGGTAGCAGAGGACTTTGAGGTTGCCATGTCTGCTTTGGTGTACGAGGCAAGAAAAGTGGTGAAACCATTTTCCCAATCTACCAGTGGCGCACTAGAGGAAGAGCCTCCGTCATCTCCCCTTGGGGATGATACAGTAATTGTCGAGAAGGATGCGAAAATACAGTGGCTCACCGAATGGTTTGATGGCCTCACATACTGCACTTGGAACGGTCTTGGCCAAAATTTGACCGAAGAGAAAATTCTGGGGGCACTAGATGCCTTGAAAAATCGTGGAATCAATATCGTCAATTTGATTATCGATGACAATTGGCAGAGCCTTGACAATGAAGGCGAGTCTCAATTCAAACGCCGTTGGAAGGAGTTTGAGGCAAATCCCAAGGCCTTCCCTCGAGGCCTAAAGCAGGCCGTTGAGACAATTCGCCAATCTCACCCTAAAATTCAGCACGTTGCAGTCTGGCACGCCTTATTGGGCTACTGGGGGGGTATTTGCCCCGACAGCGACCTTGCGAAGAAATATAAAACCAAAGAAGTCAAAGTGAAAGATCCTGCAGCTGGAGGTCCCATTGCACATGATATTGCAGACGGCGTGATTCTCGCCATTGACCCAGAGGATATTCAGCGCTTCTATGACGAGTTCTATGATTACCTTACCTCTGCCGGTGTGGACTCTGTCAAGACTGATGCTCAGTTCTTTCTCGACCTTCTCGATGATCCGCAGGATCGCAAAAGATTCATGACATCTTACCAAGATGCGTGGTCCATCGCTTCGCTGAAGCACTTTAGCACCCGTGCGATTTCGTGCATGTCATTGATTCCGCAGATGATATTCCATTCGCAGCTCCCAACAAGCAAGCCGACAATTGCGCTGCGGAATTCTGATGACTTTTTCCCAGAAATTCCTGCGTCTCACCCATGGCATGTGTTCTGTAATGCACACAATGCGCTTTTTACTCGATACCTCAATGCCCTACCTGACTGGGATATGTTCCAGACCAGTCATCCCTACGCATCTTTCCATGCAGCTGCCCGCTGCGTGTCTGGTGGACCTGTATACATCACTGATGAGCCGGGCAAGCACGATCTGGACCTACTAGATCAAATGACGGCGCCGACAGTCCAAGGAGGCACTGTGATCCTTCGTCCTAGCATCATTGGTCGCACAATCGATGTCTATCATGATTACAACGAGGGTCATATCTTGCGTGTTGGAAGCTACACTGGTTGGGCTAAGACTGGTAGCGGAGTACTGGGTTTATTCAACATCCACTCTGCCGAGACATCGTGCATGATCTCGTTAATGGACTTCCCCGGCGTACATGAGGACTCAAGTGGCCAGTACATCATCCGGGCGCACACAAGTGGCAAGGTGACAGAGCGAATGCAGCCGCGGGCGCAGAATTCTCTTGTGTCCGTCGTTTTGCAGGAGAGGGCGTGGGAGATTCTCACAGCATACCCGACCCAATCGTTCACAATCAAAGGAAGCAATACTTCCGGCGAGAGCCAGACTCATGTGGCTGTTCTTGGTCTCCTTGGGAAGATGACTGGTGCCGCTGCTGTGATTAGTTCGGAAATCTCTATTGTTCAGAATGGTCGTCTTCGAGTTGACGTTCATTTGAAGGCGTTAGGGACCCTTGGCATCTACTTATCTTGCCTTAAAAGCCGAGAAATTGCCCGGGACTTCATGGTCATGATCCTTGGACAGCCAGTGCCACAGAAGACTATCTGGAAAGAAGGTGGGGAGGATAGCCAAGTGCTGGCGATTGATGTTCTTGCGGCTTGGAAAGCCATGAAGCTCGACAGCGGATGGAGCAATGAAGCTTTTATCCAGATTTTTGTCAGCTGATTACTTGCATTAGAATATTTAGATCTCGAGATTCGATTGTTATATTTCATCAAGATCATAAATTGGGAACCAAATTATCTAAGAATCTAAGATTGTTGATCCGTTCGAGTATATTCCCATAGTAAAGGATGCGCCGCATCAACAATGTTCCGACTCCTTATCGGAGTGATTATCGGCGTTGCGGACAATTTCAATCGCTCCCCAAATTACAATTGCGAGCTCCGTTGCAGCTAATTTCAGTCAGAGATCAGCTCAATGCAGTCCCGGTCGGTCCCGCTCCTTCGAGCGCAATGGTACAACCCCCGTGCCCTGCAACCAATGCCACAAGGAGCACGCAGCTTTTCTCAAGCGGCGCAAACAAATCCACTACTCCGCGAACTCCGTCGTCCCGTGTCATTGTCCCAGCACCCCGAGCGTCTATTACAGCAGCAACAACGATGCATTACACAAAACTATCTGAAGCGCATAGAAGATGGCAAGAAGGAATGGGCGAAGCACGCTGAAGAGATCAAGGCGGGCAAGAGGAAGAACTTCGCTGCTCATTTGGAAGAGCGAGGGCTATTGCATGATGTTGTTGGGTAAGTGAGACAATGGATTTACCTTGAATCAGTTTCATGACGCTATATGAAATTGGAGAAAATTTGTCGCTGACCTGTGGATCTCAGAGAGCGCGAATTACTACACAAGGTATTCACAGAAAAGCGGGCCGGAATCTACGTCGGAATCGACCCTACAGCGCCCTCCATGCATGTCGGCCACATGTTGCCGTTCATGGTCTTGGCCTGGGGATATGTCTGGGGTCTTCCGGTCACATTCCTGGTGAGTTTTGCATATATGTCATTTAGGAGCTGTATTGGATCTTAGACTAACTCAGTATAGTTGGGTGGTGCGACATCTCGAGTTGGCGATCCCACCGGCCGGTTGAAGGGACGAGAGCAGGTCCACACCTCAGTGCGAAAGGCGAACATGGCGAGCATGCATATGCAATTGAAAAAGTTGGGCTCAAGCATCGAGCAGTATGGCAGGAGGCATGGCTATGAGCGAAAAATGATTTGGAAACGGGCTTTGGTCAACAACAACACTTGGTGGAACTCTACGCCATTTGTTGAGGTCTTGCGCGACCTTGGAGCGTATATGAGACTTGGCCCTATGCTTGGCCGAGATACGTGAGTCTTTTATTCTTGCGACTGTTCAGTTGTACCTTTCTGACGTGCTTTCCAGTGTCAAGAACCGACTGAATCAAGGCGATGGAATGTCCTTTGCGGAGTTCTCCTACCCACTCCTGCAGGGCTGGGATTGGTGGCACCTATTCCAAAAAGGAACCCAAGTGCAGGTTGGAGGGTCTGATCAGTATGGAAACATTCTGTTTGGAATGGATGCGGTGAAGTCTATTAGTCGCAACACCGCCAATGAACAAGTTCGAAATCCTCTGGACTCAGAGTTGGACCGACCCATCGGTTTTACCACGCCGCTGTTGACAGCGGCGTCGGGTGAGAAATTTGGAAAATCAGCTGGAAATGCAATCTGGCTCGATAAAGACATGACATCGACCTTCGAGCTGTATCAGGTAAGCTCACATTTTGCGGTCGTTTAATATCTGTCTAACTCTGGGTCTAGTTCTTTGTTCGCACCCCTGACGACACAGTAGAGCGCTATTTGAAGCTGTTTACCTTTATTCCTCTGCCCGAGATCGCTACTATTATGGAGGAACAGAACACTGACCCTTCCAAGAGAGTTGCTCAGCATCGCCTGGCCTATGAATTCGTGGAGCTGATCCACGGTAAACAAGAGGCGGATGCTGTATCCCTCCAACACCGCCAGCTCTTCCGTTCAAGGTCCTCAAAGGGCGAACCTTCACCTATGCCTCGGAGCTCCAATCCCCCTCCGGGCCATGCTCAATCGCCTATAGCCGGATATGCCACCCCCCAATCCGGCAACGCTTATGCTCCTCAGACCAACTTTGCCAACATGCCTAGCGCCAAAGTGATTCTCCCGAAGTCCCTGGTCTACAACCAGCCATTTAACAAGATCCTTTGGTCGGCCGGGCTTGTCGCATCCAAGGGTGAGGGCCACCGAGTGATCCTTAACAACGGTGCTGCTGTGGGTAGCCGTCCTGGAGATAGCGGTCCAATGTCCGATGATCTCGCCTTTACTCCTATCCGGCCCTGGGCTGCGGAAAAGACACAAGAGTTTATCCTCGACGAAAAACTTCTCATGCTCAAGTTAGGAAAGTGGAAGTTCAAGATGGTTGAGATTGTTAGTGACGAGGAGTTTCGCGAAAAGGGACTAACTGCGCCTGGATGGCAACAGTCGCCTGATCCCGTGCAATAAGCCTGGAGCTCCTGGAATAACATCTCCGCTTTGTAGTTTTAGTTATATTTCTATATGTAGCGTATAGCATCTGTATATTATCTTGCATTGTGAATTAATCAAAACATTTTCTGCATCATTTTTGGGCGCAATACTGTAAGGAGGTGGTAATACGTAGGACCCGCCGAGACACCACTTTACGCGTCGACGCGCGATCCGCGCCCTCGGGCTTTATCTCCTATCACTTTCCAACAATCCCCAAGCTGAACTCCATCCGAACAATTCCTATACCCCGTCGATGCTTCAAGTGGACTTCTATATGCGCATTCTATAGCCCTCAATTGCCCTAATTGCATCCTTTGCATAAATAGCGAATTACCAACAATGGCCAAGGCCGATGCCTCATCGCCCACCGGGACGCCGCCCTCAACTGCGCTGAAGCGAACGACTTCCAGCACCCAAAACATGAAAAGCCAAAAGTCTATTCTGGGATTCTTCCAGAAATCATCCCCTGCCACTCCCTCGTCTGCCAAACCCCGTGAACCTGCATCATCACCCGCCCAACGAGCCTCCGAGAACCGTGGTGCTAGTGCGACCAAACAAACACCTGGAACCCAGAAAAGAAGCTTCTCTAGTTTCGCGGCGGATTTGAGTCCTGTTCCAAGTAGTGATCTACCTGTTCCGGACGAAGATGAGGAGGATGCTGGCGTGAAGGTTAGTTTCAGCCGATTGTGCACCAGGCATTTCCGACGCTGACCAGTCTTTTTTTTTTTTTAGACAAAAGGCGATAAAGTACAAGACACCACAATGTCACCTTCTCGTCGGGTATGTAGAACTTCAGCAATTAACCTACAATGGCCTGATACTTACGATCCCCCTCAGGCCAAGAAGAAGCAGGTCAGCTACAAGGAATCCGATTCGGAGGGCGAAGAGGACGACGAGGTCATTTTCCGCCCGAGCCGGAAGAATGGCCGGGCTAGCAAAAGACAAAAGACCGTTGTGGAAAGTGACGAAGAAGAATTCCAAGAGCCTGCGGATGATGCTGGATACTCAGATGATGGTATGTTGTGTCTCGGAGCTAATGATTACCCGGTACTGTAACTGACTTGAACACAGAAATGGACGACTTCGTTGTTGCTGATGACTCGGATGAAGACGCTGCACCTGCACCGAAGCGTAAGAGACCAGTCACTCAGTCATCACGCAAGACTTCGAACCAATCACCATCTGCACCACCTCCACCAGCTGACGATGACATCGATCTCGACATTCCCGAAGGATCAACCAGCACTGCTCAACAATGGAAGTTTGACCCCGAAAACACTGTGCCTCGCAAGGAGCGTGTTGCGGAAGCGAAATCGAAATCGAAAGCTCCGGCTAGAAAAGAGAAGGCCCATGTCAAAGAGCCCGAAGACCGATATCCTTGGCTTGCGAATATCAAAGATATTGACGGTAACCCTCAAGGACACCCAGAGTATGATCCTCGAACCATCTACATTCCCCCTCTGGCCTGGTCCAAGTTCTCGCCATTCGAAAAGCAGTACTGGGAAATCAAGCAGAAGTTTTGGGACACCGTAGTCTTCTTCAAGAAGGGAAAGTTTTACGAGCTGTACGAGAATGATGCCACCATTGGCCATCAGCTGTTTGATTTGAAACTTACTGATCGAGTCAACATGCGCATGGTTGGTGTTCCGGAGATGAGTCTGTCTCACTGGGCAAATCAGTTCGTGGCCAAGGGATTCAAAATTGCACGTGTTGACCAGTCTGAATCTGCTCTGGGCAAGGAAATGCGTGAGAGAGATGCGAAGAAGGGCGGTAAGGAGGACAAAATCATCAAACGTGAGCTGGCATGCGTTCTCACAACAGGTACCCTCGTCGAAGGGTCGATGCTCCAGGATGATATGTCTACCTACTGTGTTGCTATTAAGGAGGCTATTGTGGGTGACCTCCCCGCATTCGGTATTGCTTTTGTTGATACAGCGACAGGTCAATTCTTCATGTCTGAGTTTGTAGACGATGTGGATATGACCAAGTTTGAGACCTTTGTTGCCCAGACCCGCCCTCAGGAATTGCTGCTTGAAAAATCTTGTGTTTCGACAAAGACAATGCGCATTCTGAAGAACAATACTGGACCCACTACGCTTTGGAATCACTTGAAGCCGGGCAGGGAGTTCTGGGAGGCTGATATTACGCTCAAAGAGCTTGAAGCAGCAGAGTACTTCGTGTCTCAGGATGACGAGAACATCAAGGCTTGGCCTGAGACGCTTCGCCAAGCTCGGGAGAAGGAGCTGGTCATGTCGGCTTTCGGTGCTCTGGTCCAGTACCTCCGCGTCCTGAAGATTGACCAGGATCTAGTTACCATCGGCAACTTCACATGGTACGATCCTATCAAGAAGGCTTCCAGCCTGGTGCTAGACGGCCAGACTTTGATCAACATGGAAATCTTCGCAAATTCATATGATGGAGGTGCTGAGGGTACTTTGTTCCAGCTTCTCAACTGCTGCATCACACCTTTCGGCAAACGAACATTTAAGCAATGGGTTTGTCATCCATTGATGGACGCAAAGAGAATCAATGCCCGTCTGGATGCTGTTGATGCTTTGAACGCCGATCCAAGTATTCGCGACCAATTCTCCTCGCAGTTGACCAAGATGCCCGACTTGGAACGATTGATCTCTCGAGTCCACGCTGGACAGTGCAAGGCCCAAGACTTTGTCCGTGTTCTGGAGGGCTTCGAGCAGATTGATTACACTATGGGTCTCCTCAAGGAATCTGGTGCTGGCGAGGGTATCATCGGACAATTGATTTCCGGAATGCCTGATCTGACTGGGCTTCTGGGTTACTGGAAGACGGCCTTTGATCGACCCAAGGCCAAGGAAAATGGAATTCTCGTACCAGAGCCTGGTGTCGAGGAAGACTTTGATAATTCGCAAGCAGTCATTGAGCAGCTGCACAAAGATCTGGACAACATCCTCAAGAAGTCACGCCGTGATTTGGGCTCTACTTCCATCTGCTACCGCGACAATGGTAAGGAGATTTACCAGCTCGAAGTGCCTGTCAAGGTTAAGAATATTCCCAAGGACTGGGATCAAATGTCCGCTACCAAGCAGGTTAAGCGATACTATTTCCCTGAGCTCCGAAGCCTGATCCGTAAGCTGCAGGAGGCCCAGGAAACCCACAGTCAGATCGTCAAGGAAGTGGCGGGCCGCTTCCATGCTCGATTTGATGAGCACTACGGTACATGGCTCGCAGCTGTCCGCATCATCTCCCAGCTGGATTGCTTGATCAGTCTGGCCAAGGCTTCTTCCTCCCTTGGTCAACCTAGCTGCCGACCTGTCTTTGTGGAGGATGAACGAAGCGTTCTAGAATTTGAGGAGCTCCGTCACCCTTGTCTTCTTTCTTCAGTCGAAGACTTCATTCCCAACGATGTCAAGCTCGGTGGTAACAAACCCAACATCGATCTACTTACCGGTGCCAACGCCGCCGGAAAGTCCACCCTCCTTCGCATGGTATGTCCCCATTATGCTTTGTTGATTCCCCATACCGATCACTAACCAAATCCAGACCTGTGTTGCCGTAATCATGGCCCAAATCGGCTGCTACCTCCCCTGCCAATCTGCACGATTGACCCCAGTCGACCGCATCATGTCGCGTCTGGGAGCCAACGACAACATCTTTGCGGCCCAGTCCACCTTCTTCGTCGAACTATCCGAAACCAAAAAGATTCTCTCCGAGGCCACACCAAGGTCCTTAGTGATCCTGGATGAGCTAGGCCGCGGAACCAGTTCGTACGACGGTGTCGCCGTCGCACAAGCTGTGCTCCACCACATCGCCACGCACATCGGTGCAATGGGCTTCTTCGCTACACACTACCACTCCCTCGCTGCAGAGTTCGAGAACCATCCCGAGATCGCACCGAAGCGCATGGCCATCCATGTCGACGATACTGAGCGCCGCGTAACATTTCTATACAAGCTTGAACAGGGCGTTGCGGAGGGCAGTTTCGGTATGCATTGTGCATCTATGTGTGGTATCTCGAACAAGGTTATCGAGCGCGCGGAGGAGGCTGCTAAGCAGTGGGAGCATACCAGTCGCTTGAAAGAGAGTCTGGAACGCCGCAAGGGTGGTGGTTATGTTGGCCTTGGTTGGTGGAGTGATGTTGCCTGGGCGTTGCGAGAGTCGACTTCTGAGGGTGCGGACGAAGTTACCGACCTTGGCCTTGAGGTTCTGCGTAAAGCTATTGAGTCTCTTTAAAAGTAAATTGGTGGACATCTTGCCCAAGAGGGGAGTCTGTTATCGGATCTGTTTTCTTCGTTTTGCCATTTCGAACATCCGACTATCTTCATTATCTTGTCTGTTTTGTTCTGATATCTCAGGTTAAGGCGTGCGTGTACGGGATCTATTGATGGTATCTTCTAATGTTGAATTATATGTCTAAATTGGGTTTACAATACCTTCGAAGCCAGTATTCATACCTAAGAAGTTCTTCCTATGTGAAAACCGACCTGTAAGTCTCTTCTCATCAACATCTCACGGCTAAGGTGTAGAAGCCTACAGTATTAGGCAATTTCAGTTTTTACTCACTGAATTGATCAAGAATAAGAGAACCAATTCGTGGAAATTATCTAAGTAATTTTCTTAGCTTGAAACAAACGATTGGAAGGTCGTCTGGTGGAAGTGATAGGTACCTATCCTGTTTGTACCGGCAAGATTGACCCTTTGTTTACAGGCTAAATAGACCATAAAGTTTCCAATTGCGCTCGTTGGCTACAATGTTGACTACGACTATATTGGTCAAAGTAGACACAAATAGATTCTCGAATGCTAGCGTATATGCGAACGCAACTCTGCAAGGCTAAAGATGAAGTAACTGGGGATTCATGAGCACGCCGTAACTACAAAAGTGGTGACCGATGCAGCACGAAAAGGCATAAACAAAGCCACCGGGCAAACACGAAAAATGAAGTCCACATGAGAAAATCGAATGCCCGGAAAATAAAGCCCCCCATCTTGGCTTGAAAGGACGTGACAAAGTCTCTAGATAAACTGTGAGATGTTTTTGGCTGCAAAATGATGCGAGTAAGAAAGACTGTAGTCTAAAAGTCATCTGGAATAGACCCCAGGACGTCCTGCTGCTGTCCTTGCTCAGGCTCAGAAGATTCGGCTCGGACTAGGGCCTCGAACTCGGATTCATCGTCACTCCCAAGCTCGGGCTCGGCCTTGCGCTTTCGGGGGCGTTTGGCAGCAGGAGCCTTAGTTGGGGTAGCCTTGGCAGGCTTGGCGGGTTTGGCGGCGACAGGCTTCGTGGCCGGAGACTTAGATGGAATAAGGCCGTCTTCGATATTGGCCAGGAGCTTCTTCTTGGCTTTGGGAATCAAAACCTTAACACTGCCCTTGGTGAGACCGCATATCAGGGCAATCTGTTCGGCATCAGGCTAGTGAAAGCATGAGTCAGGTTATCGAACGTCTAGTATAAGTCAAGGGCAAGGGAGATCTAATTTTCATATCAAGTGTTACTCACCTTGGCATCTTTGTCTTGAACAACCGAAGCTAGGAGAAGAAGGCGGATCTCCGAAGCTGACATTCCAAGAAGGTCATCATGGGAGATCGTGGGCTTCTTGGCAGGAATCGTGGTCTTGGAAGTAGCTGACATCTTGAGCGAATTGATGGAGAGAAAGTTCGAGGTAATGAAATGGTTGTGAATCCAAAGGAAACCAAGAGAGAAAGATTCACGTTCGGAAGGGTTGAACTGTGATCAAGAAGTTTCTTGTAGTAAAGAGGTTGGAAGGTAAAACTAGACCGATTTTAAGAAGGACGTGAGGAGATGGACGACTATCACAATGAAAGAAAAGGAAACCGACAGGAAAGTGACTGAAGAAGGTGAAGTGTGAATGTGATATTTTCTGCTCCAAAATTTTACCAATAGGTAATGAGACGGCATATAGATCGACCAGACGATTAAAGAACGAGTAATCTCTTTTATGTAGGCTTCAGTCCTGGTATCATACATTTTAACTTCAGCTGCCAGTAAATATCATACAGTTATAGCCAAAAATCTGACATCTTTTATCACCTAACGCTTGCTCGGCCCTGGTGTTTTGCCTTGGATGCGCTGGAAGATACTTGGCCAAACTTCAGGATAGAATGCCGAAGACTGGCGTCCAGGTTGGCTGTGATCGCCGGTATAGAACTGGGTCGGATGTTTCCCCATCCACCAGGGCCTCTCAGCCGGCTTTGTATTGCGGAAGACGACTGGACGCAATCCATGCTTGTCTGGTATGAGATCACCAACACGCACTTGAATTGTCCGAGGGATAGTGTTGAACCGCATGGTGTTCAGATATAGGATTGCTGTTGGCGGTAGATCCTTAGCATAATGAATTGCCGCTTCACGGGATCTCCGGGCAAAAGCAGGGAGAGCCAGATGAACAAAGTTGACATAGGGTGCTGATGTAAAAGCAACAAAAAGCATGGGCATCGCACCACCGGCAATCACTGTGTACATACTGGTTAATGCCAGGTTCGTTCTCACATGCAGCCAGGAATGCCAAGACAGAGAAAATTGAGATATGACATACCTAGTGGTGTAATATACCATTCATTCTCATCGTTGTAACAAGATGGTGCCACGATTAAACATGCAGCACCAAACAGAAGAATGGTAGATACCCGTAGCATGCCTAGGAACATGGCTCGGCCAGTTCCTCCATAGTAAACCAGTATACGTTCCGGTGGCCCTGCAAGTCTCCTTTAGCATGTAACCTATGGAACTGTGCCAAGGGAACCAAGTACCTCTTCTAAGGTTTGTTTTGGAAGGACTCGGGTTTGGTACTCGTGCCGATGTTGAGTTCAGTTCTTTGGGTTCTGGGGTCGCTGGCTCATGGCGCTTGGAGGGTCGGGGGACTTGGGATTTGAAGCGAGCCCATATTTGACTTCGCAAGTCCCGTTGGACTCTTTTAGGAAGCGCCGCGCGCAATTGAGGGTGGAGGAGAATATGTCGCATGGTGTTGAGAAAGTTTGGAGGTTCTTCCCCGAGCGGAAAGCGGTGCTGGGCGACGATAACGACCGCGACCGCCTTGGCATTCCTTCTATTTGGACCCAAAGGTCGTCAACTCCCTCTGTTCCATTGTCCTTATTCCCTGAAGTGCCGGGCCAGCTTAGCACTCTGGCTGTGCACTATTATCACTTTACGAGCCATGAGCTTATAGCAACCCGGCCGTCCCATCGTCATGTCTTTGACTTCTAGCCTATGTGGCCATTTCGTACTCCTATGCCTCGGCTTACTTCTTATGCTACGCCCTGGACAAGCATACGAAGGACTCACTGATGAGACATTGAAGGCATTGCCACGACCGAGTCAAGAATTTGATATTCATAATGGTGCTATTTTGTCTCCTATCCTTCAGACCCGGGTCCCTGGCACCCCCGGCCACGATGCGGTCCTCGATCATCTAGTCAACTACATCCGAACGACCGTGCCCAAATGGGAGCTCGAGCTTCACAATTCTACGTCGAAAACACCTGTATCTCATGGTAAAGAGGTACCGTTTGTCAACATTATCGCATACCGTGATCCTCCAGGCGCCCCGGTCGGAGACGTTGAACGTCTCACATTAGTCGCACACTATGACAGCAAGTTGACACCAGAGGGTTTTATCGGCGCCATTGATAGTGCCGCGCCATGCGCGATGATAATGCATGCAATGCGCACTATCGACGCCGCGCTGGAGAAGAAATGGGCTGCCATGCGGGAGAAGGGGATGGACCCTGCATTCGAGGAAGAGGGTGGAATCCAGGTGCTTTTCCTTGATGGCGAAGAAGCATTCGAGCAATGGAGCAGTACTGACTCTCTTTACGGTGCCCGCTCTTTGGCAGAAACCTGGGAACAAGAAATGAACCCAGCCATGTCCACATTCAAAACAAAATTATCCTCTATTTCACTCTTCGTTCTGTTGGATTTGTTGGGTTCCAAGAGTCCCAATATCATGTCCTTCTACCAGACTACTCACTGGGCCTACCAAAATATGGGTAATCTGGAACAACGCTTGAGGTCATTGGGCCAATTTAAGTCCTCGTCAACCGACCCATGGTTCATTGATACATCCAAAAATTCGAAGCAGGTCGTTTCCCAGGGTGGTATCCAAGACGACCACATTCCTTTCCTGGCGCGAGGCGTAGATATTTTGCATGTTATCGACTTTGTGCCATTCAAGGGATTTTCGTCCGTGTGGCATACTATAGATGATGATGCAGAGCATCTGGATATGAATACGGTGGAGGACTGGACCCTACTTATCACCGCTTTTACTGCGGAATGGATGGAATTGGAAGGTTTCCTTGGTCATTCAGGAACTGTGAAAGCTCGCAGGGACGAGGACCTTGACGAGGAAGCCATCCGTCTGAACAGGAAGACCGAGTTGTAAGCCTTCCCCGCTCCTTGCCGCTTCTTGGGCTTTCGGTTTTGCTTTTATACACTTGATACCCCTATACGCCAGAACCCAGACTTATATCTCACGCCTCGCATGAATCACGCTGATTCTCGTACACAGTTGATGATTGAAGAGACTTGTAATTTTTATTTCGGCCATGCAGCCTACGCATTACGCATATCATCGTTATTATTAGATACACCCCAGCCTTGGAACAATTATTCTATACACCATCATCTCACCGTACTTATCTTTCCAATGCCCATCTAGAACATGTTTCCAAGCATGTACCCGCCCATCGTTGCAAGTCCCCAAGTAGGCTGGAAAATTGCACGCAAGATTGCCGGCCCAGGACACACTCCCCTCAGGCCCCAAGCAATTCCAAATGCCACCGCACCTGCAACGAATCGCCAGTCAATATCAGCCGCCGTGGCTGCGGGAAGTCTCCATTTTTCAGCGAGCGTAGGCTTTGTCTGTGATTTTTCTTTGTTACTTGTCTGACCGGGGCTGTTAGACAAATAGGTCACCATCGATGGACCGATGCCAAACACAATGATCAGTGCTAAGGAAGGATCAAAGCGAGTAAAATCCGTGAGAAAGGCAAAAAATCTCAGAACCTTAGCAGAATCGGCCATCCCAGATATCAACAGTCCTAGCCCAAACTCCAGTCCGGCAAGATAAGAAAACAATGTTCTTGATTCCTCGGACCGTGTAAATACTTTCGGCACAACAAAGAAATTTGTAATGCTAGATAAGATCAAAGCACCAGACATGAAAGCCAGCTCTGCTGCCGATGGGTAAATGGGAGTATAGCAAGGACCCATCTCACACGATGGGATGCCAGATCCCCCAATGAAATTGGCCGTGATCAGTGCCGTGGTGAAAAATAGAGCCGTCGCAATCAACGAACGAGGAGACAAGCGTGATAAGCCACAGAGCATATGTCCTGAGGTACAGCCGCGGCCATTCTGAAAAAACAAAGCAACAACCGTCAGTGTTCGTGATCACCATTCGTCAAAGAAAAAATAGTTACCTTTGTTCCCCAGCCCAGCAGAACACCTACGCCGAATGTTGCAGCCACAGAGGTCAAGGAATTAGGTGCAATAGGGTAATTGGGGATGAGCGAGGGAGCCATCATCCACACAGGGACGATACTGGACACCAAACCCGCTACAATAGGCACATTATCCTTGCTCGGGTGAAGTATAGACCCCGAGACTAGAGACGAGATACCAAAGACAGCACCATTGTGAAAGAGCAGCCCCGAAGAGCCCTGGTAGAGCAGCAAAGCACCCAGCGTTGTATGAATCGGCGTGAACATGATGCGTGTCGGAGGAGAGTAGTGGGTTGAGAATAGACTTTGACGGGAAGTTGGGAGGTTGATGTCATGGATATGGGATGTCGTCAATATCCCCAATTGGGCAACGAAAAACGATAGACTGTCAACAGTTTGACCAGAGTGTATGGCAGGATATACAATAGGAGTAAAAGCTGAAAACGATTGCTTGCCTCATTATTCTGGCGACATCGATGGAATTGCCCGATCCGGGGACCATCATGTGGTCCCCGATCAGGAACCCGCATCCCCGATGTGGATCTGAAGAAAAGGGGATTGGAACCTTGGATTGAATTCGAGGTATTCGGCTAATCCTAGGCCAGATTCCAATGACGGGATTGAAGGTTCGAGGCTTGTTTTATCCCTGGTTACACAGGAGCGCGTGGAGACAGGGGTCTTGCACAGGTATCCTTGGATATTGTTTAATGCCCGAAGGCAAAGGTAGATCTATTTCAATCCGGGCTTGGTCATCCACGAGAAGTATGCAATCATCTACAATGCAGCTGTCGATCCCAATATTCCAAATATCCTGCTCTGGCGTATATGGCCATTGCTCATACCGGATGTGAGGCTAAGGTAGCGAATTTCTCGATTGGTGTGCTGCCGCTTTATGAGGCGCAGACAGCGTTCAATGAATGACTACTCGGGGCTCCGGGAGCACCCTGGGCTTGCTCGCCGAATACTTACGTACTTCGTAAAGCGCCCAGCCTTCGTGATCCTGTAGCAACGCACGGACATGATCGACGTTCAGCCTGAAAATCAAGGCCTAGAAATGGATCATTACTTAGTATCTACTCTGCGGTGTCAGGGATGTTGAAGTAGCGCTATCCACTATAAATACATTTGACTTCGGACTGGTAATGCCAATGCCAATGTTTGCTCTTTCTGAGTTCCTCTCTTCAGAATCTTGGCATGAAAACTCCGCACCTGCAAGGCTCAATCAAGCTGAAGGTAAGACAGGTATCCCTTGCATGATGTGAGACAGGTTCGCATGGACCTCGGAAGGTTCTTTTATTAATTCCGAGAACTACTCTATTTCCTGCATTGGCCATCTCTATTTAACTTCCGACAAGTCTCCGCCCGCATTCCTGATTGGCCCGCCCATTTGCTCTGCCCCTAGTTTGATTGATCTAATCAGTAATTGCTACTAACTGCTGCTGGCACTACTTGCGGCTCCAGCTACTTAATTCCGAGCAATTGGCCATTCACAGCTTTCTCATCGCCCGCAAGCGGTTGTGGCGCCTTGATCGTCTGGACCGCGCCCCAATCGCGTCACCGTACTTCTAGAAAATGAAAAGAATGCGGACGTGAACCAGCATTATATGTGGTCCACCCTTGAGATGGTCTTCAACTTAGTATAGATAAATTTACAACCTTCATTTGCACATCTATTAATCAAGGATACCATCTCTTATTGATCGAGTGTGCTATTTGAGCAACAGTATTAATTAATTGCTGAATTGCTGGAAACACGCAGTCCAATATTTACTGTCTTTTTCTATCATTCGCTAGCCACCAATCAAATACATTCACCTAATTCCCAGCGTACCTATTTGAGAAAAGAATTATTGCCCCAAGAGTCTATCTCTCTGCCAGTTGCTCAATATTACCAAGCCTATTTATGCCGATGCAGAAGGTCCTGTTGTGTAATTATTAGAATATTCAGACTTGTCATCATACTCCTCGGGCGACAATCTGCGCAGATAACCACCAGCCAACAACTCCTTAACACTCTTGTACGACAGTAACTGCGTACCCATCCCCGGCTGCTCAAACCACGGAGCAATAGGTCCCAGTCCCACCTCAAAACTCTTCGTCACCTGGTACACATAGTAGTTGTACGGGTAATCACCATCAAATGTGTTAAGGTTGCTAGGAGGCAGTGAACGCTCTATGTAGGGCGCGCCCAAAGGAGCCAAGAAAGATCCGTACTCGGAGCCAAAGCGATCGAGCTTCTGTCCAACAGGAAGAGTGGTGTTGCCTAGGATGGCAGCACCGGCATGGGTGACAACAAAGCCATTCTTGGGAGGATATTCATATGAATCGGATGAGTTTGTGGACCCAGCCCATTTTTCCAAGAATTGCACTGGGCATAAGTTGCCGAATCGCTCGTAGGTTCGTAGCTCGTTATGGAGAGGGAATTTCTTTGGCGTTGTGACGGGTCCAAGGCGGTAGTCTCCACAAACGTAAGTAGTGTTTGTTGAGGTGATTCCTTTGCAAGGGTCTGGGTAGCAGCGCTCGGGAATTTTGTACTGTGTACAAATCTCGTTAGATCCTCGCTGAATGGAAGTAGAGAAGGTAGGAAGTAATCATACATCACCAGAGGCCCCTTTTACATGAGGCAGTGCAGTGATAGGTGCGGCCAGGGTGCTGAGCACCGCAAGGGCTGTGGTAAACTTCATGTTGGTAGAGAAATTGAAGCGTAGTAAGTGTACCACGACGATCCGGGGGGATTCAGCCAGTTACTTAAGTAAATTATCTTTTGGCCTGGCTAAGGGTTCAGATCTTGTGCTGATTGAAGCTAGTGAATCGGTGTATTATAGCTGGATACCCGCCAAGACCCCTTTAGACCAACCAGAAGATATTCGGATGGGGCATTTGGAGATTTTGTCGATCAGATATCGTATTTGGTCAGATTTGGTATCATTCTTATGGAGAATGTCCACTCAAGCTGAGCCGTGACCGAAAAGCGGGACTGGAGGCTTCTCACCGCAGCTCAGCTCATCTTCCGGCTCCAATCATGGTACTCTTGGCATTCACAGACAATACCTGGCTGAGACACTCAGTCTCTGTACGACATCATCCATCAGTAGTACTGCTGTCAGAGGAGATGCCGACCGGACCGATCCGGCCCTCTTGTATGATTGCTTTTCTGTTCCTGAACCCCGAAAAGGTGTGGCCAATAACCGAGCGTTGTTCTTACGCCAAGTGGAGTACGCTAAGGTGATCGGCGCACTATCGAAGGCCTGTCGCGCTTTCCTGAGATTGGAGACTCGCCCCTCACACGGTATGTTAAGCCTGAACAATTCCCACGTAAGAGATTTGCATCAAGACAGGATTCGATTGTTTGTTGTTTACTCAATTCACCTAATTGGTGAATACTAGAGAAGCCATGGAGTGGGCTCGGTGGAGTATAGATTGATAGTGCTAGGTCTCTGAACACGAGATCTTGAGGGAATGGGGGTGGACAATGTGCGAATCACCGATGATCCTTTCTCTGATTTGATCCCTCTTTGCCGAACTCATTTTATCGAGAAAAAGCGCGCCTGCCTTGTGCCTCGGACTAGTAATCCACATCACTCTGATAGGGCTGGAATTCTTTTACTTGAAACCAGCAGACAATGCCGTCCGGCCTTGATGGCGTCCCCTCCAAGGAACTTCAATGGTAACATACTCCTGTCACCCTTCATGCCCCTCATCTCCACACCAAAACCCTATACTACCCCAGACTTTAGGTCCACCAACTCGTGAATCTTGCGACTGGCTGCATTTTACGTGCGTCTTGAACAATGATCGAACGGTGCTTCTACAGCCGCTCACTGATGCGGAGGTTGAGTTGGAGCCGAATTGGCGGTTTTACCTGTTGCCTGACAGAATGAAAAGAGCGCCCGATTGCGGCGCGATTGTGACAGACCTTGCAGCTCGGGGCATGCAAGATCAGGGCCGTGCCGAGGAAGATCTAGGCGTCTCCCATATTGAACACACGCGTTATGTATGCCTCGTAGCTAGGCCTGTCCTTGATTTTGGGAAGACCCGATAACGATGGATGCTGTGACTGAGCATGGCCAGCGTCACCAGGAGAGAATGTGTGAATGCTATTTTAAGTCAGGACAACGGCAAGGCCATTTTCGTCATCAGATGTATTCTTTTGGCGGCTTTGGATGTGACATAACAGCAGAGCCAGACCATCGAACCTTCCCCCTTGAGTAGCCCCCGGGCAATATCCACACTGATACGAGATTAGAGTGCGCAAACACGTCTTTTGAGACACATAACCAGATCCCTGAGATAGCTTCTCAAGAGTGGGTATTTCTCGAGTTGAGTACTGAGAAGGGTTTTGCGATTCATTGTTTGGCTGGTTTGCGTAGAGTACACAATCAGTTCAAGGGCGCATTGCTCGGAGGATGGAAGATTGACTGCTTTGTATTGCGGTGTATCAGAAATCGTACAACAAAAATGGAACTGAGCGATCCAATGCACTTATAGCAATGGAAGGTGCTTTCCCAAAAATCGCTCATTCCTGTGGACTGCTGGGACCTGCATTCTTTCCTCTCCCAACCAATCCCTTGCAACGTTTCAAACCCAAAGTATCTTTATATTGCATCCTTTCTTTTATTCCATTCCTTACATCTCCACTAATGTGAACCTGCACATTCATCTCGTCATCCACAGCTTGCTCCACTCTACAGTATGGGTGTTCCCCATAGCTCAGTCGTTCACGACTGCTTGCTCTCGGCCGTGGGGAACAATTCCAATTTGCTCGCTTTCCAAGGCGACTTTATGTTTGCCTCAAAAATTCATCCCTACAATTTGGATTATCCCGTGGTCCCTACCGCCATCACTTATCCGCAAACTACGGAGCAAGTCGCTGAAATTGTCAAGTGTGCAGCAAATCACGACATCAAGGTTCAGGCTGTCAGTGGAGGCCACAGCTACGCCAACTATGGTGCGTCTTATCTAGTGAATTTAATGACAAGACTGACTCGCAATTGTGTTGCAGGCCTTGGAGGGAATGATGGTGCAGTAGTTGTTCATCTGAAAAACATTCAGCATTTCTCCGTTGACCAAGAGACTCACATTGCGACCGTTGGCTCCGGTACACTGCTTGGAGATCTTCACAACCGTCTCTATCATGCAGGTAGAAGGGCCGTCGCTCATGGAAGCTGTCCTCAGGTCGGCATGGGTGGTCATTTCACCATTGGCGGCCTAGGCCAGATGTCTCGCGAATGGGGTACGGCTCTTGATCACGTCGAGGAGGTTGAGGTTGTTCTCGCAAATGCCAGCGTGGTGAGAGCTTCCAAGACGCAGAATCAAGATATCTTCTTTGCCATAAAAGGTGCGGCAGCAAGTTTCGGAATTGTCACGGAGTTCAAGCTTCACACCCATGAAGCACCATCGGAAGCCGTTCAATACACATACGAAATCAATTTTGGTGATTTTGCTGAGAGAGCGCAGCTCTTTAAAGATTGGCAACATCTCATTGCAACCAAAAACCTCTCTCGGAAATTTTCCAGTGAACTTGTGCTTTTTCAAGGTGGCGCCTTGCTATCTGGCACATTTTTCGGGTCCAAAGAGGAATTCAATGCCTTCGGACTGGAAGAGCATTTTCCAATCAGAAATCGTGGCTCCATCTTGTACTTGACGGACTGGCTTGGCATGCTTACCAGCAAGGCTGAGGACCTCATCATCGCAGCCATGGGTGGCACCCCAGCGGCGTTTTACGCCAAATCGCTGCCCTTCACGCCTGAAAATCGCATAACAGATGAGGGAGTTGATGCTATGTTTAAGTATATTGCCAGTGCGAAAAAGGACACTGTCGCATGGTTTGTTATTTTCGACTTGGAGGGTGGTGCTGTGAATGACCACGCCGCAAATGCCACTGCTTATGCCCATCGAGAAGCTTTCATGTGGATGCAATCCTATGCAGTCAGCTTGGTTGGTCCTGTCAGTTCTACCACCAAGATGTTTCTTAATGGATTAAACGATGTGATCACTTCTTCTCGACCTGGAGCATACGGGGCATATCCCGGATATGTCGATCCATACATGAAAGATCCACAAAAGGCTTACTGGGGATCGAACCTTGAGAGGCTTCAGAAGATCAAGGCCAAGGTTGATCCAAAGGATATTTTCCATAACCCCCAGAGTGTGCAGGGGAGCCTCCATAGCCATTAGGAGCCCGCGGAAGCATGAGAGGCAACCATCCGAATGATCGCCACCAACGGAATTTTGTTTTATCGATACCCATTATCGTTAGCCCATGAGCAATTTTTCTTTAATTTGTTTTGATACCATGCATTTCAAAAGAAACTTGGATAATTGCCATCAAAAAATCCAGTTGCAAACTACTGTAGATGACTAATCTATGCACTCAATCCTCGGAATGTCAATCAATCAACGATCCCTGTCTTGTACACATGCACATTCGCTTTCTCATTCATTAAACATGGTATGTATTACGTAGCGATTTGGTCGAAGAATTAATGTGCAGTATCTTGTCTAGTCGAGGTCCGTTAGGCTCGTTTACAGATCTTCAAATATGAAACGCGCGGCGAGTTCAGACGTCGATACCGATACTCTGGCACAACGACAGTCAAGTCCGCAACCAGCGCCTTCCCTATACAGTCTTAGAGCTCCAGTTTCTCCCCCGCAAAGAAAACGCAAAGCTCAGTTTCAAGCCGTCGAAGCTTCTGGAAAGCCTTCGCCTAATTATGAGCACAACCTTGCTGCCATCGAGGCAGGTGAGATCGAAGTCGAGGACCATCTTGGCATATTCTCTACAAAGCTGCATCAATTTATGCGACCCACTTTGACATCTCAATCAATGCCTCATCTTCCTATCGCAGAATGGGTCGATCTGTACCAACGCAATGAGCATCCAGAAGGACGCCACTTTGTGATACACCAGCACGACCACCCCGTCGCTGGTCCCCACTACGATCTGCGACTGCAAATTTCAAAAACAAGCTCCGTGAGCTGGTCAATCATGTATGGGCTACCTGGCGATCCGAATAGCCAACGGCTAAACCGAAATGCAACGGAGACTCGAATTCACTGTTTGTGGGTACGTCATCACCTGCTGTGGATGAACTTGTTGCGTGGACTGATACATAGCCCAGAACCATCTCATCGAAACTGCATCCGTAAAGACTGGAAGTATGATTATCTGGGATACAGGAGAGTACGAAGTCCTGCCATATTATGCAGATAAATCCCTGCCCGAGACGGATGATTCGAGATCCGAAGAGTCTGATGATGCGAAGTCGTCGCAAGACTTTGCTTCGGATAGTACCAAGCTTCATGAAGCGTTTAAAAATGTTTGTATCAGTTGTTTCTTACTTGGTCATGATTTGCTAATTATAAATAGCGCAAAATCCGGCTTCGACTCCATGGAACCCGCTTGCCGAAGGACTACACTATCATGTTGCGAATGGATAAAACTACCGATTATGCAAGGCCAATTCGAAATGGGCCGAAGCGTCGTAGGAAACCTGTCAACTCCATACGCACGGCACCAAGAGCACCTTCCACGTCTGATTCTGATATTGAGCCTTCATCAGCGTCGGCGCAAGAGTCAGCTGCAGAACCACCAGAACCCGAAAATGCAGAAGCAACCCATTCTGATAATGATATCGATTTTCAAATTCAGTTGAACAATGCATACCCTGGCTCCACAAATACAATCGGTTCGATTCACCAACGTCGTTGGTATCTCAGCTTGGACCGAGCCAGTTCTGGTTTCGAGCCAAGCAACCAATCCAACGCGATCGGGACACCATTGTCGGCATCGAAGAAGAGATTATGGATTCGAAGTCTCGACAAGGTGAACACAATGCGCGGTTTCGACTCGTTTTATGTGCGTGGTCCGGAAGTCGAGAGGAGTATCGTGACGGGCCGTTTGGGGAAAGATGTCCTCGATGATGAGAAGGTGGAAGGATTTGTGCCCAGGCGAGGATGGCGACCTGTTCTGAATTAGAAGTACTAGGTTCATAGAGAAAAGACTTCGCGAAGTAAGATAAATTTAGCTAGAAATCTGGACATAACTGAAACAACTTGAACATTGAAATCATAGACGTATATAAAGAAGAAGCCGTTTTGCAATGGCTCGCAGTGTGGTCTATCAGACTCACGTTGGCCATTTCCCGGCTTCCATGCTCTCCGCTCCCTCTCTGTTTGCCTTTACCTACCGCGACCTCTTTTCGGCACTGGAGCTCTTCTTGGCGTCTTCTTTTTGGCTGGCTTCGCCGGCGTCTGCTCTTCATCCACATCCATTTCGTCTCCCTCATCCACCTCCATTTGTGAATCATATCCTGCCTCATTTTCTGCCTTCTCTACTTCCTTCTTGGCGATTCTTCCTGATTTCCGAGGCTCACCTGCCTTCTTCTTTTTGGCTCCACCCCCTACCTCTACCTCCGATCCTTCTGCCTTACGTTTCTTGGACACTTCTGTCTTCTTCTTTTTTGCTGATGTCTCCGATCCTTCCAATTCCTCTGATTCTTCTGACTTGCGTTTCTTAGATGCTTTGCCCTTACTCGACTCCGAATTCTTGCCCGACACTGAAGTCTGGCCCGATTCTGTACCCTTGCTCGACCCAGAGTCCAAGACATGAGGGTCCATGTCCATAGCTTCGAGCAGGGCAGCTTTGGTCTCCTTAGCCAACTGAGGCATCTTGGTCAGGTCTGTGGGTATTTTGGCAACCTCCATCAGGATGTTGATCTTCGAGTCCCCGGGCCGGCCTCCCACAGAGGTCTGGATGTTGGCAATATAGTGAGTGCCACGAGGCCACGCCCCAAGGACTATATTCACCCCCACCGAGCAGATTTCAGTTGCTAGTAGAGCTAAGTATTCTGGCGTGGGGTGTGGCCAATTCTGAACACCTGCATTTCCACTGTAATCAAGATTGTTTTTTCCTATGTACAGATCCTCCTGGAAGAACTCAACGGTGTCAACATTGACGATGTCACAGATAACAATCTGTTTCAAATTATCTATGTCATAGCTATGCCGGTACATTGCCAAAGCTACGTCGGATATATGAGCCCCAGCCTTCTCTCTGAACATCTTCTCGATGACTATAAGGCCATCTGAAAAGATCCCTTGGAAAAAACTTTGATCTGCAAAATTTGGGGTAGAATTGGATGACCATGCTATCAAAGCATGGTAGTCATCCCTGAATGGGATACCAAATAGCTCCATCGTGTTCATGGTACCGTTAGAGAGGTCGTCTTTTCCCGACTCATACCACGGGAGATCGTTTATCACAAGTGTGGACTGTTCAATCTTGCACAGAAGAGCAGTCACCGGTTTGAGCATCCAATTCATTCGGAAGATTCCCCGAACTTGGCGCTCGCCATACTTCAAAACAGCACCCTCTGCCATTTTGACCAAAATGAGAAGAATAGGGTTCAAACTTTCAGGTTGGATTATGATTCTTGTCCAAAGTTGTTACGATGGTGTGAGCCAGTGTTTTTGTGATTGATACCATTAGACATCCTCGAGAGCATTTTATAACTGAGAACCTCAGTCGACTCAAGTCATGCTAAATAGACTAGAAAGAACGTCCAGAACAGGAGACAAAGATCAAAGACTCAAAGCTAGATAAAACTTGTAAAGAATGAAACATCCAGTCTTCCAGAGTTCTAAGAGAACCATGGACCTTGGGATGACAAGGAGGATGGAATCAAGCCATCTGCATTGCTAATGAGCATGGAATATTAAAATAGTCATAGAGAGTCTTTGTGGTGTTTGAATATAATCTTGGAGCATATGGGCTGTAGACATAGAATACATAGACTAATATGACCCCGGAAGGACAGCGGATTGGTGACATAGAGACCTGGCGTGGGAGCGTTATATGATTTAGAAAGGCCGTAACCCTCCAGTGGAGCGCGAGACATAGCCACGGAGCTTGAAGAATCGTCACTCTCAAATAATATATCATCTTAAGCTTCGAATAGTTCTCATGCATTCCAATGAATGTTTACTTTTGAAGACTTGGCATGGTCACTGTCGATCAGCTAAGACATTATGCAAACTCAGAGACCGTTGCGGTTCTTTGCTTTGACCACGGGCGCATGTGGACCAGTATCCCGCTTTCAACCTACAAAATCTCTTTCTTCATCGAAAAAACGTTTCATGGCTGCTGGGGTGCAGTGAAAGGCTCTGCATTGTAAGTGATCATCCACTTCTTTGGGGTCCCCGCACTAGTAGATTGCCGGATTTACCCCATGAGCCCCGAGTCAATTTCTTGACTTAGGTTTTGACACGGATCTATGGACAGATACTAGGTCACCGGCATATATTTTCAATGTGATTGGTTGAGGGTTCTCTAATGATCCTGAACATGGCCCTGGAGATCGAGACTCCGGGGCTTTCAGTGAGACTGCGAATGTCCAGTGGGTCCAATAACAATGGAGCCTCTCAACTGCTAAAAATACGATGAAGGGGCTCAATCTCTCAAATGACCGGAAAACAAAACTCGAGTGCAATTTCCACCATTCGAGGCTGTTATCGGCGATACTAGAGTTCGCCCCACTCTCGGCTTTCCCAAGCCTGAATAGGTGCCCGCTCCCACGGAGCTCCGATCATGTACCATGCAAGCCGCTGGAGCCGTGAGTCATTGAATCAGCCAATGATAATGTTGCTTATACCCTACACCGTTCTTTTATCCTCAGAGCACGGGCTTGGCGACATGTACTGGAGTCATGAGGTGAATAGGGGACCACATTCAAGCATTACGAGGCAATGCCTAGACCACGAATGGATACAGGGAAAACAGAGGATTGACTCAGGATGGCTCATGAAGAGCACAACTGTCAGCACTGACCTTCCCCGCTCGATTGCGTGGATGCGACCTTAGTGGATGGCGACTGCGCTATGACTATTCTGTCGGATTGAAGATAAGCAGAGCGTTTCATTATTATGCTTCTCTTTTTACGCTCTTTTCTTTCTTTTTTTGCTTTCCTTCCTCATGCTATGAGGTATGTTCCCTAACACTTCTATTGTGACGGGCTCGGTCGCCCTGGGATTGGTCGGTCTTGATAGTGTCAAAGCTATTAAGAGCATTGCCGATCGCATTCTCCGGCGCCAATATGATGAAGCTAGTCTAGCCATTACTGCTTACCGCGATGAAGATGGCGAGGCGACTGAGGAGTCTCTGCGCGCCTTTTCAGATAAATGGCAGCGTGTCTCCATCGCACTATTCTCGTTAACTGGTCTGTCAACCTCATTGGCTCTGTCAATTCTTACAACTATAAGCAGCGATCTGAATGATCCGCTGGCTAATTGGCTACAATTTGCAATTTGGGTTAGTACAACAATGCGCCAATCACGTTCATGCCCGCTTGATACCCGGAACAATAAAAAGAAGAAAAGAAAAAAGTAACCATACTTAACATGCGTTTCCATATAGGTCTTGCTCTCAATCCAAGGCATTGCCTTCTTCGCCGAACCGCGTCCAACCACCCGATATCGACTGGGTCAATTCGCCTTCGCCGGAAGCATTATCTCTATCGCAGTAGCGGCCTTTCAAATCCAACAAGCATGGGTTTCTCAATTTTCTCTTCTCCAGAACCGTATCTGGGTTGGCCTCGTCGGCGCGAACATCGGCAGTGCTTTGCTGCGCGCTATATTCAGTATTCTTCTACCGCGTCGCCCAAATGTCTACTTCGAGGGTCAGGCTGTAGATCAAGAGCAGACTGTTTCAACTGCTGGCCTCTACTCCTTCGTGTGGGCTTCTGATATGCTTAACTTCACTATCAAAAAGAAAAATCTGGAGTTGACCGATTTGCCCAAGATGCCAGCTGACAAGCGTGCACACCGTTTGCGCGAGAACTTTGAACGCGCGAAAGGAAATAAAAAAATTTGGAAGGGGCTTATGATGGCGCACTGGCGCATTTTCGTGATCCAGCTTTGTATGGTTTCGATCATGGCGTTCCTTACATTTGGCCCGCAAGTTGCGCTTTTCAATATCCTTGACTCCCTAGAGGGTCGGGGAACTGAGGGATGGTCTCCTCAACGATCATGGGTTTGGGTCATCGCGCTAGGATTCTTCATGGCCCTGTTCTCATTCATCGAGGCATGGCTCTTCTGGTCTGTTTGTTCCAGGCTCGGGATTCCCATTTACGCGGAACTCACGGCTCTTGTGTTCGCCAAATCGATGCGCCGAAAGGATGCCAAGGATGCCAAAAAGTCCAAGGAAAATGAAGATGCACAAGCTTCTGCGAAGGCCTTACTACCTGAAGACAAGAAAGAGGAGGAGGATGAGGAGGAAGACATGAAGAAGAGTCGCCAGAGTATTGTCAACCTTGCTGCCGTGGATGCCCGCCGTATTTCCGATGTCACCTCTTTTCTCTACTTGATTCCAAGTGCAACTTTCAAGCTCCTCATTGGATGCGCTTTCCTGATCCGAGTTCTCGGATGGCAAAGCGCTCTGGCGGGCCTCTCGGTTGCTATTCTGATTGCGCCGATCAATATTGCTGTAACAAAGCGATACACAAGCGCGCAAGACAAACTCATGAAACTTCGGGATCAGAAAATGGCCATTGTGACTGAGGTCCTCCAGGGTATTCGCCAAGTGAAATTCTCTGCCTTGGAGGGACAATGGCAGAAGAAGATCGGACTGGTCCGAGAGAACGAGCTGGGGGCACTGTGGATTTCCTTCTACTATGATGTATTCCTCATGGCTATTTGGATTCTTGGTCCTATTGCTTTCTCATGCGTATCCTTGACAGTCTACGCCATTATCCACGGCGAACTATCTGCCTCGGTTGCTTTCACAGCCATGTCTGTTTTCGGTTCTCTGGAGATGGCACTCGCCATTTTACCGGAGATCATCACCAACCTCCTAGAAGCTATTGTCAGTGCGGACCGTATTGACGAGTACATGACCGCCTCGGAGAAAGTCGTCAACACTGTCCCTGGAGAAAGTATCTCCTTTGAAGATGCCTCGGTGGCATGGCCCGCAGAACATCACCCTGGAGAGAAAGAAGAAGATGAGGAGCGATTCCTCCTGCGTGATCTGAATTTCAACTTGCCCAAAAAGGGTCTTAGTGTGATATCTGGTCGTACTGGATCTGGAAAGAGTCTCCTTCTGGCTTCCATCCTGGGAGAATGTGATGTTTTGGAAGGTAATGTGACAGTGCCTGTTCCACCCGCCCTAAAAGATCGCTTCGATCACTTGGCTACAAGTGCAAACTGGATCATCGACGATGCGATTGCGTATGTTGCCCAGATCCCTTGGATTGAAAATGCAACTATCAAAGAGAACATTCTATTTGGATTACCGTATAATGAGTCACGTTACCGAAAAGTGCTATTTGCATGTGCTCTGGAAAAAGATTTGGAGATGCTCCCTGATGGTGAACTGACTGATATTGGTGCGAATGGTGTCAATCTCAGTGGTGGTCAACGCTGGCGTGTGTCGTTCGCCCGTGCGTTGTACTCTAGGGCTGGCATTCTCATCATGGATGACATTTTCAGTGCTCTGGATGCACACACTGGTCGACATGTCTACGAACACGCCCTGACAGGCGAACTTGGTCGAGGTCGCACACGTGTTCTGGTTACTCATCACGTTGCCCTTTGTCTTCCCCTGACAGATTATTCTGTGCTCTTGGAGAATGGCCGTGTGAAATACGCTGGCACAATTGATGACCTTCGGAAATCCAACCACCTGGATGACATTCTTCGCGAGGAGCAAGCTGCAGAAGAACTGGACAAAAAAATTCCTGACGATCAAAAAGACGCAAATGATGTTGATGGAGGGACACTTCAAAAGGTCATCTCGAACACGCCACACCAACGCCAAAGCGACGCAACCAATGGAAACTCCACTGCACCAACTAAAGATACTCCCAAAAAATTCATCAAAGACGAGACAAAAGAAAAGGGGTCCGTTCGACTCGCTGTGTACAAAACTTATTTCGGCATGGGTGGCCGTCCTCTTGCCTGGGTTTTGACAGTCTCCATCTACGTTGCCTATGCCATATTGATGGTTGGACGTGTAAGTTTGAAGATCCAAAATGCACCTACTGCAGTTGAAAATTGCTAACTATCGGACTATAGTCATGGTGGATCAGCGTCTGGACTGGCTCATCCGCCAACACGCATGCCAATCCCGAGACAAACCAAGCAATGCTTCAATACTCTATGATGCAGCCTAATATGGCTACTACAAGACAGAGTGATGGCCAACTCGGCATGTACCTCGGTATCTACATGGGGATCTCCGTTGTGGCATGTTTGATCGGAACTTTTCGATACTTTTTTATCCTATCCGCAAGCATTCGCGCCTCGAGAAACCTGTTTGACTCTCTGGTTTTTGCTGTGTTGCGTGCTCCGCTGCGCTGGCTGGATACCGTCCCGTTGGGCCGAATCCTTAACAGATTCACGGGAGACTTCCACGTTATCGATTCGCGATTGGGCTACGAAATGGGTTTCCTATTGGCAGAGACATTGGAAGTATTTGGCATTATCCTTGCAGGCATCCTTGTCTCTCCGCTTGTTCTTATACTTGCGGCTGGTCTTCTTCTGATCTGCCTCAAGCTGTCTTTGACCTTCCTCACTGGTGCTCGTGAAGCCAAGCGCCTAGAAAGTACCGCGAAGAGTCCCGTCTTGGAGCAGTTTGGATCTAGCTTGGCTGGATTAGTTACCATTCGCGCCTTCAGCAAGAGTGGCGCTTTCATGGATATCATGTACAGCAAGATCAATGCCCATGCTCAGTCTTGGTGGACGGTATGGCTGTTCAACCGCTGGCTGGGAATTCGCATGAACGTTGTTGGTGCGGTCTTTTCGACTCTCACTGCAGCACTGGTAATCTCTCTTCCTGGCATGTCGGCCTCCATGGCAGGTTTTGCTTTGAGTTTTGCCTTGCAATGCAATACGGCAATTGCATTTGCGCTGCGACAATACTCCAACATTGAGCTTAACATGAACGCTACTGAACGAGTGATTGAGTACTCCAATATCGAGCTTGAGAATCAAGGTGGTGTGGATGCACCTGCTGCTTGGCCTACCGAGGGACGCCTGGAGGTTGATGACCTAGTTGTGGGCTATGCACCTGATCTTCCACCTGTACTCAACGGGCTCAGTTTCACCGTCGAAAAGAACCAGCGAGTGGGTGTGGTTGGTCGTACAGGTGCCGGTAAATCATCTCTCACCTTGGCGCTCTTCCGCTTCCTCGAGGCCCGCCGGGGCATGATCTCCATCGATGGTCTGGATGTTTCCAAGATCAAGCTGCACGATCTCCGCAGCCGACTTGCTATCATTCCCCAAGATCCTGTCCTCTTCTCTGGCACAGTGCGAACCAATCTGGATCCCTTCGATGAGTACAGTGACACTGAACTGAACGATGCCCTAGCTCGTGTTCACCTGGTTTCTTCGTCGGATAATGAGGCGACTCTTACCTCCCAGAATGCATCAGGCAGCTCTACGCCGGACACCGCTACTGTCACGGTCCAAGCAAACAATTCGAATGTCTTCTCGTCATTGTCAGCACCTATCTCGGAGGGCGGTCTCAATCTCTCACAGGGTCAGCGGCAGCTCCTCTGTCTCGCCCGTGCCATTGTCGCTCGCCCCAAGATCATGGTCCTAGATGAGGCTACCTCGGCGGTGGACATGGAGACCGATGCACTGATTCAGCAATCTATTCGAGCTGAATTTGGCCGCAATGCGACTACCCTGCTGGTCATTGCGCATCGTTTGAGCACCATTGCAGACTTTGATCGGATTCTAGTGCTGGATGCTGGCAAAGCAGTCGAGTTTGCTTCACCCCAGGAATTGATGGGCATTGAGAACGGAGTGTTCAAGAGTCTGGTGGAGAACAGCGGCGAGAAGGCCGTTCTAGAAAAGATGATTTTTGGCTAGAGAAAGAAGCGACGCTTTCCTTGTGTTTTTATTTCAGGTTCCAAGGTTGTTACATGTGATATAGAATGGCTTTCGAAGTGTGAATAATTTATTATTATATTTCTTTCATTGTGACTATGTATTATTCGTATGCAAGAGGTCAAGAGAACGAGCACATTGTCATAAAAGCGCCCTTGGATTTCCAGTTCTCAACCTGCCGTAGCATGAAAGTAACCTTCCACCCAAGAAACAGCCTTTTCACGACCCATTTGTCTCCTCTTTGCACACATCGTATCCTATCTACGGCGTCTTGCCAATAGAATTACACCTTCAAGTTGATAAGGATCAGAGATGCCTTCATCGCGTCCGTTGGTTTAACAAGGTGGTATGCCGAACGCAGATTTCACTCTCCCTTCTCCCGAGTCTTGCAGCCCTTAGGCCCTCAAAAGAGAAGGAGAGCCACAAGCCTCAGAGAGTTGAGATATATCATATAGAACACACTAGGCTTTCATCATTCTGTATAAAGGGTCAGTTTCAAAAATTCAATCAAGATTGGAAAGCAGGTAGACTCACGAGTATAAAACTTGGAAGGATGAAGAAAGAAGGAAAAAAAAAAGCGGTGTTGACCCGCAATTATATGAAAACCACCCGCGCTAGTCTGCTTTGGGCGGGCGGGTTCCGCGGTTCTTTTTCTGCCGTTTAATCGTCAGACAATCATCGACAGTTTACGCATATTGTTCATACATCATGTTGAGTGCGGGCGTCCTGCCATTGCGGCTTCGCTCGAGCTTTACGATTTCCTCTTTGATTCGGGGCTCTCGGCCAATACCATGTGTACGATCCCTTGCGGCGTCGCGGCGTTTCCACCGTCCGACTTGTCTCCGAGAGCAACAGTCGGAGCTTCCTAGCTTCTTGGAGGCCTATAAGAAAGCGGGTTGGTTATAAATGCATGTCATTATTTAAAGCCGATCAATTGCTAATATAATGCTTTACTTCGTAGTTGAATTTCCTCCTGCTACCCATGACTTCGAATCGTTCTTCTCGCAGGCCGAGCCCAACACCGAAGTCGTCCTGCATGGATACCTAGGCCATAGATCAGATCTTTCAAAGAAGCTCTCCTTTGTCCGTCTGACGGATCCGACAATGAAACACAGCTTGCAGGTTGTTGCATTTGCCAAGAACGAGGCCTTCGAACAGCTCAAATCGCTCAACGTTCACAGCCCCGTCGCAGTGCGCGGGACAGTCCAAAAGAAGAAGGCAAAGCCTACTGAGGGAGATAAACCTGCTGAGGATACCTGGGAGCTTGCATTGGAAGAGATTCATTCTCTAAATGATTTCCCCAAAGAGATTATCATGACGCCGGAGACAGTATTTTCGCCCGAGCACCGGTACCTTCAGCTCCGTTCGGATGCACAGTTACGTGATGCGCTGAGGTTCCGCGCTCAGGCCCATAATATCTGCAAGCAGGAGTTGGAGCAGACCCAGCCGCCATTCACAGAGATTGAGACTCCGTTGCTGTTTAAGTCCACGCCAGAGGGTGCCCGCGAATTCTTGGTTCCCACTCGCCGGGCTGGATTGGCTTATGCCTTGCCTCAAAGCCCGCAGCAGTATAAGCAGATTCTGATGGCTAGCGGATTGCCCCGATACTTCCAGTTCGCGCGCTGTTTCCGGGATGAGGATCTTCGCGCGGATCGTCAGCCTGAATTCACCCAGGTATGTTTGACAGCCAGGACCGACTGTGGAATTTTTATTGATTTTTGATATAGCTAGATCTCGAGATGTCATTCGCGAAGGGCGAAGATGTGATGCGTACAGTTGAAGGAGTTATTCGACGCCTCTGGTCCACTCTGATGACAGACCCTGCCCCGGAGGGCCCTTTCCGCAGAGTTTCATACCAAGAGGTCATGGCCCGCTATGGATCTGACAAGCCAGACACCAGATACGGCATGGAAATTATTAAAATTGACCACTTGCTACCCGTTGACCTTGTTGGCAAGATTTCGGACTTGAATGACCCAATTGTCGAGGCCTTCAAGCTCGAGGGCAACGAAAACAACCCAGCCGAAACACACCAGTTTATCAGCCAGTTCCTCGACTCCCCAGCAGGTGCTCCATTTAACAACAACCCCGACGGTGGGCCAGGTGTCTTCGTATATAATGGCAAGCAGCCACTCTGCGGCCTACAGCCTTTCGGCTTCGAAGCCGCCGAGCAAGTCGAAGAACTTCTGGATCCGGACCACGGCGACCTAATTATCCTGCAAGCCCGTCCTCGCGCCCCCTTCTCTGGCGGCTCTACACCAATCGGTGACCTCCGACGCGCTCTCCATGCCTTCGCTGTCTCATCAGGCTTCAAGCCCGCTCCTACCGGCTTCGACTTCATGTGGGTCGTAGATTTCCCTCTCTTCTCCCCTTCATCCGACACAGAGCCTGGCCAAGGTGGTGCAGCCGGCCTTTCATCCACCCACCACCCTTTCACCGCACCCAAGACCGCTGCCGACGTGGATCTCCTCCTGACAGACCCCTCCAAAGCGGTCGCAGACCACTACGATCTCGTCGTCAACGGCGTCGAGCTTGGTGGCGGTAGTCGACGTATCCACGACGCTGCTGTGCAGGAGTTCATCTTCCGTGATATTCTGCAGATGCCAGCCGAGCGTCTCGGGGACTTCTCGCATCTGCTTGATGCTCTGCGCGCGGGCTGTCCGCCCCATGCTGGTTTGGCGCTGGGATTCGATCGCCTGGTTGCTGTCATGCTGGGTAAGGAGTCTGTGCGGGATGTGATTGCTTTTCCTAAGACTGGTAAGGGTGGTGATGATGCTATGGTTCGGGCGCCTAGTCCTATGACGGCTCAAGCGTTGGAGACATATCACTTGCAGTTGCGGAAGTAGATGCGAGGTGTTTGATATACTGAGCATTTGGTTGCATTTGTCCTTTACATTTGCTGGCAGCTTTGTACTATACGTGTACCATATATTTAGATACCCGGTCACTATCTCCTATCAATATATTGAATTGTGTGGAAATTCCAAGTTCTGCAATCTTGTCGTCCAAGTTACCAATGTCTTTCTTCAAGGCAAGTAGTATGGTCTGACTACCAATTGAAAACGCCCATTTCTGATTTAGTCATAGCTAGTTGCTGATCACTTCGAACTCACGTCTCCACTTTTTCAACGGCGATTGTACATCTACATTGCAGTCTGTAGGCAAGGGGTTTATAATCTTTATGAGATTGGAGGTAATTCAATTGGCTCCATATGGACATGTTATACAAGAAGAAAATGGAAACAAAAAAACGCCACTCCCGACCGCTGTATAAAGCTGAACCAGACAATTCAGAAAGGAAACAAAAGGAACCTGTGGAAAGGCATGTCTATACCAATTTTCCAACAATCTATACTTGAAAACTGGTTATGAAGTCTCATGCAGTAGGCAGAGCGGTGCTCCTGTTCGATGATGGGACGGAAGAATCTTGTGACTTAGAGTCAGTTCCAAAAGCTTCCTCCTCATCTTCGTAATACAAATATTCCTCATCTTCCTCCTCTGGCTGCCCAAAGATGTTGCGCCAGACACCATCCCAAAGGCCCTTCTTTGTGACTAATCCACCAACAAGTAGAATAGGCAACTGCCAAATACTAGCCCAGAAGAGACCACGGGCAGTGCCCTGTGCACCTTGATGTTTCCAGAAGTGGTAGGCTTCACGGACCAGCCAACCATTAGCTACGGTGCTTCCAACCAAGAAGCCGTGGCCAACCACACCGACCCACCATAGACCGATGGAGATAGGGAACATCAGCACAGAATACCGCAATGCAACACGAGTATTCATAGCCGGGTTTACCCAGGCAAGCATCCTGTAGCCCGCGCCCTTGTACTCGTCCCGAATGAGGTGTGAGAGGGCATTGAAGTGGGGGAACTGCCAGGCAAACAAGATACCACCGAGCAACCATCCACCGATGCTTTCTTCACTAAACAGCATGTCTCGCCATGAGTCATGCCCTGTTGTAGCTACTTGGTTTTGCGCGGCAATCCAGCCCATCAGCGGCGGGATGCCACCGACCACTGCTCCGACCCATGTGTTGATAACATGAATACGCTTCAACGGCGTGTACACGAATGCATACAAGAAGATATTTGCCGCAGACAACGCTGTTGTTGTGGGGTTGGTTCCGACGTACAGAAGTCCAAGACCGACAACTGCGGTACCAATAGCAAAGAGCATAGCACCACGGCGCGAGACCAGCCCGCGGACAAGTGGGCGATTCCGTGTCCGAGACATGAGTGCATCATACTTCGGCTCGGCCATCATGTTCAAAGTGTTGGCACTGCAACACGAGAGGAATGTTCCTACGGTCAAGTAGATCAAGGTCAAGGTTGAGGTCGAGAGAGTTGGGAGTTCGGTCATGGCTGGGTCGAGGGCGAGCAATGACGAGATAGGGTACATTCCGTATGCAGATGTAGTGGTAAGGACGATCAGGAAGGAGAGTCGAGGTTTCGTCAGGGCGAGGTATGCAGCGAATTTGCGGCGAAGAGAAGTAGTGGGGAGAGAGGCCGACATGTTCGACAATTGCGCCGACGCATCAAGTGGAATTTGTTGTTCTGGTTGAGCATTATTTGATCCCTCCTCCTTCAATCTTTTCCTCCGTCGATGTGGCAGCTCACTTTGAGCAGTATCAGGCGCAATTGGCGTGGCTGTCTCGGACGAGCTGTTCGGAGTTGCGGAAGCATTCGGCGACTGCGAGTTGGAGGGATTGGACTGGCTCTTGGCATTTGAGGATGCGAATGATGAAAGCAAGCCGCCGGTGGTATTTGAGCCGTCGTAAAGTCTATTAGGTGAGAAGTAGGTCTTTTGGAGGGGCGAGGTGGTTTGGTTCGCCATGATGCCCGTTCGCCGGTTCGAGGACGATAGAAACCCCCGAATCGCTGAGGGGGTATGAGTTCGCGATCGAACCAGACATCGCGAACATAGAGCCGCCTCTTGAGCCGGTATAGGCCTCAAAAGGGCGGACCGTAACAGGATCATGGCGCGCGCGTCTGTGATCCTTGAGAGGTGAAGGGGAGAAAAGTGGAACGATGCGAACTTTCCCCGGCGGCGGCACGGACCAAACCCGCAATTCGTTCGGCTTCAATGATCTACCCCGTACTGTTCCGTGTCTACGATGCTATTATATTAATAGGCATTCGAAAATATTTTGGCGAAAGATAGAACAGTTAGGTATGGGCATTTCCACAGGTATGTAAAGCTTCATTAGCCTCTTTTCGTGCAATAATATCGAGAAAACCTGTAGCTGACACCTGTAGAGACCAGGGTCCCCGCATCTTGAAATCAAATACATTGATAGCTCTGCTATCAAGCTTTGGAGATCTAGAGAGTCATAATTTAAATCACATGCTTCTATATCCACTCAAAATTATTGGCCTGGAGCTGTAAATCCTTTGTTGATATTGACGGCTTTTCTGCGCCTTGATTATGTCATTTTGTATCTACTCCCGCGGGAATGTCAACACAAACACTTCCGTCCTTCAACCACGTTGTCCTCTACCACTGTCACCATGGATGCCTCCAGCCTGCAGAGCAAAACCTTCGACATGGAACCTATCTTGGTCTACCTCCGTCAAATTATCGCACTGGTTCCTAAACCCATCCACGACCTGATCATCTCATTGATCGGCGCGGACTGCCACCGCACGCTTCTCCTCGATCTCGACCTCACCAAGGACCCCGCCTGCCTCTCGCTTGCAGTCTCCAAGGCGCTCGGGCTCGCAATTGTCGGCGCCAGCGCGGTGGTCAAGCTCCCCCAGATCCTGAAGCTAATTAACTCGCGCTCCTCCGCTGGTGTCTCCTTCATTTCGTACGCCCTGGAAACTGCCAGTCTGCTCATCACCCTCTCCTACGGTGTGCGCAACCAGTTTCCCTTCACCACATACGGCGAATCAGCTCTTATCGCTATCCAGGATGTCGCCGTTAGCGTCCTGGTCCTGACTTTCGCCGGCCGGTCTGCTGCCGCCGCCGCCTTTGTCGCTGTCGTCGCGGCTAGCGTTTACGCGCTGCTTTTCGATCAAAGTCTTGTCGATGCGCAAACTATGTCTTACCTCCAGGCCGGTGCTGGCGCTTTGAGTGTTGCTAGCAAGGCTCCTCAAATTTATACCATCTGGCGCGAGGGCGGAACTGGACAACTGAGCGCATTCGCGGTATGTTTCACTCCGAAGTATAACTTCTTTTTTAACGCGACTGACTTTGTTTTCTGCTCAGATCTTCAACTACCTCGTTGGATCCCTGTCCCGCATTTTCACCACTCTTCAAGAAGTCGACGACAAGTTGATCCTTTACGGATTCATTTCGGGCTTCACTTTGAATGTGATCCTGGCTGCCCAGATGGTTTACTACTGGAACAGTCCCGCGCCCAAGCAGAAGGCCTCCCGCAAGTCCGCGGACCAGGTCGTCTCGGGCCAAAGCACTGCGGTGCCCAAGTCAAACTCGAAGTCGCCCACTACACGACGCCGGGGTTAGAAGACTTGTATCAACATTTATACTGCGCTTTTATTGTCAAAATTCGTTGTAATTCGTTTAATAATACAATTTCGGAATTCATGCAGTTACCGCCATGGAACCAACCCCAATTATATCCCTTTCCATTCTTGTATAACTCCCATCTGCATATAGACAGCAGTCCCCCAGTAGGATCACACAACCCACTGAAATCAGAGACAACCTACGGCATCCGCCCAGTAGTCATATACCTCAAAATCTCCCCAAGAGGCACAACAGGCTCAACAGCATGCGCATGATGAACCGCAATATCATACTCCAACCCAGATCCACCCCCAGACTTCCGATGAACCCCCACTACCTCCATCTCATCCTCCCCTTCATCACCCTCATCCTCCTCTTCATCCGAATCCCCCTCATCATCCTCTAATGTCCTCTTCAACCCCGTAACAACAGCCTGGATACCCCCAGGCCCCTCCCGCTCCTCCAGCGTATAATTCCCGCCCCAGTTCCGCCGCCTTGCCTCCTGATTCGCTTCAAATGGCGCCCATTCCCACAGCTCACTGAGTTCAGCCTCGGTAAGCGGTTTATTCTCCGCGGAGCCTGTATTGAATCCCGGTGCTTGCGTGGGATCTGTACCTGTGACACGGCCGCGCGCGACCCAGTCTTCGACGCGGGGATCGAGTTTCGTGCGCAGGAGTTGTTCCAGGGTATTAGCTTGCGTGCGGCCGGGGTATTCGGGGCCTGGGTAGGCTACTAGAGTTGAGAGGAGGTCGCTGTGTTCGGAGAGGTGCTCGGAGACGCTGATGAGGTTGTTGGAGATGATGCTTGCTTGCGATTGGAGGGAAGACCTGGGGTTTGTTAGAGTGTCGTGTTTTGTGGGAGTTGGGTGGTTTGCGCGTACCATTGCGGGAGAGGGTCGCTTTGGTTTAGGCTTGCGATTAGAGAGCCCAGGGAGCGGGTTAGTTGGACGAGTCGTTGACGGGATTGCTCTAGGACTTTTATTTGGTCTTGGTTGAGGGTTGACATTGTGATTGTGGGTGGGAGAGGTTGTTCTTGTGGGTTTGGTACGGATTGAAGTTGGTGAGGTTAACCTTGAAGATGCTGGAAGCTTTTGGTGGGTCCACTCTGAGCTTGAACTATAAGGGAATCACGCACACCCATTCTTTCCAATGTCAGTTTCTGGCTTAGAAGATATCAGTTTGGCTTGCGTTTCTGATATTTTTATCATTTCATTCGCGGGTCAAGTCAGCTTGAATTGTCTGCTAGTTCATCCGGAACAAATATTGACAGGATATACATCTCGCTGGTCAGCCACGCATTGCTAAGCCAACAATTGACTTATAAGAATTTGAGATTACATTGCAAACTACCTATACTGGAGCCCCCGGATATAACATGACAGCTCCGTATGTCCATCCCTTATCTCCTCTCTGCCCCGCCAACTCCCTATTAATAGGTCCCGTCTCTGGAATTGCACGGAGTCACCGAGTATCTCTCCAGCAAGAGAAATCCCATACCTATCTACTCTCAAGGTAAACACAGGCAGCCCGAAGGATCACCCTGGCCCAAAAATAGCCTCCCCGCATCCCCATTGGACCCTTGACCTCTCGACCTCTTGGCAGTGCGTGCTGAAACCATCCCGCCAACCAATCTGAAGAGGGCGTGGCGGGCCGGTAAGCTGTGATGTACAGATACGAGGTTGATCGGTGTGAAGAGAGTTTGTTATGGTTATTTTTGGGAATGTGGTGCTCTGAGTACTCTGTTTGTCTACTTTTCGAAGGTTTGTGCGAGGGAAGGGCGGAAGCTTGGCTGGGGATAAATACGGCGCTGTTTCTCTCTCCTCCTGTTCCCTTGTTCCAAATCTAGCATCTCGACAGCCTTGGAAGCTTCTGAATAACTCAACTGTTATACGGCTACATTCTGTTTACTCCTTGATCTTGTGGGTTTGTTCATGATTCTTTTTCATTTCGGTTTTCTGCCTAGGAAGGTATTCAAGGAATGTCTTTCAGTCCAGCTATCATCCATCCAAGATGTTGGGATATATTCATCGCACGCAAACCAGAAAGGAAACCAAACGCCAGGAATGAAGGGTTGGGGAACCCCAGAAGCCAATCATTATTTATTGCCATCACAACATCAACATTCGCCGTGAGGATCGATGGACTCTTAGGACTATTTTGCTGAAATAGGCATCTCCATGCACCTTTCTCTCTTTAAGCACATACTGGGTATCAACAGAGATCATTTACATAGCATGCTTCTGGTCCATGCCAATGGCATGAGGAGCCTGCTCAGCACCTGGATGAGGCACGGCAACATTTATCTCTGTGGCTTGCGGCTGGATGTCCTGCTTGGGCTTGAGACCATACATCTCATGAGCCTGACCATACTGCGCATTGAAACCTTCATGTTTTCCGTACCCAGCAGCGTGCATCTGCGCAAACTCTTGGTAGTCGGAGTACATTTGCTGCTGGTTCCAATCGCCATGGCCATGCATGGGCGTGCTAATGGTGGTGTCATTATAGCGGGCATACAGGTGGTCTTGGTAACGGTTTTGGCGGGTGCGCTTTCTGCGGTAGCGGATGTAGAAGAAGCAGCAGGATCCGATACCGAGGCAGATGATGATGAAGGCTAGGACGGGGAGCGCGATCACCAGGCCTAGGTTTACATGGGAGGAGCTTGAGCCCGGAGTTGTGAGGGACATGCTTGAGGGGAGGAGAGACTCCGAGAAGATTCTCGTAGGGGAAACGGCGAACTCATCGCCGCTGGTTGTTGGGAAGTGGCAGTTGTATCGGATGGACTCGAGGACTGCATCTTGATGGTCAGCTATTTGGGTTTTTTCATCTTTGCTGCTGACAAATGATACGTACAGTTTGCCAGGTAGACCTGATTGTCTGTGAGGTTGTAGCAGAACTCGCAGGTGTTGATTACGTTGTCTGCAAAGGACGCAGTATTACACCATGTATCCAGGTTGTCCGCACTCGGATCCTCAAGATCGAACTGCACTGCTTCTTGGACCGTCCCACATGCCACTGGGCATGGAGAAGATAAGTTGGAGATACTTTCAGGATATCCGAAAACACAGCTCGAGACCGCGAATCGCAAGTTATCTGTTCCCCGTCAGCGCTGCTAAGAATGATAGTTCATGAGAAACATACAGAGGCCCCAGTTCACATCAGTCTCACCAGTGATATCATCCTCATAAGTACTTTCTAACTCGCAGGTAATGCAGTCTTTGAAGTCCCTGCCCTTCACTGTGTTGTTGAACGCAGTGTCCTCACACGAGATCTCATCGGCCGTCGTGTTGGTGGACGCCCCCCATTTATTACAGCTGTCCGCACATGAGGAGCCGGACGTGACTCGCAATCCCAGCACAGCTGGGGAGAGACCGCTCAGCAAGACCACGAGGGCCAATGCCGGCATCTTGGACTGCCAGAGTCCAAGCATGGTGGATGAGAAGCAGACAATCCCAAGTGAGAGCTTGATTCTTCGACCGCCAGAAGAGAAGCAGAAGCCAAGCGCCGAAAGATGGCGATCACGGTTTCATGGAAAAGCTGACAGAAAGCACAAGTCAGAGGTTGAGGGTACTCGGGAGGAAAAGCTTCTTTTTTCAGTGTCCGAGAGCTGTCGTCGGAGTCGGGGTGTGACGATTGAGTGGAGTGGCCAGTCGCAAAAAAGCGACCAAGTGATTCGACATGCAGTGTGAATTTGCCTTAGTGCTTTGGCGAAGGATGGGCCTGTCGAATCAAGCACATCCCTCACAGGGTGACCACCCGGCGCTTAGAGCTCATCGCAGAGAGGCTGGAATGCGACCACTCATAAGATTAGTTGCAGACCAGCGGTTGGTTGCTGAAGCAGGATCGACCAATAATCCTTGTTCAAGTGGATCCGTTCGGAGCGTGACGAGTGTGATGAAGACTGAGGGGTGATTGGCGAGTGGGCGGTTGTGACTGTGACACGAGCTGCAGCTGCATACTGCACGGACCGGCGGGTGTTCACCTTTGCAACCCCTCATCTCTTTCCGTCTTGAAGCTGATTTATCAGTGAAAAACAAGAAAGTGAGAAATGCTAAGCGCCAAGATTCGTACACCAGTGGGTGGGGAAATCCAGGTTTACCCCGGCGGAGTGTGTGCTAAATTGTACTAACACTGATGAACTAGTAGGAATAGCGCGGTGCTCGCCTACAAGCCACGGATAAAAGATCAAAAATCAAAGGAATCAAGTATTTGTATTTGAACAAGCACTAATGTCATTGGTGCCCGAGAAAGAAATTAAGTTCACATTAATTGGTGAGTTACATCCAAAGATGAGAAAGATGAGATTGTCGAGAAAGAAAGGGAAAAAAGCAAAATTGGCCGCCCACGTAAAAACACGATTTTTCTAAGTCAAGTAAATTGGAAAGTAGAGAAGAATAGAAGTCCACTCGGTACCACAAATCAACCATATAGCTCATCATAAGATGGTACCATCTCATGTTGAGTTGGAGTTGGCTCAGGATCTCGGGTCTTGGGACGAGGGACCGGCGGTCGCTTCTCTGCATGTGCAGAATGCATGGCATGGGACGCAAATCGGGGAGTATCCGGAAGAGAAGGTGCAGAGACAGAAGAAGCCGCGGTGTAACTAGTCCTTCTAGAACTACCAGCAACAGAAGATGCTTGAGTTGCTGAGCTTTGGGTGCTGACTCGACGCATACGAGATGTAATAGACAGCGCCGGAGATTTTGCTGCGCGATCGTAAGAGCCGCATTCATCCCGGCCCACACGTGGAATGTCTCCAGTCGCGTGGCCACGATACATCAGCTCTCGAGGGTCTCCCATAGTATCGCGCTCCTCGTCTTCTTCGTCACAGGATTCATCGCAAATGCTGTCGTTTTCCTCATCCCTGATGTCTTCTTGTATGTCGTGTCGAGGGCCATCTATCCCCAGGCCCTGATATTGGGCTCTTAGGGCCTTCTCAGGGCGACGACGGATACTTGCATCAAAGTATCCACTGGGGAAGTTCGAGCCATCGTGTTTCGAGTCCGGTGGGGTGTGAGCGTGGATGTGAGGATTGAAGTTGTTCCAGCCTTGGTGTTGTAGAGGTGGAACAGAGGGTCGTCCATAATTTCGTGAATCGTCCGGCTGGAGGCGACAAGGGGCCTCTATAGGCATGGAGGCATTGGCCACAAATCCTGACGTTTGGTTCCACTGGTTCCAAGACCCCTCGTTGGGGTAACTGATCGCAGGATCACCCCAGCGGTCATGCAGCTCCGTTGAAAGCCTCCGCTTCTTCTTGAATTTTTTCATGAAGCCGGACATGATTCGGGAAAGTTTGCCCATGAAAGGGGCCCCGAATAGACAGCACTGCTGCCTACAGAATAAAAAAAAGATGTACTCTATTCTCTTTAGTGGGAGGACAGGTCACCCCCCAAAGCGACGTTCATTTCAGGGCTGATGAGATTCCCCCCACAGGGACCGTTGAGACGTGGGCTCAGAGACTGACAGACTCAAATTCGACGACAATGAATGGAAAAAGAAGATGGCGAAGCAGTCGATGCGTCCGCATATGGTGAAGTTATATCACGAACGGGAGTCTCTCACGAAACACCGACAAACTCCCGCATGGTTTGTTGGCTTATCCAAGAGAAGAGAAGATCTTCCGGATACCTCACGGCTGGTGCTGGAGGGCCAAAATTCATCCAGCCAGCGTTGAGGAAATCAGGATTGGGGCCCGACACAATGGTTCAACCCCTCTGGCGGTGGCCCCCCGGGCGCCACTTGGGACAGCGACGATGCGGATTCAAGCAGTACAACTACGCCTCAGGTAGCAGTGAGTGAACCGCAAGCGCGAGAAATGAGTGGGTGAGAGGGGCCAACGGGCTGTAGGGAAGTGGGAATGCTTCGACGGCTGCAGTATCGGGTGCATCTAGCCTTGGCTCAAGAGGGGTAGAGCGAGTAGAGGTGCCCGCCCCCAAATTTTATCACCCCTGTTCGTCTGATAGCTTGCACTTTGCGGCGCAGGCTACTTGCAGTACGGAAAGGACAAGATGGCGAGTCAAGACGTGGGTTGCATATAGTATGGCTGCAGGCCGTCCGCCGTCGTCTTGGCATGGCGCTTGTTCTGGGATCTGCGCCTGCGTGGTATGCCTGGACGTCCAGAAGAGGGAACAAAGATCAGCCTACTGGATGCATCTGATCGTAGATTGGCCGTTAATCCTCCACCGACTTGTCCAGGGCCTGTCTGGAACAAAAGGAGATGATTAGCAACAGGGGGATCCCGCGGCCGCCTGACCACTATCTCTTCGGGTCATTCAGACGGGTCACTATGCCCAAAAGGTCTCTGGTAGGAGCAGAACATTTTTTTGCTCGAGCAGGGATTAGAAGAGGGGGCGGGGGACCCCCCTTTCTGAGGTTGATCAGAAAAAAAGCACTACAGTACAATGTTTCACCATGGCGCAGTCTAACCTCTGCCAATGAGTGGATTTCCGAACCCGCAAGTGGAGATGTGCACAGTTCAAACCCAAAGAACTGCATTCACGGAACTTTCTGCGGATGGATGGAATATTCGGAATAGAACAAGGTTGATCGACCCGTCAACCACGAGCTTAGGCGCCCCAAGCTTCAGAGCTCAATTGACCTGAACTGAGATAAAAGAGGGGAAGAAGGAAAGTGGAAGATCGACAAGTGGGCACAGACCTCCAGGCGTTTATGAGTCTTGATCTCTTCGATCATCCAAGTGGAGATTAGGAAATACAATTCCACCAAGTAGAGCTACGACGACTGTATTCATCAATCCTCAATTTGACATTCAGACACAATGATGTTCTTCGAAAACCTTATTCTCTACCAACGTTGTAGGTAGTATGGACCCCAAAACGCCTCCCATCCTTCGTAACGGTCATGTAGATGATGTTCAACAGGCTGTTTCCACAGCCATGCTTTTAAGCAAGAACCATAATTCATTAATTCCCCCGATTTCATAATTAACCGAAGTTGGTGATCAGCCGCGAGAGAACAGGCTTCTGCCGACGCCGATTTCCTTGGCCATCCGGACCTGCAGGCATAGGTTCAGAACGACTTCTTTCCCGAGCCTCTGATCTAACCCGCTGTTCAAGCGAAGCGGCTGGTCGGGATGGAATAGGCATAGCAGTTTGTCGCCTTGCAGACGCCACCGACTCGCGCGGTATTCTCGGCGCGGAGTATGGGTCCGGCGCCGGTGCAGGCTGATAGATGGAGTTCCGATTGTGATAGTGGGCAGCGCTCAGATGGGAAGATTGCGATTGTCCGACCTGAGCGTGGAGCAGATCGGAGGGAATCGAAGTCGGTCGGATAGGCTGGTACTTTGATGGGTCGTAAGTGGGCAGTGGGGGCTGGTCGCACGAATGTCGGGGGAGTGGATAATGGTCATGACGACTTAGATCCGGAGCAAAAGATGATAGTGGACGGGGATGTGCAGAGCGGGGACCGGGCGCTACGTAGAGATCGGCCTTGTAGGCCGAGGGCACATGTAAGTATGATTGTTGTTGTTGTTGGTTTTGGTGTTGGTGTTGTGCCGCTAGTTGTTTTCGCTTTGCTCTCTCCTTTCGAGAGAAAAGATGCAGGAAACCGCCAGTCACTGGGGAGGCTAATGTTAGCGTGCATTATCACCTCGATTGCCCACTTTAACCTACTTGCAAGGGTCAATCCAACGCTTGCAGCGACCAATGGCAATTACCGTTGCAATGGAGAATCCTGAGATTGTGTGATGGGGAGAATAGAATCCCAAACCCCGGTCCAGAAAGAGAGCTAGTGACTGTCACAGTGCAGAGTCACCAGTAGCTCCAGGGGAATTGTGGAATGGGACCTGTCAACATGGAATATCGTGTTGGGCCCCAACTTTTGGATCGTTCCCCAAAATTAAGAAGGGAAGAATGATAATACTTTAACATTGGCATATCCCTCCTTGATATAGATCTCTGACAGAGGGACCCTGTTTCAGGAAAACCCATCGAACTATTTTGAGAGGAAAGTAAAGATAGAATTCACCGGTAAACTCCAAAATAGCATCCAAAGGCCCATAATTAGCCCACAATTAAGCCCAATTAAACCCTTTTCGGTGACCAACGCACCACGCCAAGCCCAGAACCTCGTTAGTTCATAGTCAAGTCGCATGAGCAAAAGCGCCACGAGTCCACGACATTCGGACTCTCTGGCTCTCGTGCATAACCGTGCATGTCCACTAATCACATTCATGCAGTGGCGTAAACCAACACTCCGAACGCCTCCTGACTGGTTCGTTGTAAGCGCTTCGACCAGACAGCCAATCAGGACCCCAGTTTTGACCAACACCAACAACTACCAAGATACGATCGGTGATCACCGCTTGTGATCTGCGTGGCTTCTTATCCGTAGCTGAATGTGACCATCCGAGGCATTTTTGTGTGTTCACGACAAGCTTCGGATGGATCAGTAAAGGTCTCACGCAGTCAATGTTCAAGACTCTGACCGCAATGGCGAATATTAAGGGTCCGAGGCGTTTTGCATTTATGCATACGCGCGGTTAACTGCCACGTCCTGCTCCGTGCGGGGGTTTCCAGCGCAATGCTGTCTCACACTTATCCACGGGATATTAACAATTTAAAACTTAATTAAACCACGTCTCCTAGCTATCTGGACCCGGGCCACTTAGGAAATGAGTTGACAAGTCCGTAGATAAGTGCTTGGGCTTGAACAAGGGTGCATTAGGACGTTTTTAACGGTTATAGGGAGAAGCGTAGCCTATTGCACAAACAAATAACAAGTACTCACGCGACGGGGTTTTACATGTGAGTCATCGTAGGTTGTGAACTCATTTCCATTCTTGAGTAGGATTTAGGAGAAAAACCGGTGGACGCCGCCAACCTGAACACCTGAATATGCCAAATGCCCAACGCCGCGCAATGATGATAACAAAAATCCCACAGCCCATGAAACGTAAATATATAGAAAATAAAGCTCCGACATGGCTTGTCATAATCATTCATAAAGGTCCTCGGGATCGGGAACCATTGCCAAAGTCATAGGCTTCATCAATGAACCCCTTCTCCGGTCAGCCGGAACGAAAGGAGAAGTACGTCTTCTCGGCATGTCATAGTTCCGTCTCGAGCTTGAACTATCCGAGCTGTCACCAACGCTGGAGCGAAGGCTGTGACGATCGTCTTCCTGGTGCGAGCCACGCCGGGAGAATCGTTCATCCAGCGACTCAGTAAACGAGTCTCGCCGACTGTGAGAGCTGCAGTGGGACATCGCAGACTGACTGCGTGGGGGAGCAGCAGCGGGGATTTCCTCGAGATATCGTCCATTCGTGGGAATGTACTTGAACGAGGTGGTGCCGGCTGGCTTTGATTTTTCCGTCGCCTCGACGGTGTAGTCCTGACGGATTGGCTTATAGGCGAAATCAGTTCGCTGGGCCTCTTGCTGAGGGGCATCTCGCTCAGGTTGAGCTTCACCTCGAAGGTGCTTGGGCCGAGATGCCAGACGCACAGACAGACGACCGGTGCGCAAAGCTCCCATAGAAAGGGAGTTGCGGCGGGGGACAGATGTTGCTGAGCGAGTCGATCTGCCCGCGCTAATCTCTTGTTGAGAGTGCTCCGTGTAGGAAGTATCAGCTCTGCTGGAAGGGCGATCCTGAGGGACAAAGCCCGGACCATACATCTGTCTTTCTTCTTGCGCTGGGCGATGGGGATTGTTGTATTGGTTCCATGATCCCTCTGTAGGAACAGATATGTCCACGTCACCCCATCTGGCGTGAAGAGGCCTTGGGGACTCGGGTCTGCGAAACAGAGCAAGTGGTTTGTTGACAATGCCGGACATGGTGATTATCGTGATGGCAAACGGGCGGTCCCCAGGTGTATTATATGGCTACTCTCCAGTGAGAGAGCAGCAAGGGACATTCGAGCGGGAAAATAAATAACGAAAAAAAAAGCAGGAATGGCCTCAATGAGGGGTAATCGATATGATGCAACGCGGCTTTTTCAAATACAGTGCGCCACGTCCAGGGCTGATGACAAGGGATCAATAAGCCCTGCTCAGGTCTTGGCGGATAATTCCGTGTCCTTCGAGACTGGCAGCCTAAGGTTGTTTTTGCGTCTGCAGGGAAAACCCAATACAAACAGCGAGGACCGTCTCGGATTGGACACGGGCTGGACAAGGGTGTTTATAGGAGTGGAGGGGTCACTGGCCACTTGACTCGCAGCAACCAGGGAACAGGATTCGAGGCGTAAAGACCAAAAAACAAGGCAAACGGAAGCGAACAAGAACAAGAAACAAAACCCCGAGCTGCCTCCCCTGTCAATGCGACGAAGGTGGAGGTATATCACTGCTTCTCCAGAAAATATCTGTGTCTGAGGCAGCGGGAGGCGTCCGGATATAAAGCTTGGTGGATGAGAGACCTGGCCGGTGCTTTTTAGACCTCCCGACGTGCATAATCTGAGGCGCTGGAAAGCTACACAGCTTCCTGGGCAGCTGGACTCGTTGGAGACCAATGGGATTCTTGCATTGCCGCCGGGACGGTAATGCAGCTTTGTGGAGTGGTTCTCCGCTTGACAGGGAAGTTGTTCCTTAATTAGCACAATTATCAGTCGTGAGCACCCAAAATAGAAGCTAATTAATCGGAATTAACAGTCTGCATTTGGATGTAACATTCTAATGCAGGTTAATCAGTTTTATTTTTAGAAAGTCAAGTAAGCACAATTAGCACAATTAGTCTGGTTTTCATGTATTTCATTGTGATCTTGACGACCTCCAGGCTACATTACATACCTTGTTTACGACAGGGTATGGCGCATTTGCCTCTTTGCAAAATACCAACACTCCTTTACAACCTCGGAAGATTCGAGTCTTAAGAGTAAGAGTATATTGCCGTAGCAAAAAGAGTGTATTGAAGTTAAGCACAAAACAATGAACCAACATACATTGGAGGTCTTCATGGACAACATTGAAACATCCAAACCATCTATACGCGTAAGTCCATGGCGGAAAACAAAGGAAAAATCCTGTACCGAGTCCTGATCAAATTCAATTTATATCTCAAGACCTGAAAAACTGTACAACACGTCGTGTATAGACGTTTTCACCGGGTAGACTCAACGGCTCCTAGTTCCGTCGGTGCTGGTGTGCGCGTAGTAGCGCGGGGAATTGTTTAGAAAGGTGTGGGAATAGGTCCACTGGGAGTGGGCATAGGTCCAGTGGGAGCAGGACCGGAAGGAGCAGAGCCAGAGGGAGGAGGGGGAGGAGCACCACCGAACTGACGCTTCTCAAAGCCACCGAGGCCACCGAGACCAGTGGGCTCAGGGAAAGGAAGGCTGAAAGAGGAGGGGAAGCCGCCGAATTGGCGCTTCTCGAAGCCGCCGAACCCATCAGAAGGAGCAGGGCCAGTGGGCATGGGACCAGTGGGCATAGGGCCGGGGAAGCCACTAGCAGTGCCCGAGGGAGGAGGACCAGAAGGAGCAGGGCCACCGAACTGACGCTTCTCAAAGCCGCCTAGGCCACCGAGACCAGTGGGCTCAGGGAAAGGAAGGCTGAAAGAGGAGGGGAAACCACCGAACTGGCGCTTCTCGAAGCCGCCGAATCCATCAGAAGGAGCAGGGCCAGTGGGCATGGGGCTGGGGAAGCCACTAGGAGTGCCCGAGGGAGGAGGGCCAGAAGGAGCAGAGCCAGAGGGAGGAGGGGGAGGAGCACCGCCAAACTGACGCTTCTCAAAGCCACCGAGGCCACCGAGACCAGTGGGCTCAGGGAAGGGGAGGCTGAAAGAGGAGGGGAAACCACCGAACTGGCGCTTGTCGAAACCGCCGAATCCATCAGAAGGAGCAGGGCCAGTGGGCATGGGGCCGGGGAAGCCACTAGGAGTGCCCGAGGGAGGAGAACCAGTGGGAGCAAGGCCAGTGGGAATAGGGCCAGTGGGAGTAAGGCCGGGAGGAGGAGGTCCGGAAGGCTGGAATTCACCCTGAGGAGCAGGGAGAGCGAAGGCGCAGCCCGCGAGGCCGATGAGAGCGAAACTGTACTTCATTATGAAAGGATTGACGAATAAATTGCAATTGATGATTTGAGAAATGAGGGGATGGAATTGGACCAAGAAACACAATCTTGATCAAATTTATAGTTGGATGGAGGACAAGAGAACAGGCGGATGTGGGCTTCTTTATAGAAGCAAATATGAGATCCAGCCTCGTGTGCTGGGGGATTCCACTCATAGCTCATAGAGACGCCGGGATCGGGCAATGATCTCAAAACTTTGCCTCTTACATATGATGGCTGGGCCGCCATATCCACAAAAGGTCGGTGTCGATCTCTGGGGCCTGGAGGATGAGTGGGTCAGGGACGAGACGAGAAGCAAAAACCAGAAGAACCCGGCAGCTGCAATCTAGGGTCGAGATGTTTTCTCCTAGCGGATAGCGTGATAGCTGCTGGCCAGACAACCAGATAAGGGCCTGCTTACCGCTCCAGGTAAAGGAAATACAAGCAAAGTGGATTCATCCAAGTCAGAACAAGGAAGGTATCGTCGCTTCGCTTAGAATGCTTGAACAGGCACCGTGGTACAGCCATAGGGCGACGATCATGTTCCGTGTATATGAGTGATGCCGGGTGGGCTGACGGGATCACGTTTCTCCATTGAAGATGATCAGGGCCACCTACTTGATTGGGATGAACATGGACAAGCAAAGTCGATGGGTCCGGCCGAAGGAAGTTAAGAGGGCTGACGAGCTTAATTCTTTTTCCCGGCCAAGGCGCCTTAATTTTTGGCTTTCGGTGTTCTTTCTTTTCATGGTAGCTAGTGCCCTGAGGAGGCGACAGACTCTCCAGAATCTTCTGCCGAGTCCAAAAATTGAGCCAGGTAAGGTTCAACGGTGGTTTGATGCTTGAAACGTTGCCAGCCACATGAGTTCATGGTATGGGATTTTGCGCTCATCTCAATGCCCTCCATGAGATCATTCCAACTTTGCCACAGTGCATCTTGATACAGCCCCTGTATCAGGGGAACAGGACCCCGTGCTTTGTGGGTTCAGCCACGGGAAAAGTGGAGATTTATTGAGGGCTTTGTGAGGAAACTGATCGACGTTTCCACTGATTGATAAAGAACCCGCCAATGCGTACCAATGGTACAAGAGGATTGGCAAGATGTGGGACCAGGTCGGCAGCAATTTGGCTGTTCGGCATTTTGCTGGGGGCCTGGAACGAGAACCCGGGTCTCATGGGCAAGTTCTTTTTGCAGAGAATACATAAGAGCAACTCCTCAGGATAGATCCGGAGAGGTGTTGAATGATGTAATCTGCTGGTCTGAAAAATTGTCCTTCGTTCGGGCCGTGCTCATCTCTACGGGATTAAAAATGTAGAAAGACTGGAGGGGCAAGCCTTGTCTCATGATGAACTGTCAATTCAGTCACGATGCGTTGTTGTCAAGTATTTCCACGTTTCTCTGTAACGTCGTCGTCAGCCTTCAATCCTTTGGGGCTAGCGTGAGCGGGCCCTTGCAGTCTAAACCTCTCAAGATGCTTTTAGTCCCCAGAGTGGGTCCATGACTTCAGAGATCGACGGACGGTTGGGGACCTAGAGGGTTTCCAGTCCTTGCATCCTGCAGGTCAATTGACGACAAGAAGGATTCATAGAATGGCAGAAAAACGAGGCACACACGTGTTGCACCAGGGATGTCGCGTTATAGAATTTGAGTAATCACACCTGTTTTCTCCAACATGTGCTGTGTCAGATAGATTCCCAACCACAGTGCCGATGCTTTCTTTTCCTGGATTGCCGATCTCCACTCACGACCCTGTCTTGAGCCATTGCACAGGGTTAAACTTTTCTCTGGCAATACCCACGTTAATGTGTTCTCCCCGGAAGCTCGGCCCTCTGGTCAAAAAAAAAGCCTAGCCTTGTGACAGACAAAGGCGCCAAGGGCGGAAAACCTCGTACTGATGGCTGAAATTGTCATGACGATCTAGGCTAAACGAGATTATTATTCACTACTGTAAAGCCAGGTGTCTAAAAACCTTATTATGTACATTGTCAAGGCCTCTGTCATACTTTCAATGGCCGTGTGGGGGCTTTGATGTGAGCTCTGTCTAATCTCAAAATAATATCCCGAAAATACGAAACTGTCATCCGTTCTAGACAAAGGGCGAGATCTAAGCAGCGAGTCATAAATTGTGGTAATCATGGCGGTCATGCAAGAGGCGAGGTGATACGCAAGTGAAATTACTTGCCGTCCGAGTAGCTCGAGGCTAAGGGGAGCTATTGAACTTCTTTTTGGCATACACAACCAGGTTGCATGGAAAGAATCTGTAAGATTCTAGTGGTGACCCAATTATCTCCCGAAACGCGGCGGATTCGGGGAGTGAGCAAAAGAAGATCAGTGGTGCAGTTTGCGCGTAATGGAGTCAGGCGACGTCGGATGTGGTGTCGGCGTCATGCTCAGTAGGTGACGGGATGAAGGCGACAGGGCCATGGAAACCTCTCGAGCCGACGGTCCCAAGACCTGCTTGGGGGAAGCTTGTCGGCCTGAAGCAGACCGTTGTGACCTGCTAGAGAAAGATGATCGCCGGGATCGGGTGGGAGAATGCGTTCCATGAGTCAAACATTCTTCGTGGGACGATGCATCCCAAGAGTCTCGCGCCCGGAACTGCCGAGAATGACCAGAAAAGGAAAGACCAGGCTCCTCCTCTCCATCACTACCAGACCCAGTTGAGAATATCCCGCCGCCGAATGATATTGATGATCGGCGATGGTGGGCCTTTGGGCGAGGCGGCACGGAGATTAGATTATTAGACAGCGAATTTTGTGGGCTTTCAAGCGACACTGTGCTCCGTGCCTTTCGAAGCTCTCGTGTGCTTTGACCCCGTGATGCACCTCTTGATCGTTTTCTCTCAAGTTCATGACCATGGGAGCCCCTCCTGCGATTATGAAGACGTCCGCGATTGGCATTACTGTCTATCGATTCAGGCGAGTGTTGAAAGGAGCCTTGCAAACGCAGGTCAACTTGGCCCGGGCTGAAGGCTACACGGGCTCGCATTTGCTGTATAGCTTGATCAAGGGCAAGTTCAATAGCACAGTGGTTCCGAAGACGACTTAACCGAGGCCATGTCGCTCGCTCACCACTCAAACAAGCCTCGAGCATGAACTCTGTTGTCGGATTCTCCAATATCCGCGGGAAGTTGGACGAAATTAATTCGGGGTAGATGTTGATGTCACCACTGTACTTCTGGTTCACAATTGATGCGACTTTAGTCATGGAAGTCGGAAATATTCCAAGCTCTAACAAGACATTCATTCGGTGCAACACTTCGTCCTTTGCTAGGTGCGTCATTGTGTTCACCCACCGAGGAACGAACGACAACCCTTGTTGAAGCTCGTTGATTGGTCCGTCCTCCTTGGAGAGAAATGGCACGACATGGGGATTCACCTGTGACACAATGAAGTGGTTCACATTGAACATCTCAGATAAGCGTGTCATTGGAAGATCCCCGTCAACCGAACCATCAATGTATTGCCTGTGTAGGTCATTCCAAGGAACTGGAAGACCCGTAATGGGATCTTTCGCCATCAGAGTGTATGGCCTAAAGACGAACGGCACTGAACAGGATACCGCTCTGCATTCTCATCAGATAAATCATCCATGTTAAAGGGGTTAAAACTTACACAGCAGACCAGATCATGACGTTCGGAGCAGAGATATAGTTCAAAAGTCGCGGGAGCTCGTACATACCGGCACTTGACACGCAGATGTTCAAGATTCTGCGTGTCCGATTGTATGCCTCTTGAAAGGTGATGTCTCCCAGCCAAGCTCGCATGGTATTTGCCAAATGGGAGATATCCAGAAAAGAACCAAACTTCAAAAATCGTGCTGTTTTCTGGAAGATATTTTCTTCCCTTCCTGCTTCGTTAAAAACGTCAAATTTACCATGGGCATAGGTGTCAAGAAGCCCTGATAGTTCATCGTCCTTGCGAGTGCAAAAGACGGCACAGACGATACTGCCTGCAGATGCGCCTGAGATAATGCGAGGGATGAGATTGGCCTCGTATAATGCCTTGAGCACACCAATATGGTTCATTCCGAAGGTAGCACCTCCTGAAAAGAGCAACGCACTGCGACCAAATGCTTGCCTGGCTGCCAACAATTGATCCAAGATATACTTCAATTCCAGCCCATCGCAGCGATTATGTACCGACAAATCTACCAGGTTTGTGATTGTATCAAGCGCCGTGGTGATATATCGGTCAATCAAATCTTTTGTCCCAATATGCGAGTGACGATAAAGCGACGCGTTGCTCATCTTCCCCAGGTCCCGACTGAGCGCAGTCCGAACCAGAAACAACATCCGGCTCACATCGCAGCTGATGCGTGCCTCCTCCAGCTCCCGTAACCGTTCCTGCACCAACTGAGGGTGATATTCGGGGCATTCAAAAGTTTTCTTCCAACTGTTATTGTCTTCTAGCACGTCGAGCTCATTCGCGCAACTACACCATTCTTCGTACGACACTGCCTGCAATCCGAGCCTTGATTAGCACGGTGACGCAACAGATGCGACCGCCCGTCCCGTTACCGGGGCGCCACGCTTTGAATGAAAAGTGTACTGACATGTTTAATTTTCAAATAGAGCACCTGTTTCCGATCCTCAATATCTGCCTGTCGCTTCCGCTCGTCGGGCGAGGGTCCACCGCGGTAGGCGCCAAGGGTGTCGCCGGCCCAATTCCATGAATCCTTAACAATCGAAGAGACTGCTGGGATGGATATGGCCCTGCGCAGAGATCGAGGCGTCGAAGATATTCGATCCGACTCATGATTGGAGTAGCATTTTGAAGGGACTATTGTGGAGTCGCCCAATACCGATATCGAAGGCTTGTGCATCGGGAACGCGCCATTCGGGTCTATGACGCGGCTTGGAGTCTAAATGAAAGATATGAAATAATTTCAAAGAAAACAAAGTCATATATGGAAGCAAAAGGCGAAAAGCAAAGAGCAAAGATCAAGGGCGGTCTGAAGAACGTCACGGGGACCAATTGGTGTCCGCCCGATGACCCCAACTTTCCCCGGGGTGCCTAATGTGGGTTCCCCACGCTTAGATTAGGTTGCAACTACTACTGTACATGTAATGGATTTATCCGATTGAGGATCATGCATGATCCTCACTAAATGACTCAAAAATGACTATGATCTCACTGTCATCTGAACAAGGATGATGAATGAATCAATGAATCAATGATGTTCACATGCATGCATGTGAGAGCGGGACTCTAAGAACGCCACGGAGTATGGGAAATATGCAGGGAATCATACGTAGATCTTAACTCTGTACCGGGATCAAAAGTCATATAGAGTTCAGTTCCTTTAATATTGCATACAGGTAATAGACTGGAAGGATTCAAATCAGATCAAATCAAACTACCTTAGCTACAATACCTTATATTGTATAACCACGGAGCCATTCCCGCAATATCTGCCTCGCCTCTTGCTCCACTCCATCCTCTCGCCAAAAATGCCCCGCACCCTCAATCTCACACCCTCGGAACTGACTATGCGGCATGCGGCCGAACTCGGCTGACCATCTCCGCAATTTCCCCACGGATGTAAAGGTGTCATCATCCCCAAATAACACCAGTGTCCGATGAACACTCAGCTGGTCGGCTGGACGAGCGGGTCGGGCCTGAGCTGACCGGCCCCCCACATCTACCGAGAGAGTGGTAAACGCCGTCAAAAAAGAACTTACTGGGGGTAGTAGTGGTGACACAAGGAGATAAGAGATCAAGGTTGACGCGCGGAGTCCCTCGTCATCACGGTCCTCTAGCCTTGTTGCTACAGAACCTGGTATTGTTGCTGCAGCGATCTTCCTTGCCTCTCTGAAAATCCGGTCAAATACACAGCCGGTTCCAGGGCCAGGTCGAAATAGATCAATCATGACATCAAGGGTTGGGACATTGGAGGCAATCATAGACCCATAGGAGTATCCGCCGAGTATGAGATCGATATCTCGGTCGCCTTCTGCGCTAGAGCCCTGGGCAGATTCCAAAGCATTCAGGTAGTATAGCATGAACCCATAAAATGAAGTATAATCTCCCAGCTCGGGTTTGGCGGTCCAGCTAGTCGTTCCTTCGGACCCTCCAGCTCCCCTGAGGTGGTGTTAGCCTGTCCACCCTCCGCGTAGTTTCAGAGATAGGGCGTTACCGGAAGTTGAAAGTTCCCACGATAAAGCCTGCATGGTGGAGCTCCCCGCCGATAAAGCTGACCACGGGGTCGTCGTAGCTGCCACCCAGTGGTGCGTAGGGGTGGGCGAAGATAGCACCCTGGATGTGCCTGGGAGGTGCCGATTCTATATTTTGCAGGTGGCGGGGCAAATAAACACGGCATTCGAGTTGACGCCCGTCATGGATTGAGGGAATAGAAAAGGAAAATGTAGGCCGGTGAAGATGCATTATGAATAGGTAGATCCCTTTTTCACTTACTCTATCAAACGCTAGCAGAGTGCGTGATGAAGCATTGAAGCTTGGATGTCATGTTTTGAGTTGAAGATTCCTGTTCCGCCCGAATATATTGGTGAACACCGGATATTCATCGATGCAATCCTACACCCCAATCCTTGGAAGAATAAGTCAACGCTTCGTGCGAGCTAAGAAGCAAATAAACCTGATAGTTGAAAGATAATAAATATATGTGATTTATCGCTATATGCGTATTTATATCATGGCCTTATGATTCAAGAAGCCAGGCTGGATCGGGCTCGTCATCCTCAGACCTGGACGTTGTATCTGTATGATGGTCATCCCCATCCCCATCCTTTAATAAGTCTGCTGGTGGATCGGAATCCTCATTATTCAACGGGTCCCCAATGACTTCTGCATGTTCGTTCGTGGGTTCCTCGGGGGGATGTACTTGTTGAGAGGACGGCGACTCGGGCACAGGCAAGCCAAAGGCGGGAAGTAGCATTCCCCTTGCTTCTCGAAGAGCTTCTAGCTCTGCTGCAATGCAACAGACAAGGAGTTTCCAGTCCTTTTCCTCGGCATACTCCAAATGAGATTCCAGCCGCTGTGTGGTTTGCTCTAAATCATTCGAAACGGTGGCTGCCACATCTTCCTTGCTATCTCCAATCGGTGCGCCGTTTTCCGCTTGCACATCCAACTGCATGAAACGGCGCATATAGCCTCTGAGTCGCTTCTCAAAGCCAGCCACATCCCCCGTGGCTTGCTTCCAGACTCCACCTCCTTCCTCGAGTGCCAATATCTCTGCATCCACTTCTAGTTGCCTCTTGTGCAAATCCTCCTGTTCTTTCTTCCAAAGATCTTGGGCCATCTCAAGAGTACGGCGTTTGGGTTTCAATGAAAATAAGGTAGACTCGTTTGGCTGCCGCGAAAGGGGCTGAACCTGGGGATCGCGGAGGTAATTTCGGATGTCTGACTGTAGGATGGACAAGGATTCAGTATAAGAAGATAATTTAGCATCGACGGAGTTTTCGATGTCCTTGATCTCCATGACAAGGTGTCTGTGTTTGGCTTTCATCTCATATAGCCTGGTTTCCAGTTCATGGATGTCAGTCTCGAGGCCACGGGCCTCCTCTTGAAGCTCTTTAGCGCGCCGATTCCCTCGGTCATTCTGTATCACTGAGATGGCTTCTTCCAGACCTTTTCGCCTTGAGGTAAAACTTTGGATCTCATGGAGCGCATTGTCTCTCTCATCTGACTGAGATACGAGTATTTCTCGCTCTTCTTCTCGTAGCTTAAGTAAATCATATATCGACTGGAATATCCCTTCCCGTGCAGCTCTAAGTCCTATCTTCTGTGGTCGGGGTTGCCTTGCCGGAGTTGTGGAGGGGGATCGCGATCGGCCAGCTTTGGAGGAGGTCGGGGTGAAGCTCCCCTCGGAAGTATCGTCTGGTTGGGGCTGAGCAAGTCCAGAAAGAAGACCCTCACTTTGTGCGTCAATCAAGGTCTGAAGAGAGCGTTCGATGTGCTTGGATTGTCGCTCAATATAGAGAAGGGGGTCGTGGTGGTATGTGGAAGCTGCTGCAGGTACCGGCGGCAGCCGTTTATCGCGAAACGGGAGTAGAATGGACATGATGATCAAAAAGAACAGAGGCTTGACTTTTTGCAAAGAAATCTTCTAAGGAGAAAAACCCGGCACTTGCAAGGGGGGGGGGGAAATGAAGGGAATTTAAATATCAGCCATGATCATCATTTACTAGAAGTATAGATGGAGCACCAGACCTTGTTCGCGGCCAGCTGATGCCCGAAGCACGTGACATTACAGTCAGCTCCGTTGACGTTGTCGGGTCTCGCGCCTGCAAAGCTTCCGCTGTCTGCTCCCAGCTTCCATTCGTACCTTCACTTCATTCCATCGTGTCTTTCCCCCTATCTTGATCTCTTTTCCTCTTGCCATCATATTGCTTGGGGTTTTTAAATTATCGCACTTCACCGAATTTCATCTGTGTTTTGGGGCTCGCTCGCTGTTCTGCCCCCCAAGCTCCCTCTCGGGTGACATTGCTTCGTCACATCGACAACAGCATCATTATCGGAGCCTGAGCTTCATATAACACACCTAGGCTCCCGCTGTCTCACACAATCAAAATGGTCGGAGTTATTTCGGCCGCCGGTCTGGTTGGCTTCCTCTCCGAGCCAGACCCTGAGCTCAAGGTGTATGCCTTGAAGTCATTAGATTCGCAGATCGACCTGCTTTGGACCGAGGTCGTGAACGCAGTTCCTGAGATGTAAGTTGCTAGCATGGGCTGAATTATCCCCTCGATTGTGATCGATGCGACCTTCTCTGTCCGGGTCCTCGTTCTACAGACGCTGATGACATCTATCCAGTGAGGCCCTATACGAAGATGAATCTTTCCCGGAACGTGAACTCGCTGCTCTGGTTGCCTCAAAGGTGTACTATCATCTCCAGGAATATAATGAGAGCATGGTTCTTGCTCTGGGTGCTGGCAAGCTGTTTAAGCTTGACAACGGTGGCGAGTACGAGGAGACTATCATCGGTAAGACAATCGCGAACCATTGTATCCGCATCTGGGTAGCTAACAAAGATATAACTTTCAGCTAAATGCGTCGATACCTTCATCTCTCTATCTGCCGCTCAGAACCCGAGCGCCGGTGACCACCCTGCCCACCTCAACCAGTCTTTTCCTGCATCTGCCGAAGGCGCCACAAGCACATCAGCAAGCCTGACCTCTCCGATCACACCATTCACAAAGTCTGCGCTGCCTTCTAAGTCCTTGCTATCGCGCCAAGAGGTCCCCGGCATCGACATCGCTCACCCTGGAGGCGAGGACATCAGCATCCAACATGAGGACACCCCTCTTATCTTGAAGCGTGGTGTCCAAGGCCAATTACAGGCTGTTATTGAGCGATTGTTCGAGGAGTGCTTCCGCCAGAAGCGTTATCGTCAGGTTATTGGAATCGCCATCGAGGCAAGGAGCTTGGATGTTCTCCGCATGTCTATTATTCGTGCCAGTGAGGATGAGAAGAAGCAACAAGGCGAATCCCGTCAGAGCGAGGAGCTCATGGAGTACGTGCTTGATATTTGCATGGGCATTGTCCAAGAGCGGGCGTTCCGTAACGAGGTTTGTCCAAAAAATCCCTTGAAAACCAAACAGTTCTGACAGGTTTTTTCATATAGATCTTGAAACTCATTCTCGAGCTACTCAACGAGATCCCTGCACCCGATTATTTCTCCATCGCGAAATGTGTCGTCTATCTTAATGAACACTCAATGGCATCCGTTATTCTCCGCCAGCTTGTCGAGAAGGGCGACTCGCGGTCCTTGGCTGTTGCTTATCAGATTTCTTTCGACCTTTATGACAACAGTACCCAGGAGTTCCTCCAGAAGGTTCGCCAAGAGATCGCCGAGCTTGTTCCAGAAAACGAGGCCGACAAGGAGAACGCAGAGGCCAACGAGTCAGACCCGTTGCTCGAAGACCAGTCTATCTCTATCTCCCGGCAATCAAACGAAGACGATTCTGATGAGCTGCGTAGTGCATTTAAGAATGTTCTTGCTATCCTTGATGGCATTAAGACCATTCAGTTGAATCTGGAGTTCCTCTACCGGAATAACAAAGCCGATATCGCCATATTGAATAAGATTCGTGATAGCCTCGAGGCTCGGAATTCTATTTTCCACACTGCAGTTACTCTCTCGAATGCTTTCATGCACGCCGGCACTACCCATGACAAGTTCTTCCGTGATAATCTGGAATGGCTGGGCAAGGCTGTTAACTGGTCCAAGTTCACTGCGACCGCTGCCTTGGGTGTTATTCACCGTGGCAACTTGAGCCAGGGCCAGAAGCTTTTGCAGCCCTACCTGCCCCGCGAGCACATTGCTGGTGTTGGTGGTTCTGGCTCCGTCTACAGCCAGGGTGGTTCTCTTTACGCCTTCGGCCTTATTTACGCTAACCACGGTGGTATGGCCGTGGACCTCATTCGTGACCACTTCAAGAAGGCCACCGAGGAGGTTGTTCAGCACGGTGGCGCTCTAGGTCTGGGTGTGGCAGGTATGGCCACTGGTGACGAGGGTATTTATGAAGATCTTCGAAATGTTCTCTACACAGACTCTGCTCTCAACGGCGAGGCAGTCGGCCTTGCCATGGGTCTTGTCATGCTGGGAACTGGCAACATGAAGGCGCTGGAGGATATGATTCAGTACGCTCACGACACCCAACATGAGAAGATCGTCCGCGGTCTAGCCATGGGTATGGCTTTGATCATGTATGGTCGTCAAGAAGCTGCGGATGAGCTGATTAACGGTCTCCTTGGGGATCCTGACCCAACTCTTCGCTACGGTGGTATCATGACCATTGCTCTGGCGTACTGTGGCAGCGGCAGCAACAAGGCTGTTCGCAAGCTGCTCCACGTTGCCGTCAGCGATGTCAATGATGATGTTCGACGAGTGGCGGTCATGAGCTTGGGTTTCATTCTGTTCCGCAAGCACCAGAGTGTTCCTCGTATGGTCGAGCTGCTCTCCGAGTCGTACAACCCTCACGTCCGCTACGGTGCTGCCATGGCGCTTGGTATTTCGTGTGCGGGCACTGGACTGGACGAGGCCATCGATCTTTTGGAGCCTATGCTTAAGGATTCCACCGACTTTGTCCGCCAGGGTGCTTTGATCTCTTTGGCTATGGTTCTTGTCCAGCAGAACGAGGCGATGAACCCTCGCGTTACCAGCTTGCGCAAGGCTATGATGAAGATGATGGGTGACCGTCATGAGGATGCCATGGCCAAGTTTGGATGCGCCGTGGCCCTTGGTATCATTGATGCTGGTGGTCGCAACTGTACCATTAGCCTTCAGACTCAGACCGGCAACTTGAACATGCCCGGTATTGTCGGTGCCGCTGTCTTTGTGCAGTACTGGTACTGGTTCCCTCTCACCCACTTCCTGTCGCTCAGTTTCACTCCGACCTCTGTGATTGGTGTGGACCAAAAGCTGGAAGTGCCAAACTTCAAGTTCCACAGCAACACTCGCCCCAGCCTGTTCGACTACCCCCCAGAGCAGCAGGTGAAGACAGAAGAGGCTCCGGAGAAGGTCAAGACGGCAGTACTCTCTACCACTGCTCAGGCCAAGCGTCGGGCACAGCGTCGGGAGAAGCAGGCCCGCCGCGAAAGCATGGACATTGACCAAACGCCTACCACCCCTAAGGTGTCAGACCAGCTGCCCGAGAAGATGGATACAGATGAGAGTGTCCCCAAGGAGGGAGACGAGGGCAAAGATGGAGAGAAGAGCACTGGAGAAGGTCAGAAGAAGAAGGCGGAGCGGGAGAAGGTTGGTTATGAGCTGGACAACATGTCAAGAGCACTACCCGCACAGCTCAAATATCTCACTTTCCCCGACCCGCGGTATGAGCCAGTTAAGCGCGTACGTTGTATCTCCCCCGATCCATTTAGTGCCCATACTGACTTATCTTTACAGCCTACCGGTGGCGTCGTTGTTGTCCTTGACAAGCAGCCTAATGAACCTCGTGATATTGTTGAGCTAAAGGCTAGCAAAGAACAACGGCAACCCGCTCCCCCTGCCGAGACTCTTCAGGATCGCCTTCAGGCCGCCATTGGCAACGCCGCTCTGCAGACCCCTCAACGGGCTTCTGCTCGAGCTGCCATGTCCGATACTCCAGCTGGCGCTGCGGCCGCCGCGGGTGTCTTGACCGCTGTCGATGAGGATGAGGAGGGTGTGGAAGACGCTCCTCTTCCGGACGAGTTCACATACGAGTCGGACGGAGAGGATGAGTAGACGGTTTTCGCAACACAACCCTTTGACGTTGGATGTATTACTAGAGTTATCGGGCTTTCTCGATCCTGATATAGGAGTGCGGTTTTTTCCGCCTGTGATATGAAGTGAAGCTTTTTACATTTGTTAAATTGGAAATCCGTAATCATTCGAAAGGTAAAACTGATGTAAGAATTTGGGCAGTGTCAGGCACCTTCCACTGGCCATGATCGACCCCAGTTGGAACCAGGCTTTGATGTCTTGATTTCTCCCATACCTGTCCCGGTATCTGTCCTATGAACGTGGACGATCATGAATTAAATTGGGAAGATCGGGAGCTTAGTCCTAGAGTAAAGGTAGTATCTTACACAGGGCTCCATCTAAAATCCAGTCACAAATTCGAGATCATCGCTACAACATGGGAGACCGCTGTCTTCACATGCGCAGGAGATTAGATAAGCCTCTCGCCTCGGCATTTCTGTCGCGATGACGCACATTGAGCCAATCATGCGGCGAACATACGGCGATGACCGATCTGATCAGCGGCCTCGGAATTGCAGCTGAAGTAAATCATACCGACACAGGCACAAGTGATTACTCCGAGGCTCCCAAAGAAGAAAGTGGACGTGAAAACGGGGTTCCTAGATTTAGTGCTGTCCCCGGACCTATATAGCGCGCGTGCTCCAACTACCCCGGACTTGATCCATTTTTATTTTCGCCCCTGGGAAATCTTTCTCTTTCACCTGATCGCCTTACCATACATTTCCTCACCTCCATTTATCACCCTATCTCTTTCTATTCTCCTGTTAACCCTCCATAATGTCAAAAACTTTTACCAAGGACGACGTGGCGTCGCATAGCAAGGGCGACAGCCTGTATATTGTGATCGATGAGGACGTCTACGATGTCACTAAGTTTCAAGATGAGCACCCTGGTATGTCTTCCACTCACATGATGATCATCAAAAAAGTATGTGCTAACGGGATATATGCGAACAGGCGGCAAGAAAAGTACGTCATACTCTCCGGGCCGATGTCCGAGAAATTTAATATTGACATTTACGCAGTACTTCAGCGAGTGGCCGGGAAGGATGCCTCGAAACAGTTCTGGAAGTACCACAATGAGGGGATCCTAAAGAAGTACAAGGCTCAACTTCAAATTGGTTCGTTGGATACCAAGGCCGCACCAACACCGGCGCCTGCCGCCCCAGCCCCCAAAGCCGAGCCGAAGCCGCAAGCTGCTTCGGGCGATGTGAAGCCCCCAGCCACTGCGGAGCCACAGGATCCTTTTGGCGAGTTGATTCCTTTTGCCGACCCTTCATGGTACCAGGGTGTAAGTCTTTATTTGATTATCAGAGCCAAACGTCAACAGTCAGCTATATGATCCAGATACTGACATTTTCGGCGTGTGATCGCAGTACTCCTCTCCCTACTTCAATGAGACCCACGCTGCTCTTCGCGAGGAGATTCGCCAATGGGTTGACACAGAGATCGAGCCTTATGTCACCGAGTGGGATGAGGGCAAGGAGGTCCCCGCCCATATCTACAAGCAGATGGGCGAACGAGGCTACTTGGCCGGTCTGCTGGGTGTCAAATACCCCGAGCAGTACACCCAATACCGTGTGAAGGCTGTGGCACCGGACCGCTGGGACTTGTTCCACGAGATGCTGCTGACTGATGAGCTGTCGCGCGCCGGCAGCGGTGGTCTCGTATGGAATCTGGTCGGTGGGTACGGTATTGGTTGCCCACCCCTCGTGAAATTTGGAAAGAAGGAACTGGTGGACCGTATTCTCCCCGGCATTCTGGCAGGTGACAAGCGTATTTGCTTGGCCATCACTGAGCCCGATGCCGGTAGTGATGTTGCGAGCCTTGGTTGTGAGGCGAAGCTTAGCGAGGATGGCAAGCATTACATTGTTAACGGCGAGAAGAAGTGGATTACCAACGGTGTTTGGGCCGACTACTTCACCACCGCTGTGCGGACGGGTAAGCCTGGTATGAACGGTCTCAGCGTTCTGCTCATTGAGCGCGAGGCCGGTGGTGTCAGCACCCGCCGCATGGACTGCCAGGGTGTCCTGAGTAGTGGTACCACTTATGTTACCTTTGAGGACGTCAAAGTGCCCGTGGAGAATCTGATCGGCAAGGAGAACCAGGGTTTCAAGGTCATCATGACTAACTTCAACCATGAGCGTATCGGTATCGTCATCCAGTGTGTCCGCTTTGCCCGAGTTTGCTATGAAGAGTCCGTCAAGTACGCCCACAAGCGCAAGACTTTCGGCAAACGCCTGATTGACCACCCCGTCATCCGCATGAAGCTCGCCCATATGGCTCGCCAGATTGAGGCCACCTATAACTGGTTGGAGAATATCATCTTCCAGTGCCAGTGCATGGAAGAGACCGAGGCGATGTTGAAGCTGGGTGGTGCCATTGCCGGCCTAAAGGCGCAGTCTACCCAGACTTTCGAATTCTGTGCCCGCGAGGCCAGTCAGATCTTTGGTGGTCTGAGCTACAGCCGGGGTGGCCAAGGTGGCAAGATCGAGAGACTATACCGCGACGTGCGCGCCTACGCTATCCCTGGTGGAAGTGAGGAGATCATGCTGGATCTAAGCATGCGCCAGAGCTTGCGTGTGCATGAGATGTTTGGTATGAAGCTATAAGGGCTGTGGATCTTAGAAGGACTAGACCCAGTTGAGTCCTCTTTGGCTACCACCCGCGTGCCTCAGTTTAGCTTTGCAGGCTTTTCTCTTTGCTGTTTTACCTTTTCGATTAGATATCCCGTCCGGTGTGACGCATTTCCTTACGATCTTGTCTTGTATGATATAACATCGACTGTGCATATTTGCTTTGGATTGAACTACTAGAAGAAGAATTCTAAGAATGAATCATTTCAATCATTCAAACCTAAACTTATGGTCATTCTGAATATAATAGATAAAGATACATGGTATCGCCTCCGGGGCCAAATCAGCAAGTTAGTATAGAAGGATGGCATCGATCAATGACCTTATGCTTGCAGGTCTTCCACTGGAGTCCAATTGACTCTTGTATTGATTCTGATAATGTAAACATAATTTCACAACGTTTCCATGGTTGTTAGAATTGTTATTCCAGGCTAGGATTAATGCGCATGGTGGTAAACAGTGTTCGGGTAGGCATAGCGACATACCGCGCAGCTTCTGACCTTGACTTTCGGGCGCGACCTGCTTGACCTCAAGAATAGCTCAACCCCCTCTCTCTCACCTGACACAGCCAGCGTCTCTGGGTATTAAAATATCTCAACCCCCAGATCGCTGTGTCTCAATTCCTTCCAGCTTACCTTTATCCTTTGATGCAACCGGGATTGTGGCCGGTATTCCTCTAAAGTCCCGTCGCTCGGTGACTGCCCGCAAAGCCGGAACATTCTCCTTGCGCTCCTGGTGCTCTTCTCGACTTTGATACTCTCAAATATTTTACTACGAAAACAACCCCGTTTTGACTTTCCGCTCGCCACGACCTAGTCGATTTTCTGAGTTGCAGTCGTGTCATTACTCCGAATCCCACTTCCTTGAACTCGATACCTACCATACATAATGTCGTCGAACCTTTTGAACCATGATTTTGGCTCCGAGGACGAGGACGATGATTTCAACCCCGTCGCTGCAGATGATTCTGATGCTGAACAATCTAAGGTCAGTAGCTCTCACCCTGCAGACGATAAATGTGAACGTGGTACTGATAAAACCTACAATGAATAGCCGGTAAAGACTGTTCGAATCAGCGAAAATGCCGCGAACGACGATGACGAGGATGAAGCTCAAAATGGCGACGATGACGATGAAGGCGCCGAGGAAAATGGAGACGATGACGATGAAGAAGGAGAGGAAGAAGAGGAAGAGGAAGAAGAGGCAGTGGTTAGTACTCTAGTGGGCCTCACAACTATGAAAGCCTTTTCCTAACAGATACTTTTTATTAGGGTCGCCCGCGCAAGCGCAGAAGAGGCGGTGTCTCTTCTTTCTTTGAAGAAGAGGCTGGTGTTGACGAAGAGGAGGATGAAGCCGAAGAAGATGAGGATGAGCTTGCCGATTTCGGCACAGAAATGCACCCCGACGATCTCGATGCATTGCCCGTCGGTGCTGAGACAGATGACCGCCGCCACAGACAACTCGATCGTCAGCGTGAACTTGACGCGACAATGGATGCTGAGAAGCAGGCGCAGATGCTGAAGGAACGTTATGGCCGAAACCGTGCCGCCGCAACGGATGCCCTTGTGGTCCCCAAGCGACTGCTTCTTCCTAGTGTCGAGGACCCCAGCATTTGGGGAGGTCGCTGCAAGCCTGGCAAAGAAAGGGAGGTTGTCTACTCCATTCAGAAGCGCATTGAAGAACGCCCTCCTGGCTCTCGTAACCCGATTCGAATCATTTCGGCCTTTGAGCGTGGAAACATTATGCAGGGTTGGTTCTACTGTGAAGCACGCAGACAAGCCGATGTCACCGAAGGCCTGGAAGCTATCAACTTCTATTATCCCTCACAGAAATTGACGTTGGTTCCCGTTAAGGAGATGCCCGATCTTCTCCGAGTCCAAAAGTCAGAGGAGCTTAACCCTGGTGGATGGGTTCGAATTAAGCGGGGCAAGTACCATGATGATCTGGCCCAGATTGAGGAGGTTGAGACCAACGGTCTTAATGTGACTGTACGACTTGTCCCTCGACTGGATTACGGTATGAACGATGATGCCGCTGCGATTGTCGATCCCAAGCGCAAACGCGGCGCTGCAAGTGCCGTCCGGGCCCCACAACGCTTGTTCAGCGAGTCGGAGGCCAAGAAGAAGCACGCAAAATACCTCTCGTCCACCTCAGGATTGGGTGGTAAGTCATGGAATTACCTCAATGACAACTACATTGATGGTTTTCTCATCAAGGACATGCGAGTCCAGCACTTGATTGTTAAGAATGTAAATCCTCGACTTGAGGAGGTGGCCATGTTTGCACGTGGAGGAGAAGATGGCACTGCAAACCTCGACCTGGCGTCTTTGGCCGAAACATTGAAGAATACGACTGCCGAAGATTCATACCAACCCGGTGACCCTGTGGAGGTGTATCGTGGCGAACAGCAGGGCTTGATTGGCCGCACAGTCTCAACCCGGGGCGACATTGTCTCATTACAAGTCACCGAGGGAGATCTGGCCGGTCAGACAATCGATGCTCCCGTCCGAACTCTTCGCAAGCGTTTCAGAGAAGGTGATCATGTAAAGGTGATCGGAGGCAGTCGTTATCAGAACGAATTGGGTATGGTGGTCCAAGTCAAAGATGACACCGTCACCCTGCTCAGTGATATGAGCATGCAAGAGATTACTGTTTTCAGCAAGGACCTTCGCATTTCTGCTGAGATGGCCGCTGATGGCCAACTTGGTATTTATGATGTTCACGACCTTGTCCAGCTTGAGTATGTCCAATTCCTATACTCTATCCTACGATTATCTAACATTGTTGCAGTGCTGCCACCGTGGCTTGCGTTATCAAGGTTGATCGTGAATCTCTTCGCGTGATTGATCAGAATGGCTCTGTTCGCAATGTTCTCCCCACCCAGATTGCTAATAAGCTCACCCCTCGCCGAGATGCTGTGGCAACAGACCGCAATGGCGCAGAAATTCGACACGGAGACACCGTCCGTGAAGTTTATGGAGAGCAGAGAAATGGTGCTATTCGCCATATTTACCGCTCTTTCCTCTTCTTGCACAACAAGGCTCAGGCCGAAAATGCTGGCATTTCCGTGGTGCGAACAACAAACGTTGTCACTGTCTCTGCCCGTGGTGTCCGTCCTACCGGACCGGATCTAAGCAAGATGAACCCTGCTATGGCGATGCAAATGCCGGGCGCAGGCCGAGGTGGTGCAATGCCGCCGCCCCAGCGTGGTCGCGACAGGCTGATCGGTAAGACCGTGACCGTCCGCAAGGGTCGCTACAAGGGTCTAGTCGGTATTGTCCGGGACTCCGATGATAGCACCGCCCAGGTTGAGCTTTACACCTCCAACAAGCCTGTCCTTATACAAAGGGATATCTTAACCCCGAAGGAGTGAGTCATACTATCTGACCCCGAACCACTAATACATAGCTTGCTAACGTTTTATAGCCCCATTTCTAAGCAGCCATTGGACGTAGGCCGTGGAAGAGGATCGCGTGTCCCACATGGAGGCGCTCCTCAGGGCCGTGACGGATGGCAAGGTGGGCGTACTCCAATGGCTTCTGCCGATTCTTCCAGGACCCCGGCTTGGGGCGGCGCATCGTCCGCTCGCACTCCCGCTTGGTCTGGCATGGGTGGTTCCCGTACGCCTGCCTGGAAGAACGATGGAAACCGGACTGCATACGGAGACGGAAGCCGCACCGCCTACGGTGGTATGGGTAACAGAACTCCAGCATGGAACTCCGGATCCCGTACTCCCTATGGTGACACTGGCTCCAGCTCTGGTTATGACGCCTTTGCCTCTGGATCTCGTACACCAGCTTGGGGCAACGCAGGCGCCGGAAACCGCACCCCGGCCTGGGGCGGAGCTGGCCTGTCCAATAGCCGAGACCAGCGGGACTACGATGACGCTCCCACACCCGGTGGTTACTCCGCTCCAACCCCGGGAGCCTATGCTGCTCCCACTCCTGGTGCATCCGCCCCAACTCCAGGCGGTTGGGCCGACAATGCTCCCACTCCTGGTGGAGCTTTCAGCGCTCCTACTCCAGGTGATATACCCAAGCGTGGCTACGAAGCTCCAACTCCTGCTGCGTACGATGCACCAACGCCAGCCATGGGAGGTGTAGCTGCTACGCCTGGTGCAGGCTACGGCGACGACGACGCTGGTCCACGTTATGATGACGGCACACCCAGTCCGTAAACCCTACTTTTTATCATGTTCTTTCACACTCAATACCTCCCAACACTCCAAAAAGCGTGTCAGCTCCATATATCTCGGATGGAACTCGGTCAGCTTCGCATATGTATTCTACTTTGAACCGAATGTAATTTCTTCAGAACAGCAATGAAACTTTCAACTGTTGAGTACGGCATTCCAAGTAAATAATGATCAAGGCTCTCCGTCCAGCTTCCTCGGCCAGTGATGATTCAGATGTCCCAGGTCACCCAGATACTATTTCCTATCCCACATGGCACGTATTCATCAGGTACAACGTAATCGATTAACCATGACAGTCTGTTTACTCAAAACCCACAATGACGATTCAACCTTGTTTCCACCACGTCAAAGGCATGGTCAGGTTCAAATCACTCTCAGCAGTGGCCGCATCCAAATGGTCCAATATTGCAGCTAGAGTTCAAATTGTATAAAAAAAAATCCATAATCGGCAAATAACCTTGCAAAATGTCCATATGATATTACTATAAGCTTGGTCCTTCATCGAAGCCAAGTCTCAATAGATTTGTATGTGCGAGCATGTTACATGATACACCCGAAGCCGAGGATCTAGCTTTGTGACCTTTGCAGATCCAAAGTCAGTGGACAGCCATCGTGGAAATGAAAGGTCCAGTGTAAGAGTGGCGGATTCAATGTTCATTAGGCTTCGAAGAATCGGTTGTGGTTAACAGGACTGACTTGATGAAGTACATCCATGATCCGGCAGATACAGTAGATGCTCAAAAAGTCATATAGACAGTAGATGTGTGCGCCGCTATAGTAGGACTTGTCTTTCTGATGTTATGTCTCACTAACATCGATCAAGCTTCTTGAACGAACCACATTGATGGGTCTTCGTGTTGAAGTCCAACGGAAGAACAATGGAGATGTACTTGTCTAGCAGTAGACAAGGTCGGGCTAATACGAGGCTTTAAAGGATTTTTCATGCACTCAGCACACTGCGAAGTAAATCGAGAGGAACAACGGAAAGGCATGCTGAGATTACAATTTTGATGGAGAAGTCGGCGATAATGATGATATTCTAGTTAGAAGGGCAAAATGTATGTACATGCACTATTATTCAAATCATTCCAATCGAATAGCTTGATCAATAATTTCTGCAGCCCAGAGACATTTCTCGTCCTGAAAACGTGGCGTAATGATTTGAATGGCGCACGGTGCACCATCAACTTCATCTGGGTTATCTGTCGTCCATTAGTCAAGATCATTTAAGAAATTGCGTTCACGTACAATTTGGCTGAACTTTGTCATCTGTTTCCATTGGCTCGGGGTCCAACTCCTTCGACGCCTTTCCATACGGAATGATACAAGCGGGATACTGTGTATTCCAAGGTCAGTCACCATATTTCATAACCAAATTTCACGTTGAACTTACATCCAACACATTCCACATCACTGTATATGGTGGCCATCCGTAGGTATCATGCGCAACCGCGGTATTCTGTGCCCCCGGGGCTAATACTACATCGAGCTTCTGATCAACCCAGACCTGACGCCAAGCATTATTGACTCGGTGACGGGCTTCATGCAGCTTCTGGATCTTGCCAAAGGTGTCCAGTTCCATATCGACTGGGAATGGACCAGTGAACATGGGGGAATCAAACCTGGCCACCGATGTCACAAGCGGTTCTCCACTGGACTTGATATTATCCTCTGAGGGACCATAAATAAAGTATTGAAAGGCCAGACGAGACGCATAGGCGACCGAAAGCTCGTCATTGTTGCTCTCAAGGTAAACAATGCGATGACCGGCTCGAGTCAGCTTATCAATGGTTTGATTCAGAGCTCGCTTGACGGGAGGATGAAGCGGGAACTGCTTATCCTCGGCAAGCACTCCAATCGTCAGACTTCCATTATTCTCGGTGGTTGCACGCGGACTATTATTCCATGGTGCAGCAAAAGCCGAAGAGTCGTATTCCCAAGCTTCACCCTCACCAAGGACAGTCTTCATGAATAACTGCAGATCGGCAATACTGTGACCTAATGGACCAGCAGCAGGTATCAGACCCGGTAGGCCTTCCATTGCGCCTGAGACTTGTCCTCCAAATGGAATACGCTGAGCTGTCGGCTTGAACCCATATACGCCGCAGCATAGAGCCGGGATGCGAATCGATCCTGCGATATCGGTACCGACACCCAAGATTGATCCCCGAAACCCCACGAGGGAACCCTCGCCGCCGCTGGACCCGCCGGCAGTGAGGGACGTGTTGTGAGGATTAAGGGTACGGCCGAAGATGTTATTTTCGGAGTCTCCAGTCTGAAACTCATTAGCCCGGCCATTCGAACGAATGATTACAAAAGTCACTTACCATCATTGTCTGCGGGATGTTAGTTTTGACATACAGAACCGCTCCTAGCTGTAACAGCATTGCGACAAGCGCGGAATTCTTTGACGCCGGATCATTCTTCAGAAAGGAGACGTATCCCACAGTTGACTGCAATCCCTCAATACAGAAACTATCTTTCATACTAATAGGTAGACCATGGAGCGGACCGATAGGCTTTTTCTCTCGCTCAAGGTACTCGTCCAAGAACCGCGCCCGATCCAGGGCCTGTGGAAAGCACGTCTCAGTGAGGCATGATGTCTGAACCAGAGTTAGAGCCTCAATTATCGAAGGTAATGTGTTCACGAGGGGAATTGACTAACCAGCTGCTGCGCAATCGCAGCCCGTTTACACAACGCCGTCGTCAGGGCCAAGGAACTGATATGGCCCGAGGCGAGTTTCGCCAGCAATTGAGTGGCAGTATAATTCTCCGTGAGATCCAATTCGAGCTCAGAAAGTATGCCACTTCGACGGGGAATATCGCATGCCAATAAGTGCGGGGGTGCGTCCAAAAGATCAGCGCTCAACGTCCACTCGCCTGGGATTTTCTGCTGGCATTCGGCGCGCTTGCGAGCGACCAGCTCTTGCCACTCGGGGATCTGGGTTGTTTCGTTCGTCATGGCAATTCGTGGGTTGTTGACTACAAATCTCGGATTCGACGATGTTTATATACATGACTGCGATAACGGCTTTCGGGATGTCCGCCTCCAAGACCCGGTGGCCCACTTTCGCATGGATCGATACGACAGTGCGTCCACTTGCCTAATCGGTGTAGCTCTTGGATCGGCTATAGCCTACATTTGGGTTATTTTAAGCCACCCCGAGATCGCTGCATCGAATTGTCAGATTTATCGGGTACAAAGTGCCGGTCTCGAGGCATGTCATTCTCTAACCACCTCAAATTTATGGCTACCACATATCTGACCAGCATCGGGGAGTATGATAGGGTGAGGGGGTAGGTACGCGGGCAAGTACCTCGGCACGTACTTCTAGGATTCTACTCCCAACTACGAGTGCAGCGTCTTGCGTTATAAGTGATCAATTATCAATTTATCACTGCGTTGTTCAATCAAATCTGCCTTCATGAATCTATTCGGTAATCGAAAAGCTATCTATCTGCCGCCACCTCGGCAATCTATGCTTTTGCCCTTACATCTTCCGGCTTGATACCCGGAAAATTCGTGAGATGATACGCATCGATCCAAATCTTTTCTCCTTCGCAAACCATGACGCCAAGACAGACCAATCCATTCAACCAGTTGTATGGACCCGGTCCCGCCTCGATCCGAAGATGCGAAAAGAACTCCACATCGTCCTGTGATACTGTCGGTGGCGGCATCATCATCGGATCGCTATCGACCTGCTTTGCGTAGCTTGTACCTGGTCCAGGACGGTAGAGACCGTGGGCACGGATGTATAGATGATGATTATCGGTAGTTCGGACAGTATAGCGGGCATCAAGGGTCATAGACTGTCATTGTCATCAGATCAATTTATGAATCACGAATGATGTTTTGGAGACTTACATGTGTCCCTTTCACCACAGTTGCCCAGTCTGCTCCTCCAAGAGGCAAAATAGAGCCCTCGATCCCGGGGCCTTTCACGCTGCCTCGTAGGATATTGGCAATGCTGCGAATGACACCGGCATCATGTGGAGCCCCGATATCGATCTCTTCTTTGGCAATGTCGCATTCTAGTCGATAGAGATGCGAGAGAGATGGTAGGCGCATTTGCGGACCATCAGGAAACAGGCCGTTCCCCGGGGATGGAAGCGAAGACATGATAGCAAGTGTAATTAAGCGACTGCGAAATTGATCTGCCCATACTTTCTCAGCTCAATCCCTGCTTTTATAGTTGCTGGACCTGCTTCTTTGGTCTGTATCAACCCTAATAGATGAAAGTGGGGATACATCCCCGCACGAGTCCAATGGGGTAGGTGGACGCACCTTATCAATAACCTTGGGAAACGGCTCACGCGCAAAAGGTCATGAGAGTCAGAAATGAAGTGTGGTAAGGCTAGACGCGCTCAAATAGGGAAGTCCAAGTCAATACCGGTGATTCGTGGTCATTCGCCATCCTGATAGTGTATTTTAAGCCCTTTCTTCTACTCCAGTAACTTCATTCCCCCCAATCTTGCACCAAAAGCATCACTTCCAATTAAATCAAAATGCCTTTTGCCCAGTTTCTTCTTGAAGACCCTTCAATTTCAGTATCAGACCGACAACAGGCTATCAATCGTATCTATTCGGATCCCGGTATTCCCCATGATACCACAACCTCTTCCTTTTGGACGCAGACGCCGCACCCGCAGTTCGCGCAGCGATCCATGCAGCCCCTCGCTTCAAGTGCCGATGTTGTGATCATTGGCTCGGGGATAACAGGTGCTTCTATCGCGCGTACGCTTCTCCAAAATCGGGTCAGATCTGCATCGTCGACCTCTCATCCCGCAGTCGTCATTCTTGAAGCTCGGGACATCTGCAGTGGAGCTACTGGCCGGAATGGCGGCCACATCCTCGAGACTGCAGATGATTATGCCGAGCTAGCGGATGAGTATGGGGAAGAAGTTGCACGCAAGACAATGCGTTTCCGGTTATCGCATTTGCGTGAGATGCTGGGTGTTGCGAAAGAATTCGGTCTCATGGAGGAGACTCAGGCGCGTAAGGTGCAGTTTCTGAGCGCTTTCTTTGGAGATCAGCCGTGGAAGGATGCTTTGGAGCGACTACAACGGTTCAAAGAGGGCATGCCAGAGGAATCGGCAGAATGGGTCTCATATGACCGAGAATCGATGCCGGAGGTTAGTTTTCTTCAATGTAGTCTGCATCTCGAACCTACTGACTCATGCAATGACAGGAGTTTAAGCTCACGAACGCAACGGGTGTTGTTGCAGGCCCTGCGGGTGCCTTGTGGCCTTATAAGTTCGTCACAGGTATACTGGCTAGACTTCTCGCAGACTATCCGGAGGAATTCCAAGTCAACGACCATACAGCGGTCACATCGGTTGAGACCGACTCATCTTCGACCTACAAGTACCAAGTCCAGACAAATCGGGGAATCATCTCAGCTCGCCATGTCATCCATTGCACAAACTCTCACGTTAGTCACTTAGTACCTGCTCTACGTGGCCGCGTCTTTCCCGTGCGAGGGCAGATGTCCGCGCAAACACCGGGCGACAAGTTCCCATGCCAAGCATATGAGCACTCCTGGCTCTTTAATTACCATCGGGGCTTTGACTATCTAACCCAACTTCCCGGAGGACAGATGATGTTCGGCGGAGGATTTGGTCAAGGGGAATTAGGTGGGATTGCAGATCTGGGAATAGCTAGAGATGATGAGTTGTCCGTGTACATTGATATCCACCTCTCTGGAGCATTAAGTGCAGTCTTTGGCCGAGAGTCCTGGGGCCGGGTACAAGGGGACCCGGTGCAGTCAATGTGGACGGGTAACATGGCATTCAGTACAGACGGTTTCCCGTGGGTGGGACAGTTGCCGGCCTCGGTGACACGTCAGTCATTCCCGGATGAGGGGGTTGGAGCCGAGTGGGTGTGCGCTGCATTCGGCGGGGAGGGCATGGTGCAATGTTGGCTTTGTGGAAAAGCTTTGGCTACCATGTTGCTCCTCCAGGATGGGGTGTTGGACCCTGCCGTTGATGCAGATCTGTCTTGGATTCCAGCACAAATGCTTGTTTCTGAGAAACGCCTGGCTGCTGCTGAGCTACCGAGGTCTGTGGCTGGTTCCCAACGCCAAGCGCATCTGTAGGGGATGTGGTGGGATTTGGTTCGACAACGTTTATGTTGGACGCCTGGATCTTGCTAGTGGTGTCAACCAGGCATCTATATTCTAGATAGAGGGTACACTATCAAGGGCTAGAGTCTCTGTGTGATAGCGGGCCGGAGATCCGGAATGTTATATCTGAGTCTTTCCTATATATCCTTGCATGATGATTAAATTAAACAGAGCTTGTTTTTAAGTCTCATACAATTCAAAGAATCCCAGTCCATGTTCGTATGAAATCACAGCCTCATGTTGTCCTACATAAACTGAACTTCGGCCCAACAGATATCTGCGCCTACCCTATAAAGCAACTCTTGCGTTCACACCGCGAACTCCCCCGGGGACACTAGATCTGTCAATGCCTAACGCTTCCCTGCTTTTCCATCACTCGGTAGTACCGTGCAGCTGACGCACGTCGAGCATCCTTGCCCCAGAATATCATCGGAATCATCAGGGCGGAAACTGCAAGAGAGATAAACCCGCAAGCGATAAACATATTCTGGATCCCGTCCTCCGTAATCCAAGGGGAAATAGCAAACGGGATGCCGATACTAACTACATTGCGCACAAACGCAATTCCAGTAAAAGCATCACCAGTGATCTAGATGGCACAAAATAATTAGCCACTCGGTCTTGGAGTAAAAGCCAGCAGAGCAGCAAAGTAGTTCACCCAGCAGGCATACCTCACGATAACTATCGATAACCAATGTTAAGGCAGCATCACTAATACCGCCCAGTCCAAAGCCAAAGAAAACTCCAGCGATACTAGGATAAATCCAATGCATTCCCTGGGTGTGAAGCAAATTAGTCTAAGATGAAATATGCACTGGCAGGGTGTGTAGGTGAGAACCTACCCTAGCAATGGTAGCGCCAAACATGATCAAACCACCTGTCATGAACACAGCAGGTATAGGCAGAATATACAGACGCATCTCTGGCTCAAAATAGCCCTTGTTTCTGCGAGAAAAGTACAGAATCGACCAATCACCCAAAACACCACCGTAGATCGAACCGATAAGATTCCCAATGAATGGACCAACACTCATAAAGCCAATTTGCTCGGAGGTGAACAAGTATGGCGGGAGTGGGAATGTGAGTGATAGAACGCTAGATACTATCGTAAGGAATGCGACACCGGCGGCATATTGTAAGGCGGTATACATGACAGCTGGGAAGCAAAACAACGCGTAGATAGGTCGGTAGTAGTATGGCCAGATCGATTCCTGGGTTGGAGTGGCGAGAGCAAGCCGTTTGCGCCATGTATTCATTGGAATAGTGGAGTCTATTTCGTGATGCAACGTGCTTGGCTCAACGTCTTGCGTAGGCTTCGTCTCAGTTTGAGATGTCTCCTTTGGATCACTGTCATCGGATTTGTGAGTGTTGTCGCTCGTTTCTGGCCCAGACTGCGGCTGGCCCGTGATCACTGGGACATATTTTGTCTCTTCGTATACGAAAATGAAAAGAATTAGAAAAATTACGTTGAAAATTCCCATGGTGCGGTAGGACCAACGCCATCCTTGGTTGGTTGCTTGAGTGCCGGCAGCCATGGGGGACAGGAAAGACTAGACGGCCAGTCAGTAGAAGTCTTCCACAGTTGATCCTGGGGTAACGCACGCCAATCATCACCATGGTCATATACAGACCATTCATTCGGCCTCGATGGTGTACAAAAAAGAGATCTGCAATCTGTGCGACGTAAGCCAAGAATTCAGTCACCAATGTTCCAGTTTGGCACCCACTGTGATCTCAACAATTGCTTCATTGGTTGCACCAGCCAACCCTTGCAGTAAATTAGAGACGTAAAGATCGGTCAAGGTCGTCAGCTCAGCCGACCAAAAAGAGGTGGCTACCATGAGCATGGTTGATATAATGTATATGGGGCGACGGCCGTATTTCTTCGCCAGGGGGATAAATAGATAACATCCCATGGCCAAGCCGACAAAGTTTACGGACATCGCCCTATTAAGCTCGGTATAGGTAGTGTGGAGATCGACGACCATTTGCTGCCAGAAGATAGCTTGCACAGAGAGTCTAATTGATCACATTAGCTGGCGTGACATTTAGACATTTATGATGGTAGTGCCTTACGCGGTAAAAATTACGACGGTCATGCCGAGGACGATGGTGAAGTTGACGGTTTTGCGCGCGGTGCTCCAGTTCTTTATGGCGATATCAGTTTTTAGAAATCAATTGACCTCAATTGAGGATAGACATACCAATGGCTCGTTGGGGTCACTGGTAGGAATTGGATCCAGCATCACGACCCGCTGGTTGTGGAGACCATACTCATCCTCTATGAAAAGCGTCAATGACGATTGTATATCTGGGGATACTTCGCACCACCGTACCCCGAATCAACAAAAAGGTCCCAGGAGGGACATCATTTCGCTCCGTAGAAGAGGACACTTCAATTGTATCTGCCATGTTGTAATTGGAACTCTGATTGTGCCAGGCGTGGAGGGAAAAGAGGGGTCAGAGGATGCTTTTAACCATATCCTTCCAAGCAGACGCTGAACACTGTGATACACATGATGAACGCTACTTCTGCGCCACTCAAACAGAACGCATTGAACTTCACGATAAGCGAAAGGCGCGCGTGGTTTTCCGGGGGAAATGCGGAGAAAGAACACGTTCTGATTTGCCACATCTCAATCTAGGGCTGCAGGCGTCAGCCTTCCCGAATCGGTCTAGAGTACTCTGATAACATTCGCCAAGAACACAACGCTTGGACAAATGCTATCTTATTGCACGGGCCTTTTTGTCTCTATTCTCCACACCGTGATTATCCTAGCCAGAAAGAGTAGGTGGACACACCGGGGAAATAAGTAACTACAATGCTCATCGAAACAATACTCCACCATGAACCTTGAATTCGCGTGAAGTTCCAACAATCGGCTAACTACATAGATGGATCTTCACGTGCTCTGCCGCTTCTTATCAATTCCCAATAGCCACCTCGAAAGCAATCTTGATCCTGCATTGTTTGGAAATTCGGTTATCGAAGCTCGAGCTAAAACATACCATGTCCAAGTCGATCCCAAAAGTCGATTTGCGTCAAGTTCGAAATGGTCTAAGCTTCCCTCATCAAGGTATCGGCGCTCATTAAACTAACACGTTCTTCGCAGAAACATCAATTGCAGCTGCCATTCGCACAGTGAATGCTGCATTCTCATCCGATCCGCTGATCCAGTGGTTACGGCCCAATGCAACGCCATGGGCTCAACCAGACAAGTCAGTATGGAAATGGCAGTATCGACGTATCCAGTCGGTGATGGCTCACGGCAGGGTGCTTCACTCGGCCAGCGTCGATGAGATGGCGCTGAAGTTCCCGCGGAAGCAAAAAGAATCTACTGTGTCTGTCGAGACCGATGTTACGCTGGTAAAGGAGGCACAATCTTCAATAACAACTGGACCATCCGGTGGTGAAGATGCAGGTGCTGTGGTCTTTTTGTTTCCACCCAAGCAGCAGCTAAGCTGGTCTTTATCACGACTGTGGCTGGTGTGGAAGTTGTTTCTTCTCGAAATCCTGAAGCCGGCGTGTGATAAAGGTTGCAAGGAACCGGCAAGTATAGAAACTGTTCACGTCAATCATTCGTAGACTTCAAGGCTGATCCCAGTATTTATCTAGCGAGTCGATCAGCTTGTCACAGCCAACAAGAAGGGGTTGGAGAGCGCACAAGCTCAGTACTCAAAGAATTCGATGTGGTATCTCGAAGTCATTGCCGTGCATCCTTCGTTACAAGCGCGGGGTATTGGAGGAGGTGTGATGAATTCTATTTTGGAACATGTTGAAAACCAGCCGATATACCTAGAGTGTACTCGCCAGGAGAATATTGGGTTCTACGAGAGCTTTGGGTTTCAGGTGGTTGATGAAGTTGAACTCGTGGATGAGGAACAGAACCTGAAGTTATGGGCTATGGTTCGTCCTGGGAAAGCATCTTGTCCAGAATAAAGAGGTCTCTACATAAGCATCTCGGCAACTGGGAACGTTGGAAATTAATATTCTCATTCAGTGCTTGAGTTCTGTCACAATAAAAGACCAAATCATAGCAATCCCATTTCCACTCCCCGTGCCCTCGCTAAATTATCAATACTAAGGATCGGATCATTCTTCTGCCACATCTCTTGTAGTAAATCATATAGGATCTCATCTTGTCGTGTACCAAGCATGCATTTCCGAATCATAACCTGAAATTGTGGATTTTGGCACAAAACCGAAACCTCCAGCCCAGCAACAACAATAGGAAATTGAATGGCATTTTTAATGAAAGATTCCTCAGCTGGACGCTCATCGCACGCTAGTCGAAGTGCATCAAGATTTGCTAGAATCCTAGTTACAAGGATAGTCGCATCAGCAGGACACGCGCTGGGCTGACGCCATGCTGAGAAGCTCCGCATGTCTCGCGATTGCCGTTCTTCCGCTCGTGCATGCCGACGTAGAGTCAGGATCCCAGCTAAGCGATAGGCTTCCCATAAATAGCAGTGAAGGAAACCTCCCGGTTCGCCTGGCCAGTCCCAGAAACTCTGTTCTGTCGTATCGATGCAGATACCGGCAAAAAGGTCTACCAGGGTTCGGGGTAAGCCACTCACGGGCTCAACTCCTTCTCTGGGCGTAGCGGGCTGGCAGTAGCGGCGCCAGATCCCGATACAGGGGGTCTGACGACCAACTGAGAAAAAGGGCAGGTCCATTACTCCCATTACCTCCACTAGGTGGGTACGGAATGGAGTCTGTGCGGCTGTGCGGTGTCTATCGGCTAGACCGTTGGTTTGAAGAATGTTGTGCATTCCTTCTAGATGGATAGTCCAGGGTAGACCATGCATCAGCTGTTTCGAGTAGAGAGTCAGAACTATATGTGTAAAGACGAAAACAGAATTTGAGGTGACGTACGCCAATGCTACACAGCAGAAGCCCGGCTGTCAGGGTCCCATCTGATAAAATGGTGCTTCGGGCCAGTTCAGATCGGAATTCCCTGAGTGCTGCGTCGAAGTATTCAAAGAATAGAGGGGATTGATTGGAGGATAGAGAAAGTTGAAAGGCCAAACAAATTGTGTACAAGGCATTGGATTCTCGACAAAGTTGAGGTAGTCGAGGTTGCAACATCCCTTCTTGGGCGGTGGTAGAATGCAGTACGTTAATACCACCATTTAGAACTTGAACATTTAGTCTTCCGAGGTTCCACAGTTCATCTCGAGAACTTACATTCACTAAACAAGGCCTCGTCTTGCTTAGACCTCTCTAAGCGAAGCGAAAGCGGTTGCTCGGGATTAGGTATCATGGCGTAATCATCTTTTGGAGACTCATCGAGACTCGAACACGAATTCCCAGGGCTGGTCAATTGGCCAGTATCAGTAGGCGATGAGTCTAACTTCTTTCTTTCTCTGTTCAGATCTCTTTGGCGGCCTTTCGGCCTCGATGGAACACTCTCCTTCAGCGGCTTATCTGCCCCCGTGAATTGACCACGGGAGGCAATTCCACTTCCCCAGCGCAATCGCACCTCATAGCCTTCACAGTCAAGCCCCCGTTGCGTGCAATTCTGACATGTCGGGCGTGCCTTATCGCAGGCCCTGCGACGACGCTTGCATGTCCAGCATCCCTGAGATGAGCGGGTCGACATTCCGAATGTGGGAGGTCAATAAAGGAATAAGGTCAGATGCAAGCCGCTTCATTATGTACAGCAAATGCGGGGAAGTTGAAGTGGAGCCGCTGCTGATAACGGGTCGGACTGCCTATTCGAGCGATGACAAGCCGAGACTATATTTGGGAGTCAGTATATAATATGCAGATAAACGAATCTTAGATGGATAGCAGCTCGGATGTCTTTTCAGGTACCGATTGGAGTTTGTAAAGCCACCATCCCTGGTCTAGGGACAGTGGACGGGTTGGAGTATGCCAATGGCGTACAGCAATTCTGTGGTATTCCTTACGCGCATCTCTCCAAGCGCTGGTCACGGTCGACACTGAGAACAACTTGGGAGAGAGATCATCACGATGGAACAAGATTGGGGTAAGTCCATCTCTTGATCGTACAGTATCAAGCTACAGTGCTAACATTTGACTAGCAACGATTGTCCAAGCCCCATTGTCGATGGAGATGATTCCGATGACCTGGTACCTGTTCCGCCGGCAGCGCACTTCTCTCATCCCCGATCCGTAGACGAACAGTCTGCTCTCGTAATGAACATTGTGATTCCGCATTCATTCAAGGCAGACGGCGAAGACGTTCCGGTATTCGTCTACGTCCATGGCGGATCCTTATTGTATGGGGGCGCAAATCTCCCAATTTTCGACGCGGTGAACCTAGTTTCCCAAAGCATCGCCATTGGTTTGCCAATCATCTGCATTAACTTTAACTATCGTGTCGGTATTGGTGGTTTCCTGGCCGGGAAAGCCATCGCTACCGAACTCGAGAGCGACGGATATGCTGGCAGCGGGAATTTTGGCTTCACGGACCAACAAGTCGCTTTTGACTGGGTGCAGCAATACATCAAATTCCTTGGAGGTGATCCACAGAATGTGACTGCCGTTGGTGAGTCTGCTGGTGGCATCTCAATCAGCAACCAATTGCTCGCAGCGAGCCCGCCAGTGTTTCGTCGGGCTATATGCATGTCTGGCCTATCTTCCGCCATTCCGGCATGGACGATAGAGCAACATGATTGCTTGTTCGAGGCTGTTTGTCATTATTTTGATATTAATCCTTCTGCACCGAGCGCCTTGGATCAGCTTCGTGCGATTCCGCAACAGGAGCTTGCAAATGCAACCCCGGCTATTCAAGGTGTTCCCTCGGGCACGGGAAATCCATGCCTAGACGGGTGGTTTTATCGCTCTGGTGTCAACCCTCTAGGGGTAAATGCCCCACCATCATGGCTGAAAGGGTATATGTTCGGCGATACCTATCATGAGGGTGTCATATTTCACTTGAACCTACTCGAGGACGACTACCATTCTGTCCGCCGGGTACTTCAAGCTCATATCAGCGATGAGGCTCGTACAGATCAGATTTTGGAAGCGTATGGTATCACCGCTGATTCTCCGCAAGAAGAGTTTCTCACTCGCGTGGAGCACATGTGCGGTGATGCTATTTTCAAGATCCCCAATTATGTACTTGCTCAGACAGCGAAAGAGTCGTCGTTTCTCTATCACTTTGATCAGCGGTCACGTCTTCAAAATGCTTTTGAAGGCACGGCGTATCATGCACACGAGCTGCTATATCTTTTTATGAACTTGGAAAATGAGTTCAATGAAGAGGAAAAGCAAATGGCTCGTGAATTTTCTTCTGCTTGGATTCGATTCGCAAATGGACTTGCACCATGGAATGTGGAGAGCGAGGACCGTGAATGGATGGTTTGGGGACCAGCTAGCAAGGTGGAGTTGAAGAACGAGACTCAGGATCAAGAGACACGTGATTATAAACGCATAAATATGGTATTGCTGTTGGATGAAGGAAGACTTTGTGAAAAATGGCTGGCTGGAGTGGATGCGTTGGTCAATCGGCGATGGAAGCTATTTGGTGAAGCCTAAGCAGACCCTCTTAAGATAGCCACGTAGAATATGTAGCGGTAAATACCCTGAGATGATATAGGAACAACCACAGCACCGTTTGCAAGACAAGGTTACATTAGCCAGGATATCTCCCAATGGGTCTATGAGTTTACTAGGAATCCAACTTTTTCATCCGAACATCTTGAAGAAATGCCGTTTGAAACCACTATTTTCTCTCTATTGACGCATGTACCTTTTGACCCCGGAAATGCAAACCATATCGGCACGAGAAATATAAGAGAGTAAAGAAAGAGCATCGAGGAACCCCGAATAAGTCCAGAATACATGTTACAAAATATAAAACAGTTCATCAAGGTGGCACCGCTCGTGCCAGCACGCGAATATTATCCACAAACCCTTTGACCAGCTCCTCGTATTGATTCGATGGGTCTCCGTTCATTGCAAGTTGACCTTGTCGGCGGATTTCGGCAGCGGACACTTCGACTTCGAGCTCGTGTTCGAATTCGTTTTTCGTCGGAGGCTATTGAAAGGTCAGAAGACGGAAGATGGTAACACAGAGATTGGAGGATGGGTAGCAGTGGACTCACCTCAGCTTTGGCTACTTGAGTCAAGTCAACTTGATAGGCCAAGTGTCGGTAGCTCATGCGGTCCTTGTTTCGCTCGCCACGGCCTCCTTTGGACATGTCCACTAGGGGCAGGTTGCGATGATCACCTTCATACTCCATTTCTAGGTTCACGCTCACGCGCCAGTCGACGGTCGTGCGTGGGCTACACACATCAATATCGGCGACACGGCATTTGACGATCTTTGCAAGCACTTCACCAGTTCGCTGGTCTGTTGTCACGCGGACCTTTGGTTTGTGACGAGGGTTTAGGTTCTGGCGAATGACTGGAGGTAAATCGGCGGGAGACACTTCGTAAAAGGTATCGCGCTCCTTTTTGTGTGCGTAGGAAATTGGGACACGATTTGGGTTGTTACCGGGCATGGAAGCCTTGACTGCCTCGTTCAGGAAGTTGTTCATGGCACGATGTTGTTCCTGTAGAGATATCTTGGTAAGAATTATTCCTTGAGTTGTTAAGATCAAAGCGGACTTACAACGGTCATGCTGCTTTCAAATGATGTGCGGAATCGTGGAATATCTCGGTTGACGACAGTTTCAGTGAGAATCGGTAAATTCAGCCTTTCTCCCCTATCCATGTCCATGACATGGCCCAGTTTCGCTTCTATTTCGATGATTGCGCCCTGCCCAGCGGCTGCGGAGCCTGCTGGTCCAGCACCCACGTCGTTCCTCATCACCACATGTTGAAACAGGAAATCGCAGAGAAGCTTCGTAACCTCTTCGTGGGGAATGAATCCGGTTATTGATGGCTCCCACGGACCCAAAATTCCAACCGGCTTAGTGCTGGCATTGGTGCTCGACACGGGTGCTGGTGTTGGAGTCGGTGCCGGAGCTGCAGCCGGGGTGGGAGGACCGTTGGCGCTTTGTGACACTGCAACTGGTGTTCGAACGGAGGTAGGAGTGACGGCCGCAACTGCAGGTCCGGTTGCAGATGAAGCCCGACGGCTGAGCTGTCGCTCTTCATGTAGCTGCCTGGCGTGTTTCGGAATAGGGGGCTGAGGATTTGGGATCATCGGGGGTCTGCCTTTAGTGCGTGCGCTCCGCTGAGCATAAATTGGAGGCTCGTTGTATCGCCTCCTTTTTCTCTTTGGCGGCTGGCTTGATATACGCTGACTTGGCTCATGGTCAATCTCCATCTTGAAATGAGAACCGCTTCGCGAGGCCGATGGGGAGCTGTTTATCTGCGTATGGTTTGTCGCAACAGGTGAGGCGCGTGAATCTGGCCCCGGTCCGGAATGAAATGGCGCTGTAGGACTATCGTTCCACTTATCCTCAGACGGGCGACGTGGACCAGCCCCGGCGGAATCAGAGTTTGCTGCAGTGCTATTTTGCCGAGAAAATTCAGGGCTTGCAATCTCTGATGACTCTTGCTTTCCACCAGTGGAAGGGAACGGAGGTGCGTGATCGATCGGTCGGGAATGGGGAGAAAATTGACGTTGTCTTGATGGCGATGGCACTTGTGTTGGATCTCGTGCCTGACGATCGTGAGCAGCCCGGGGACTGGACAGAGGATTTCGTGGAGAATCGCGACCAGAAGATTTTGGTCGGGCAGATGGTGATTGACGCGATATAAAGGCGGGTGGAGGCCCTAAGGGAGTTCCCGGTACCGACTGATGGGCGGAGGGAGAGAATTGATGCGATGGATGAGGCTGGGGGACGGAAGGCGGACTGTCTCGGGTGATGGGGCGCGGGTTGGCCATAACACTATGAAGGGAATGGGAACGCTGCTGAGCAAAATATGATGCCGGCTCAGTGTGTTGGACCCCTGCGCTCATGGGCTGTGGTGTATACGGCGAGGCCAAGGGGCCCGCGGGGTGTTGGGGATGCGAATTGTACGCCGCTGCACCGTATGGGTCAGGCGCCCCGGAACCGTAGGGAGTGGAGACATGTGTAGGGCTTTGTGTTCTTTGGGATTGTACTGCTGTATTAATTGGAGGGGGTCCCGCGTTGAACTGCTGGTATGGTGATTGGGTAGGCCCGTAGGGCGAGGATTGTTCGGGCGAGGCATGAGGTGGATGTTGCAATGGAGGCTGCGGGGGACGTGCTGGATACTCTGAATAGGCCGATTGAGCGCGCTGTTTCTGAGATGGATCGGAGGCAGGACTGGACGACTGGTTGGGTGGCAGCGCTTTGGCTTTGGATGCGCCGCCGGCATCAGTGTTCATGATGGTGCGCAAATCCATGACGCTGGCATTCGGGGGCGTGCGACCACGACGACCCAAGAGGGATTATCGAATAGCGTGCGCGAAGGGTCGCGACATCCAGACGAGGACAGGAGGAGTCGCGAAGGTGGAGGGTGGGAGGGCTCAATGAAACAGGACAAAGAAGAAGGGAGAGAAGTTCTCGCCCCGAATCGCGCGAATTAGGGAGCTTGGAGGATCATCGCCGCTTCGGGGAAGTTCACTGAGAATGAAACCACAGGCTTATTATATTGTAGATTGTAGATTCAGGGTTATATCAAAGTTTCATTTTCAATCCATCAATTTGGAGGGTCTTCATATGTTGGTTTTTTTTTCGTGTCGGAGCTCTTCCACGATAAAAAGCCGAGCTATAGTATAGCTACAGCTCAATCTATTAGTGTGTAGAAAGATATCCAATCTACCGATAGAAACCACTCATACTCTCCGAGATGCCACCTGGACAGCATTTCCTGTGTAGCATTCAATGTGTCTCGGATCCCTATCGCTCATCCTTTGATTTACTATGACTTGACAGGATGAGTATACAGTGCTGAGGCAGAAGCTTCGCAAAAGGCCACAAATCACCAAAGTCATGTGATTATGAGTAATCACAGGATCAGGCATTAAGGCATGTGACACTCGAAGTATACAAAGCAACCAGAGTTCATGAACCTTGGACACACAACATCAACCCATCTGCCAAGTACATGACCAGTGCACACTATTTCAGTCATTTGTGATTATGAATCAAACAGTATCGGGTAAGGCTGCGGTCATTTGTGTCTATCCGACCCGGAACATTCGGTCAATTTCAAACCCCGGGACCGACGTACGTACAAATACAATGGTATCAACCACTAGGGATATAAAAGGACAGAAATGGCCCATCATGTATTTTCTTGCTTCACAGTAAATAAGAGTATGAACAATGAAGATTACCAGCAAATTCGTCACTTCGGCCGATGGGACCCATATTTGGGCCGAAGAAACGGGGGATCATACGAAACCCGCTATAGTCTTCCTGCCTGGGTTTGGCTTTTCTTCAATGGCTTTTGAGAAGCAATTTGGCAATCTATCCCTACAAGAATATCATCTGGTACAGTATATCACAGCTGGAGTTCACGTCCACTGAGAGATTGACTCTAATCAGGTCCAATATGACTGCCGTGGCCAAGCTCGTAGCGACCAGCCCACGACAGCTGACGCATATACTTCAAAGCGTATGGCAGAAGACTTTCAAGCAGTATGTGAGGAATTTAATCTGAGAAGGCCAGTCTTAGCTGGATGGTAAGCATGTTCATGGGGATAATTCTAAATGAAGGACATGCTGATGTCATGCACAGGAGCTTTGGCGGGACCATTTCAACTGATGTCTGCGAGCATCTTGGAGCAAGCTATTTGTCTGGAATTATCTATCTGGATGCCATTCCCTACGTCTCTGCCTTTCAGGAAGTCGGCACCAGTTTCATGGGACCGACCATCCAGACATTAGTCAACCCAGAAGCTAGTGCAACAGAACTTGCAGAAGCCATAGTCTTCCTGGTAGACTCTTGCGTCGCTGACGGATATGAGATCTCCACTGAAAAGAGATGGCTTTGGCGTGGTGTCATCCTCTCCCAAGTATACTTTGATTCACCACTTATACTTCATGGTCGCTAATCAGCCTCGGCAGGACCCTCGTGTACGTCCCCTCCTTCTAGGTAAACAACAGAACACGGGCAATTTTCTCGCAGCGGGAGCCAAGCTACCCATCTGCTTTATTCATGGTGCAAAGGATAAACACTTGGATGTGCACAAGATCGAGAAATTCGTTAGAGAACAATTGGGCGAGGTCGAATTCCATGCACTCAATGAAGCCGGTCATATGGCCTTCTATGAGTGTCCCGAAAAGACAAACCGGCTGATCCTGGATTTCATGCGTCGTACATCAGCATAGTTTGAGGTTCTAGATTCGAATATTCCTTCAAAGGTTGAACCATTTAGTGTATCTAGCACTCCAGTTGAGAATGCTAAGGTAGTATTTGAGTAATATTATGGCGCACACGTAGAAACGGCCGAACACGGGTGGACTGTAACCCTTAAAAGGAAGGTGATCGACATCTCGTGTTGAACCATATGGGTTCCTGACACTTTTGACTTCTGTGACTCGCAGTTTTCTTCAGTCGTGTAGCTAATTTTCATTGTCTTTTATCATTGTATTTCTTTGAGTTGTCTAAGTTAGGTTCGATGACAAGTGGAGAAGGTGAGACAAGGCATTGCAACACCCGCTGACGTACTTCGGCTCGCGTTCTGCCGATGTGGACACCGCAACGTTAGCTTCTCCATCTCGAAGACCCTCTCGCTGGACGAGCTCTTTCATCCTCCTCACTTCGTCATCTGCAGTCTATGGCATCTCCGTGTCCGCTTTCGATGATCATTTCGACATAACATCCCCATTTGCGCGCCACGTGGCACGAGACATGCTCCTCTGAGGAAATGCGCAAACCCTCGACAACTATGGCATCCCACCTCGAAAACCGCGAAAACCGCATCCCAACAACGGCCGACATACCCCTAGAAGACCTCGAGGCCTCCAGAACTAGCAACTTCGATCAATCCTCCCGTTGGAATGGGTTTTCCCAGTTTCACCCGGCAAACATACTAGCCAATTCACATTCGACAAGGTCACAAGAGGACTGGCTGGCCAGTACGGAAGAAACATTCTTCAGATTAACCATTGTCCTCACACCCAGCTTCCTGCAGAAGTATGTGGGGGTTCAACCGGAACAGCCCGCGAAATTGCACGCGATCGCTGCACTCGACGGGTTGCGAGGCTGGGCCTGTCTGCTAGTCTTCAACTTCCACTTTCTCTTCGCCTATACATGGAAAGTTGCGGTCGGATGGGGATTTGCAGGCGAGAACTGGGGAATTCACCAATTACCCTTTTTCCACCTTCTCATCTCTGGGCATATCATGGTGGCCATTTTCTTTGTGATCTCGGGCTATGTCCTTTCTTACAAACCTTTAAAGACCATTCGGTCTCGATCGTTCGACCAGACCTTCACTGTGCTTGCGTCTTCAACTTTCAGACGTGCATTGCGCCTTTACATCCCATCTATCATTGGTCTCGCCTGTGTCTTTATTGCCGTCCGACTTGGTGTCTACAACTATTCCTGGGGAGTGATCAAGGAAGGCCGCACCATTGTCGGCACGAATGAGCAGCACCCACCAGTCTACAAATCTCTCTACAAGCAGTCTTGGGACTGGTATTACACGGTGGCACACTTAATGAACCCGTTTGATTGGTCTCTTTATTACAATAATTACAACCCCCACCTCTGGACCATTCCGGTTGAGTTCCGCTGCTCGCTCGTTCTCTTCCTCACAACCCTAGCAACCTCGCGCCTAGTTTCTCCCGTGCGCATGGCCCTCGTCGCGACTCTAACTTGGTTCTGTATGCGCTACGGCCGATGGGACGTTGTCCTATTTTTGGTGGGCATGCAAATGGCCGAAATCGATCAGATCAACGGAACATGGGAGCGGTCACCTTCAGCAATAATAGATGACAATCTCCACATACGCTTCCCATCTCGGGGCAAAATATTGACCACTATCTCTCGCCGGCGCTTGTGGATCGGAATTTTCGTGATCGGCCTTTACATCGGTTCGTGTCCTAATCTCGGATTCAAATGGACGCCCGGCTACAGATGGCTCTGGGACATCACTCCATGGACCTACGGAGAGCCTCATCGGTTCCCGCAAACAATCGGTGCGGGCCTGATCGTTTTCAGCATCAACCACTCACCCGATATCCAAAAGCTCTTCACCAACCCCCTCTCCCAGTATCTGGGCAAGATCTCCTACGCGTTCTACATTGTCCATGGACCCATTCTCCATTCGCTGGGATACTCGATTATGCCAAACATCTGGGAAATCACCGGCAAAGAAACAAATTTCCAGTATTGTTTCGGTTTCTTGATTGGTTGGCTGGTTTGTCTACCTGTCTCCATCTGGGCAGGTGATGTATTCTGGCGCGTCGTTGATGTTCCTAGCGTGAAATTTGCGCGGTGGCTTGAGGATCAGCTCATAGCCAAGGGTGTTTCTTCAACTGCAACCCCGAGTCTAATGACTCCAAGAGCACAAACCCCACGGACACAGTAATTTCATTATTATTACATAGAAGCTTTGCTGTTTTCTATTCTCATGTTCGACTACTCGCTGGTCGAGTAAGCGCGAATACCATATCCTTCTTGGCAATATATCGCTATATTATTAGACCTTCATGACAAATCTTCATAACTTGAACTATGTCCGCAGAACAAACACTACAGCTACTTCTCGACGCAGCATAACAAGTTCCCACCCTCAGGTATAGCTAATAGATGAAGAGACAGAATTTTTGCTTTGCTCCCTAAAATCATGCCTCTCAGGTCTAAACAAGAAGGAATCAAACATGAGCACAAGAAATAAACAAGGGCGCTCCACAACCAAAATTCCGATGTATCATTCATTCATTCATCACTCGTGCCAAAATCAAAGTATATCGCGATGATCACATCCATCCTCATCACCTAGCCCGTATTTAAATTGACTCGGCTGGTGATGCTATGCGCGACGACCACCAGGCATCGGCGATAGGTAGGCGGCTAGCAGGAGGGCAAGGGATGCAGGAAGATGGGATATAGCGGAATAGATGCAGCCGCCGAGGCAAGATCGATGGAGATCGGGAAAAGAAACCATCTAATGCATTCGCATATGACAAGAAAGAAGACAGAACAAATCCCGGAAGCGCGTGAAATGACAGCGCAACAGAAATTTGCCTGAGAACAAGGGGAATTACAACCAAACAACTTTCCGAAGCTAGACGTCTTTTCGTTTCGTTCATACCTATGAACTATCGTTTTTCTTTCATAGCGCGACGCCCCATATACCGCGTCCACCACAAACGCCGAGCCATTCACGTGGCTGACCTGAGGGGTTGGATCCGCCCTGCGGAGACCAACTGATATTGGAAATTTCATAGTCGCATTGCCAAGCAGCAGTAGGGCCGCGCTCGGAGGTGGTTGATTGGGAACCAGAGCCATGGCCAGGAGTTGACATAGGCAAGGTATTGCTTTGGCTAAGGAGGTCCCAGAGAAGGACCAAACTGTCATCTGCACCGGAAGCAAGCTGACCACGCCGGCTTGGAGACCATTCAACACAGTTAAGTGCCGCAGAATGACCCTTCAGCTCAAGCAAGGCTTGGCCTGGTTGCCGAACATCGAGTACACGGACAACGCTGGAATCCTGAGAGAAGGTGGCTAGCAGATGGGCGTCATGTGGGGATGCTAGTGAATGGCGTGAGCTCATGCCATGGTGAATGTAGACGAATTCAAGTGACCATACCTGCAATTCTCAATAATGGTGGAGGCCAAGCTCCTGCCTGTGATCCAGGTGGACTGGTGTTGCCGGGACTCATCACCGCTGCGATGTGTTAGTGAAGCTAGTCTTGCATGATATTGAACAGGTCTAATAATACGTACGCTTAATGTCTGTCTTCTCAGATGGCTCGTAAATAATAGTGCTGTGCTCCAGGCTTCGCAAATCAAACATGCGGACACTACCATCGGCGCCACAGCTCACAAAAACATCAACACTGTTTGCACAGAATCGAACGTCGAACACTTCCTTATCATGAGCAATCAATTGTGTCTTGGCTGTCAATGTCGGGATATCCCAGATTGTGCAGGTTGTGTCAATACTGGATGTAATGATCAAACTGGGGGAGATCGTGTTCCAGTCCAATGAAGTTATCGGGGCGGTGTGCTCGGGGGATTTAGAGTTCGAGAGCAATGCCAAAGGAGACAGCTTGGCAGTAGGAGTATCCCGTGGGTTAGAAGGCCGTGTAATGCTGTTTGAGCTCGGTAGCGGTTGGGAATTGGGGAGTGACCACAGGCGAAGGTGATCACCCGATGTGGCAAGCAAATCAGTGGACTGCTTTTGGGACGATGGTGGCTCCCATAAGATACGTGTGACGGGGTACGAGTGTGTCGCTTCGGCTGTTTTGACATACTCAAGCTTGATTTCCCCGTTTGCTGCATCTGGGGTATCAGGGTCAGGTTGAGCCCAGTGCGTATCAACAATTTGAATCTATAGCGCAGTTTTTAGCATTCAATATCTCCTTTCGGGCCAACAAAGGTTTCTTACATAGTTATGATTATCTTCCAGATGACTTCCCAATGCCAATTTGCCCCCAAATGAGCTCGAGTTGCCTGAGATTGGCCATTTGCACCAATCAACGGCGTATATAGGCCACGGTGCTATGTAGTTGCTGTTGGTTGGCACTTGATTGTCGCTATTGTATGCAGCCGCTCCTGGGCTCATAAGCGAGCCGCCAAGGTAATGGTCACCAGGGAGGCGAACGTCTGCCAGGCCAAGCGGCGAATACTTGGATCCTTGCGGGGTCTGAGGCGGGAATCCAGCTCCAGGGGATGTGGGATACCTGGGTTCCTCCAGGGCGCCGTGTTGTTTGTACATGGACGGATCGATGCCAGCCGGGCTAGACCGCGAGTGGCCATGGGAATTTATCATACTTGATCGATGGTTGGGCTGCTGTGATGACTGCAAGGTAGGAATGACCGATGGGGCTGTGTTGGCTGAAACAACCTGGGGGCGGTTCTGACCTCCTGGGGTCAAGGCGCCTGGTAGATTGTTATTGCTATTTCCACCACCAGTCCCATACTGCAAGGATTGCGAAGATGGCTGGACATTGATCGAGGGGACCTGGGTCGCGCCTGCACCTGTGTCTGGGGTCGTGGGGAATTCATGGGAGGGAGGCTGACGGGACAAATTCGGATTGACCAGACCCGTGGATGGCATATGCAGTTCCTCAGGCTGACGGGCAAAAACGGCGGACCGTCGAGGAGAGTCGAAGGAGGGATTCGACATTGTGCGGAGGGTCTGGGGTCTTTAGGGGTGTTGGATGGGGCTTAGCTCCACTCCCCCTTGGGATAAAGAAGACTAGTGGGAGGGAGGGGCCCGAGGATGGCAGTAAGCTGCACAAGCTTCACAAGAAGCTCCCGAGGCAGATGAGGCGTAGAAGGAGGAACGACTGTGGATGTCGCAGCTTGAGAGTTCAATGTGAAGCTGGGGGTGCCCGCGCTGAGTCAGCCAACCCCGGGTGACACTCCCGCTATTGCTTTAATTGGAATACAATTGGCTTCTTTGTTTCTTTTCTTCTCTACGATCTCTTTGTTTTGGCTGTGATCTATTGCTTTGTACGTACTGTAGTTGCACTCATGGCATCCCACATCAGTTCGCCTTCGGCGCTTTTGTTACTCCCCCCGCCACCATCATTCTCCCTTGGCGGGGTCAAGGAAGCATTCGAGACCTCGGTATCGCAGGTACTCGTGCAGCTGTCCAAGTCTTTGGAAGGCTCCAATCGCATTGCCACTCTCGATGTTGCTTTGGCAATCCCAGGCCTGTTATCTCCATCCAACAGGCCTCGTGCAAAGACCTTCGCCCAAGTGGAACATTTTGTCGGCAGCATCTATACTTTGATTGGGGCTGTGGCAGCCGCTCAAGATATCGAACTTGACTCCCCCGGTGGCATCGATGCCCGCTTGGTATTTGTTGACCACCCGTTATCCGACGCTGCAGCCTCTCAAGCCAAGACTGGCTCAAAGATTGGACCAATCCTTGATCTTCAGTCACTGGCAACCTCGGGCCGACAATGGAACCATATATTCTTTCCAAGCAACCAAGCCGGTCGGAATATGGCCGACTCCTTTCTAAATAGTATCATTGATCCATCCAAAAGTCACACCGCATCAATCCTGCAGACGGTCTCCAGCGGAGACTGGTCGGCCCCGCAGTCTCTTTTGGTTCCTGAGGACCAACCGTCCCTCGAGCCCCACTACTCGGTTGCAGTTGGAGGAACATTCGACCATCTTCACCTTGGTCACAAACGTCTACTCACAGCACTGGCGCTAGCACTGGAGCCGCTAGATAATACTAATCAGGATCGAGAAAGGCTTCTGACGGTCGGTGTGACTGGTGATGCGTTGCTAGTGAACAAGAAGTTTGCCGAATATTTAGAAAGCTGGGAAGTGCGGTTTCAGACCACTGCAGCCTTCTTGGCTGGCATCATGGATTTCTCAGGGAATGGCTCTCCCCGAGTGGAACGCAGCAGAACTCCAGATAGCAAGGGACAAGTGGTGATTATGGAAATCCAGCCCACCTTGATCTATAAGTTCGTGGAGTTCTTCGATGTCTGCGGCCCCACCATTACCGATGAGAACATCAGTGCATTGGTTATATCGAAGGAGACGTCAGCTGGAGGGGCATTCGTCAATGAGGAACGGGCCAAAAAAGGATGGTCAAGGCTGTCGATTTTCGAAGTGGACGTTCTCATGTCTGGAGAGGCTAAGGCGAGCGCCAACAATTTCGAAGACAAAATCAGCAGCACCAACATTCGTCGACGACGTATGAACCGGGCCAAAGTATAAGGATCTGTAACCAGGGAAGATTTGGAATTACAGGGGGGCGGAAGAAAATAGGGAAGCAATGAAGACCTGTAGATTTTAATACATTCACATTTCGGCCAATTTCCCCCAATCGCGTTGGTGGCTTCTCCACCACACGCGAGTCCATCACTCTGCAGAGATGTGACAACCTGAGCGGGGCCTGCATTGACCTTCATGAGGAGGCACTCTACAACCACCAACCATCTTCCCCCCACCAACAGTCGCTCTCTAACCCCCAAACAGTCTCTGCAGGTTCGCGCTGTTTCGCGCTGGCTGGCCGCAGCCTCGATCAATCATGTGATTGCCGTGAGAAAGCGTCACCAATGAAACCAGCTTGATGCAAAGGCCCGTCAGCATCCAAGCGCGCTAAACCAGGGTCTTGATGATCATCCCGGTCGCGTTGGATTGTTAGGGCGAGAACTGTCGCCATGCGTCCATGGTGAGACAGAGGACTCTGGGGTCGATGAGTCCATTTCTATTCGATACTTGTACACCTCTTTTCCCTTTTTTTTTTCTTTTTTTTTTTCGGGTTTATAGTGGGACTGGTGCCCCCTCAATCGTGCATCCCCAACTGACCTTCCCCTTCTGCCGGTCTGCAAGACTTGGTGTAGAAGCTTCCTTTTTCTTTCCTCTTTTTCTCTTCCTTTCTTCCATGTTGCTGTATCTTGTACAGGCAGCCGGATCCTCGGCCGCGAAGCGTCGATCATGGACCAGCCACGTTGTATTCAAAGCCTCGCCGATGAGCTGCTGAGCGAAATCCTGGACACTTTATTGGAACCTGCACCGCACACTTTAGATGGGAAATCATATATCAATGGAAAACATAGCAATGCGGAGCAACATAAACCTGTGGGATACGGAGAGACATCCGATCTGGATCGATTTCGCCTAGTCTGTAAACGGTTCATGCGGATCGGCACACCTCGAAAGTTTGCGCGCTTCAACCTACGATTTTCGAAGGATGGGTTCCGACGACTTGGGGAGCTGCTAGACATGCAGCGGGCCTGCTACGTAAAAACGGTGACATATCTCGTGCGACCCTTCTATCAGGGCAGCGGTACCCAATCCTTATATTCACAAGCTTAGTTGGGACAGATCGGCTGACGACAAGATCACAGGGTGGACGCCAATTTTTCAGAAGCTCGGCACCAGTAACCCATCACTCGCACAGGTGCATAGTCGACGATTGCATGAACAAGTTACTTTAATCGAAACAAACCAGGATCTTATCCAACTTCGCTTGGGGATTGCCGCATTTTCAGCACTCCAGGAAATCAAGCTGCTCCGCCTCCAAGATCAAGATGACGAACGCCTGCTCGACTTTATTCGCGATCGTTCCTTCCGCAATACCGAGAGTACGGATCCCAGCATAGCTCGGTTTGAGTGGGAGTCAGCATGTTCGCGGGCAGTGACGACTCTGGGAATCGCCCTTTTAGGCTCTCAGTGTACTGCGATTCGTTTCATCGGACCCCAGATCAGTCCCGAAGCTACGCTGCAGCTCCTGAAAGCACCCTCTACCACTCTCGCCGCGATGGGCAGTCGCCTCACCAGTCTCGATATCAATTTCCATTCCAATACGGATATTACCCCAACCATGTCTGACCTTTCCAGCGTTTTCCATCGCTTCTTCGTCGAAGCCAAAAACCTTGTCTCCATCCATATCGGCTTTCCACCCAAAACCCCACTTGACTTAGACCTGGAGGCCATCTTTCATGATATTCGGTGGAAAACGCTGCGCACCCTCAGTTTGCAAGGCTGGCGTTTGAGTGCAGACGAGATCATATCCTTAGCCCGCCGACATCGCCGCCAACTCCGTGACTTTCGCTTATGTGCTGTCTACCTCCGCCCTATGGGACGTTGGAAGGACGTGCTTGCAGTGCTCCGCGAAGAAATGGAACGTTTAGATCGTGTTGAACTGTATGATATCGACTATGCGGATCATTTCGATGCATTATCTATGACGAGCGGAATTGAAGTGTTCGATGCAGACCTTCCTGCGCCGGCACCATCATCGCTTTCTGTTGCAGCTATCACATCATTTCCAGAAGAACCTCCATGGGGTCCGGGACCTGCGTCTGGCAGCTCTTATTTTTCGCCCCCGACACATGAAAGACGAGTACCCTTGAGCCGTGCGTCATTAGAAAATTTGCGCTGTCTTTCAACTGACGATCTTGAGGACAATGGATATATTGTTCAAAGAGATCAAGTACCACTCTGGGCGGCGTGGGTTTTGTCTGCACAGCAACGACGTATGCACACCAATGGGCATGGAAATGGCCATTGGAATGCCTATCATATTTAAACAGCGCTAGAATTATACCAGGAGGTACCTGGCTCTACGACATAAGGAGATGGTCTTGATGACATATGGGAGGAACGAACAATCGAACTTTTTATTGGAGTTGGAGGCTGTTTGAATTATTTTGCAAGTTCTGCTACGATCTTGCGTATTTGAGATTATGTATGCATTTAAGGCTCTTTCTGTCATATACTTAGATCATTGCATGACTGATGAAATGAAAGTTTGATCTTTAAACCTTTGACCTTCGGCAGCAGGAAATATATTCAATTCACGTTTAAAGCTTCAGTCCAGATTGATATTTACGCATGGCAATTAAATGTTTAGCTTTAACCACATCTCAGGATATCATTTTGTAAAGCTATCGTACACAGCAAAAGGTCATGCAAATTTGCATGTACGGGGACACATATTTCAAGGTCCCAAGTCAAACGGGATAGTCAGAGAGACCAGCAAGGTCCTAGTGAACCTAATAGCAACTGGCCCAATCGCCACCTTCCCTAGCAAAGCTCAGCGCATTAATGAAATCACTCTTCTTGCAACGACCCAGCGCATCAACATCACACCCTTGCAAGGGAACGACCCGGTCATTAACCAAGATCCGCACCAACGGCTCCTTCTCCGCAGTACACTTCATCATCTCAATATATGCCCGTGCTCCGAACGGCACAGTCCATGCAGCAGAGAATCCATCCGCAGCACTATCCGACTGGATATGAGTGGTAGGTAAAGTCGCAGTAGAGTTATACAGGCCCAGCGCAAAGAAAATGGGAATCATGCCATTATCATGGGTAAAGTCTGCATAGATATTCTTGTTCAACGGGAATGTAGTCGCAGCACCGGGTCCGTTATCCAGCGTGTGGTTTGAAGAGGTGTGATCACGCACGGGAGTCCGTGTTAAACGCGCGATGAGCTCGTTGACGAATCCAACGCCTTGGGTTGGGCCCAATGGGTTTCCGGCACCGTAGCCGTAGTACTTGTCCAGGGTCTGGTAGTAATTGTACTGCGACCATTCGGACGAGGTGAAGAGGGCACAGAAATCAGATTTCCTGCTCCCGTCGACCGTGTCGGAGATGGTGTCGAAAGCGCACATGTCCATGAGGTAAGTAACGTCATCGAGGGAGAGGATGACGCCTGGAAGGAGAGACTGGAGACGAGCTTGGATGGGCGGCGCGAAGATAGCGGTGTAGTTATCTGTGACGTCGTCGCCGACGGTGCTGGCTTCAAATGCCGGACAGGTGTTGTGGTTGAGGGTATTGTTTGAGCCAGCATCTTCGGAGATGACGACGTTAACTTTTGGTGCAGCCTGCGCGTGCAGAGCTTTTTTGTCTTGGTGCTTTGTGTGCTGGAATCCCTTGAGGAAGAGGTTTCCTGATTCTATCACGCGCGAGGAGCCCGAGGCCCGGACGAAGGGGACATTGTCACGCGTTAGAGCTTCATAGCGCTCGTAGAACTTGATGCCTGAGTTGACCATTTCGCGCTCGCCAAAGGATGTGAGATCATCGCTGCCGAGCGTGTAGTTGTATGAGCGCAGGAATGCGGTGTTGTTCTTGTACGCGGTGGCGTTGGCCTGAATGGCCTCTATGAGCTCTGCATACTTCTTGCTCTTGGATGCGGTGGGGTACCGTGCGCCGTGGCGGGAAAGTACCTGCACGAAGGTGACATCGCACTGTTGTGGAACGGCGTCGGAGATACCTTCCTCAGCCAGTGAGAAGTAAGGTGAGTATTGGCCCCAGCGGTGGGAGATATCGGAGAAACACTCGTAGCCGCTACGAACGGTGTTGCAGCCATGGGGACGGTGCACGACCTGTTTCTTGGACCTATACGACGCAACCAATGGCTGGTCAGGATTCCTACTTTCCACGTCCACGCTCCCAGATGAGGGTTCGTACTCGTTCGTCATATATAACAGGCCCAGGGCAAGAGCACTGAGGATAGCTGTGATGACGGCTATGATGCGTAGCCTTCTCCATGTGGGAGATGACTTGTGAGGTATCGGCTCGGACCTGTCACCTAGCAGGCACTCCTCCTCCGGGGGAGTGTATTGATTCCTTTGCCCCACCATTATCACACTTGGGCACCCCTTGAATGTGATGATGTCAACCTTGGAGTAGTAAGTCCCGCGCTTACTTGATCGTATCGGTCGAAGGAAGGAACATCATGAAAAAAAAAAGAGAAAGCAAGCGAATTAAATAATTGAAGAATGGTCTGAATATGGGGAGCACAACAGAATGCACACATGTTTTCCATTTGGTCCAGGGCAGACATTTGACATGCTCGTGAGCCCATTCCGCTCTGTGATTGGTTCCGTCATTTTCGACACGTGGGGATGAGCCAGGGCGGTACTCGTTGAATACCGAGTTCCCCGTATTGTTTAGTGCGGAGGCTGACGTACCCCCCAAGTACCCTTATCCGCTCGGCAAACCGTAGCCTGATGGGGAAATCCTGCATCTGACATTCTTGCTTTTGTCTTCCTGTAACAAGCTAATCAGATCCCACATGATCCTTAATTCAGATGCAGCTGCGCCTTTGTGAAACGCGCCTCTCACCGCCAGTCCTCGATCTGGATCTCACTTCTCTCCACGTCACCAGACATGTGCTGCATATGCCCCGTACCGGTACTTTGTAGATTTCGATAAAGCCATTTCCGAACTTTTTCAAAATGTTGATACATGGAGTTCGATATATCAAGCTGTCAAAAGTCGATCACTGGAACCGTTGGATCCGCTTTAGGAGCAAGGGGCGTTTCCACAACACGACAGCTGGCAGCTGACAAACAACCCAACCCACACCTTAAAATGCACCCTTTTGATGATCTTGCCGATCAATGCCAGGATTAGCCGAGTGGACCTGTAACGGTGAAGTCTTGACTACTGCACATTGGAGACCGGAGGGCATCCGGATTTCGAACAATGCCGCTGACACTGTGATATGTATCAACTTTCTTTTTTTGTCTTAGACATTGATCTGCAGATACATAGATCGACTATAAGGCCCACCCTCCCCTGGGCTCAGATGCACCTATGTGGAGAGCTATACTAAATAGATTAGTATAGACCATGCAGCTCATCTGCGCGGGAAGCGGCTAAGTGGATTTTTTGGGGGAAAGAGGTCGTTATAGATCGACAGATCAACATGTTCGGCCGGATTTCGGTAACCTTAAGACGTATTGGAAAAGGATGGCGATTCGGCTCGGCGTCATGCTTCAATTCCGGGTCACATTGTGCCTGCGAAGTAGATACATGAAGAGAAAATTGCGTAAAATGTAATAAAATGAATAGAAATCTTTAACTCGGTATTTCGCCACAAGCACCCAGCGCTATGGAAACTAGACACCGGGGTCCACTCCTTGATCGACAAAGAACCAATTGTCGACGTATGGTGTAATGGAGGATAGGGTACGATAGGAGAAGACGTAAGCACTCTTCTTGCAGGACATCCTCGATTTTCGTAGGGAAGAAGAACTCATGGGGGGAATGAGATATGAAGGGCGTCACATGATGGTGGATGGGGTATGGTGCTGTAACAAAAGAAACAAGAAAAATCAACCACAAATGCACTAATACACTCAACTAGAAGGTAAAGGCGATTTTATATGAATGATATGGCACCCGCTGGAATTCTCAAGAATGACAACATTCACCATTTGCGGCCAACCAGTGACCGCATGGTCCAGACCAGATAGATGAATAAAAAGAGATATGACATATGAAAACATAGGAAAGAAGAAAAGATAAAAGCGAAAACGGGAAGCCCGTTGCTGCCCGACTGGTCATTTCGGGCACACATTAAGGCCGAGGCCATGAGCCCTGAAACGGCGGCAAAGGCCCTCCAGCAACCGGTGGTCCAGAAGCCGCCACATCCCTCCCTAAAGACGGGGCAGTGCCATGAGGCATAGATGCATATGGTGATGGGCCCGGTGTCCCTGGCCAACTTCCCTGTGGCCTCGATGAGGCAGGGGCCGTTTCAGTCGGAGCAGGCAGAAGCGAAGCAGAGGGCGCCGAACGTGGCGACGGCGGTCTCGGTGGTAACGAGCTCAGAGAGGTCGAGTGACCAACTTGTTCGCGAAAGAAATCACGCTCAGCTCTATAATGATCTCGCTGGTGGATGAGAGATCGAATCTCCTCACTTTGACGACGGATCTCATCTTGTTGTGCCGAAAGCCGCTGCTCCAGTTGTACCTCGTTTCGCTTGCGGTTTCGAAAACGGCGAGAGGCATCACTGTTTGCTTTGCGCTTTTCGGCCTGACTGCTGGATCCGGATTTAAGGTCCATGACGCATGGTATTAGGCCACCTATCGAGGTTGTGCTGCCTGGCGTACCTGGTACCGGGCTTGCCACTCTTGCTCCGGTGTCTTCAACCAGACTGCGTGGTCCGGCTGTTGCGGGTACGCCTCTAGCCATGGCTTCCATTGTCATGTAGGGAGCTGGTACTGCTGCATATTGGGTGACACTTGCTGGTATGGAGGCCATGGTGATGGCTGGAGATCCACGTCCAAGATGATTGTAGGTTGAATGGGGTGTGGTTGGACTCGTCTCCTGGGACGCGCGGTTTGTCAGTGGTGCCGGTCCTGCACTAGTCCGTCGCGAATGAAGGCTGGGCGTAGAGTGTAAAGATGCTGTCACGGGTGGTTGAGTGCCTGGTAATGAAGTAATGGGGCGTAGTGCCGAATCCAGAGGCAGAGGAGGGCTAGTAGGAGTCTGACGCATACCCAGAGGCTCATTAGGAACTAATGGTGAGTGAGTAACACTCGATTGTCCACTCCTCCCACCACCCACAAACCGTGCTGATGGTGAGCCAGGGTTTATGCCCGGCCGTCCAATAGATCTGGGAGATAGTGGTTGTTGCAGAGAGTGCATAGAACGAGGAGCAGGTGAAGAACCCTTCCGTGGTCGAGGCGAAGCTGTTCCAGACAGACTGCGTAGATCCCGACTGCCCGCCGCTTCCATTGTCTGCGCTGGCGGATTTAGGATAGAGTGTACCCCAATAGCCCTTGACGAAGTCGCTTCCAGTGGTGGCTCTACCGGCCCATATGGATGCCAGGACTGTGGGCGAGCCCGTAGCGGTGGTCGACGAGATGAATGGCGGGGTCCGGGACCATGCTCACTGTCCATCACGCTGCGATCTTGAGTCGCATCGTCTGACAATGGAGCAGCACGTAGAGGCTCCGACATAGACGGATCTCCTTGGCTGAAATTGGGATTAGGGCATGGCCGAGGCCTCCCTCTCTCAGAGTCAACAGGGAGCTCACGAGTGGGATGAGAGAGGGAGGAGGCCGGATAATGTGGATCCGCTGGATAATGCGACAGATTTGAGGTATGTAGCGGCCTCGGGTAAGGCGCAGTCAATACGCTGAGCCCCAGAGTAGCCACGGTGAAAGAGGAAGGAAATGGAAAATAGGCCCAAGGATGAAATAAAAGATATGCGGTAAGAATCAGATATCACCGAGCTAGGTCCAATTGAGGTAGAATGATGAACTGGTTTCTGAAGATCAGTCCACAGAGGAGTGTCCCTGGGCCACTGGGGTCAGTTCCCAGAGTAATGCGATAGGGCACAAAGTGTTCAGGTTCAGAGATCAAAGCCCATGTGCATGTATGGCAGAAGCGATCCGAGGCCCTTGTATAAATAATCAAAGAGGGGAAAGTTTCAGGGAAAAGAAGGTGAAGCTGGAATTATTAATGAATTATCGTCAGACCGTTAGAACGCAGCGGTGAGAGAAGGGACCCATTGATCCATCAACTTCTTGGGGCCTGGATGCTCGACAGAAAAGAAAGTTGTTGTCTGACCCAGAGCATCGGATGTTGGGCAGGATCGCCCTGGATTTTTGGATTTTGAATTTTATTTTCGTATTTAATTTTTATGATTTATTCTTTAGAGTATACGCTGGGGCCCGGGGGCCACGGGTTTCTGGTCAACGTACAGGGAAAAAGTAAAATGAAAAATGAAAAAGAAAAAGGAAAAGTAAAAAGTGGAGCAGTACGGATGATATCAGTAACCCATCTCGTGCCTGGAAGGAACAGGAAGGGGATTGGGTATAAGGCAGATGGAGAGCACAGCGCCTGAAAAAGTTGATTCCATTCTCCACTGGTAATATTTCCTTACAGAATATATACACGGGGAACCAACCAGCGATCGTCGGGATACAACGAATCATGCGGAGCTGCAAGTGCGTGGGTGCCGTCACCGTGGTCTTGGTCTCAAGGGACGGGTGGAGTCTTCTTCTGTTTTGAAGATGTGTACTCCGTATTTTGGTTATTCTGTCTGGGATATCGTGAAAAGACCCGATGACGGAGGCTCGCAGGCTTGGTGGCTTCATGTAATATTTGACTTCTACCCCTGTCCTGGGTGATGCCCATTGTGTACTCTATGAGCACGGAGTACAGAGCCGAAGGTTTGTGCCATGTGTGAGTGTGATAGGGGGAAGTGGATCCCTTTTCCCCTTCGATCCATGACGCAGAACACACATGGGACAATTTCCAGTTCAGATCTATACTCACTCGGGTTTAGTCCGGGGCTATGAGGGGAGGGGAAGACGATAGTCTCTCAGGTCCTGTCATTTTCCGAGGGTTTGGTGCTTGACGGGCAGTCTAACTTAATGGGAAGCACATAAGATTTCATCTCCAGGACAACGCTTTTTGTGGTACATAACCCCTTGGATGAGTCCCAACTGGTTCGGTACTGGCTAGGAAAAAGGAAAATTAAAAATCAAAAATACAAAAATACAAAAATCCTAAACTTTAACAAATCCCTCCCCTGATGTTGTGCATGCATCACCAGCCCATGTCAATCCCGACACAAAGGGACCGGTGCCGCCGTTAGGGGAATGATGCCTCCACTTTAGGAACCGATTATTGGAGAGACCCGCTTGGCAGAACATAGCTTATGGAAATGAGGCAGATAGGTGGGGAGCTATTTAATTATTATTCGACGGGATCCGTTCTCTAGGAAGAAATGGGAATTGAAAGAAAAAAAGAAAAAAAAAAAAAAAAAAAAGCCCTAGGCTATACCCTTTTGTGTTTTTTTTTTTTTCGTTTTCTAGTTACGCGAACGTTATAGAAGGGGGCAAATAGAATGATTCGAGAACCCGAAGCCTGTTCGGAGGAATCTCTCCATCTGTGATGAACATCCTTGAGCTCATACGTCACCATTAGCAGAAGAGATTCCCAGCCCAACACCGACATCAACTTGTGTCACCACGACCTGCAATGACTTGGTCCTTTGGAGGAAATTCTAAGTTTCAAAATCTTAATTACTGAGTCATCGAAAGTCCAAGTCATCAAGACAAAAGAACCAAACAAAAGTCAATCCCATTCGATCTATCAACCGGAAGGCAAACCCGGCAGCTCCCCTGTCTCATGGAGAGCTTGCAGGAGTGGGTAAGCTTCCTGCTCCCCAAGATCCCAGTTAGCGCGAAGGCTTCCGCGTGACAAAAGGCCAGTGAAGATCCAGACTAGCGCGAGAGTGGAGTCGGGAATCCTTCGGGAGACGAAATGAGGATCATGATGTGGGCTGAGCTGAAGGCTTCTCGCCTACTGTAGCCACTGTCATGCCTTGATTAGGCAATGGGGGGCTAGAAACCCCCGATCCTCGATAGTTGACGGTCCGATCTAGCCTAGAATGCCTAGCGCGCAAATTCGTACGTAGAACCATGATCCTGATAAGGCAAGAGGGGCGATCACTACGCAATAGGTACTGAGGACCAGTAAAGCAACGGGAGGGCATCTTGGGGAAAAATGATAGATCGGTTTGTCTCCAGCTGTCAGTGCCCACACGGTATAGTCCCGTTGCCCAGGCAAGGCGTGCGTCGTTAGCCGCCATTTTGGAAGGCAGCGAATCACCATGTTTGCCGAGGCGATGTTTGCGGCCTGATAGATCCAACAATCCTGACTGGTCAGTTTGTTGATTTTCCTCCAGATTTTCGTTTTCGGGGAGGAGAAAGACAGGGGGCGGGATTGTCATGAAAAAAACCTAGTACTTTAGTGTGAACCGCTCTTGGTGTATTGAGGCGGGTTCAAAATGAAGGTGGCTTACAATCTCAAACACTCGTTCCAGTGGGTCGGATCATTGCACTAATCATAGCAGAGTCCGAGTCCTCGGATGCGTGTCATGGCCATGCGAAATGATGCGGGTCAAGGGGCAAGAAAACCATGGGGTGGTGGTTTTGTTAGGCTGTCCCAGGTATCCGGTACGCGGGTTCATGGTACTAAATTGGACTGCGTAACACAAAGTACAGGTACAGCAGCCTAATCCGAGGCTCACTACGTATGCCAATCTATGTTTAACATATCCATGACATAGGTAGCTTTCCAAGGTTTTAATTTCTTCTTGCTACCCAGTTACGTGGTTTCGCCACACCAATGTAAACTAAACTGATCTACTGCCTTGGGGCGACGACCTCACTGCATTATCTCGTGTCCGCTGCAAGCGCGATCAAAGAAGGCAAAAAGCAAAAACAAAATTGAAGAAAAAAAAAAAAAACAGGATTAAGCCACCAGTATATACTAGTATACCTTTGCGGTCTGGAGCTCGAGAGCTGTGGATTTCTTTTCCGCGAACGTATCAGTTTTTCTTAGAACTAAGTGAGGCGTGGCGCGGAGCTTCTTCAGTCATAAGTACCATTCCTCCGTCATACTGGAATCTACGCCATACATGTACAGCACACCGAAAGACGTACGCTGGAGGCCCAAAAGTCGGTGCCTGCATTTTGCCCTGCAGGGTCGGCCCCGCCCAAGCGGCAGTGCTCAAGGGTTACATGGCAGGGAAACATTACACAAAGTAACAGAAGTACGAATTAAAATTGAAGAAAAGAAAAAACCTAGATCGGGCGAATTTCAAATGGACTGGGGTTATGGTCTACATGAATCTGAGATCAGCGGGTCAAATGGAGAGGCTTTTCATTGTTTGATTCGACGTGTAATGTAAGTTTCCAGCCTTGTTTTAGGCTGGTTTTTTCCCCTTGCAGCAAACTGAATCCATGGGAATGGCAGCGAGCCGGTCCGTCATTTTCGCCCGTTTGGTGATCGACATATCCACTTCAGTTTCTACGTACAGAGTATTTTGAGTTGATAAGAAAAGGCGAAAAAAGGCAATGCCGGTGGAAACTCGATACTGAGGATCCAGGATGCATTTGAGTTTGAGTATGCGCGTCAACAATGCCCGTATAGTTGAACAAAGTATGTAGACAAACTCATACTTTTAGCACAGCCTCACTGCTAATGCAAACTAAAAGGATTTAGAAAGGGGGGAAAGGTAATTCAATGCGAGAAGAAAAAAACAAAATAAAAAATAAAAAATAAAAAAGAAGGATTAGCTCCAGCTGCATGGTCGATTGTTTTAGCTACATGTGAAGTATACAATTTCAAGCTTCCAGTTTCACAGGAAGTCACCGCTGGTCGAGGAGTCACTTTTCATGATCGCCTGTACCTATCGGAAATAAATACAATGTCTCTATGTGATAAAAATTTTCATCTTAAACCGGATTTTTTAATTATCCACACTTGGAGCCCGAGAACTGAAAATATCGGCCACGGAATCTATTTCCATCCTGTTTACTCGAAACGGAATTCATTCTTAGGTTTCCCCCGGACCCCAACGTCAACTCGGAACACTCGGCCCCCATACCGCACAGATTGCGGCAACCGCTCATCGTCACGAATATCCTTGGCAGAAGTAATGAACAGCTCAGTTCCCACAAAGGCGGGACACGTCGGATTCCGTGTGGGCAAGTCGATCTGCCCGATGAGCTGACCGGCCGGTGAGATCCGAATGACTTTCCCGCCACCGTAGACTGCAGACCAGATGCATCCTTCGGCGTCCATGGCGAATCCGTCGGGTTCGAGTGGCTCGCCGAGATCATAGTGGACGCGCCGGTTACTGATCGCGCCCGTCGCGGCATCGAAATCAAACGCGAAAATTTGGCCTGTCGGAGAGTCCGTCAAGTACATCGTATCGTCGGCGTCGTTCCATCCTATTCCGTTTGGGATCGTCACTGGTGCTAACATGCGGTGCAGGCTTAGGTCTGGGTCCAATCTGAAGAGGATTCCTACAGGTCCCGGTGCCTTGATCTTGGGGTCGTTCATGGCCCCGGCCCAGAAACGGCCGTGGCTATCGATAGCGCCGTCGTTAAAGCGCATTCTAGATTGTGGGGTTCCAGTAAGTCGGTGTAGACAAGATT